GAAACGCACTCGTCTCGCGGGTCCCCGTCGTGACAAACACGGCGTCGACCACGCCGCCGACCTCGTCGCGCCCCAGGCGGAAGAGGTCGTCGTCGTCGAGCGTCTTCTGCTCCCACTTGACGCTGCCGTCGTCGATCCTGGCCTGCAGGTTGTAGTGCAGGTGGTCGGTCGTGGGCGGCGGCGCGACGAGGATGGGCCGCGCGCCGGCGCCGAGCGACTGCGCGCAGCGGGCGGCCGCGAGCGGGTTCGTGCCGACGACGAGGTGCACGCAGCCTCGGCAGTTGAGGCCGGCGAGGAGGACATTGGGGAGAGGGTCTTGTCCGTCCATTTCTTTTGAACCAAGGGTAAGCAGCAAAGAGGAAGAAAATAGGCCGCGAGAAAAAAATTAGGTGAACCCTCTTTGTCGGCTCGTCGGGGGGTGCGCGGGCTGGTGTAAATGCCCCGGGTGGGAGCTTATTTTGGTGGAGAGAGTTTTGCTGGTGTTGACCAAAGACCCTCGCGCGCGCGCAGAAGCAAAAAAAAAAGAAAGTGGGAAAATATGAGGCAGTCAATGAGATGGAATAGAATCGAGCTGTAGAAAAGATGAAAAAAATCACCGACTGCCCGAAGCACACAGTCACGAGCAGCCCTCCCATCACCAATTCTGAGCCCCAGTTGACGCAATTGCGCCATTGAGCCTTGTGGGGAACCGATATCGAATGTCCAATCAGTGTGGCTTGAATTCCAACACCCAATAGGACGCACCAAGACTGCAGATACGCGGAGATGTAAATGTTTTCCTTCTTTTCTTATCCGATTGTCTCGTCGTCTTTTCAAAACCTCCATATCCAACTAGTTAGTCTCCGTCTCGCTTCCCCATGTGTTCCTATCGTACAAGTTGATATACACGAGTTATGTTCTTCATATCATACATGGTCCCCGTCCCCGCACATTCTCCCCCGATAACATGATTATACAGATAGGCTATTGCAACGCACCGCCATGCGCCACCGCCCTGATATGATACACAGCTTTGAAAGGCTGCCTTGTGAGCAACGCGCCCCTTCACAGCCCGTCTACGCACCTCGGTCCTTGAACCGTCCCTCGCCTTCCGCCTCACGGTTCAGCCCCGCCAGCTCCTCGTCCACCTCCCTGTCAATCTCCTTATCATCGTCGTGCTGCTCCTCCATGATCTGCCGAATCAGCTCCTCCTGCCTCCTCGTCCGGCTGTTGCCGCGTGCCGCCCGTGTCTTGACCTGCCAGTCGGTCCCCAGGCCCTCGCGCGCCGCCGAGCGCTGCGCCTTTTTCGCCTCGATCGAGCGCTGCTTCTCCGTGTCTACGCCGCTGCCGGTGCGCGCGCTGCGTGGAACGCGCGTCTTGGCCCCCAGCGCCCACAGGTCGCCCCAGCGCGACTTGCGTGCGTCGTGGTAAGCCACCTTGCTGAAGCTCTTGGGCACCGTCCATCGCTCCAGCCTGCCCTCCGGAGTGCACGTGTCGAGCGTGACATGGCCCTTGCGCTTGATCGGTGGCAGGATGATCCGGGGCAGTGTCTGCATGTCCGGTGTCTCCTCGGCTTTTTCATAGCCATTGAATGCGTCCTCAGTGATCTTCTTGCTGTCCTGCCGCTCACTCTTCTGAACACCCTTCTGGATAGCCACGTAACTAAACTCCACTTCGCCCCTGGTGTGCGACTCATTGCCTAGCAGCTTGCTGTAGAAGCTTGGTCGTACAAATCTTTGGCCAAAGTGGCAGTAATCCTTGCGTCCTTTGCTCTTGCCAGGCGTCGGATACATCGGGCATGCGCCGTGTGTCGTGCATGGCGCCAGAATTCGGCCCGCCTCGAGTTCTCGATGGTAGGCAGGGTTGAAATCCTTGGCCTCCATCGGGCTTTCGCCAGACTGCGGCAGCAAAAATTGTTTCAGAAGCGTGTCCCGCACGTGCGCAACAGCTTCGAAGCCGCGCGGGTGTGCCTTTTCCGTCACAATGAGCACACCACCATCCGGGTTCAGAAGAGTCCATAGGTTGTTCAAAATAGCTTGCCGGTAGTGGTCCTGCTTTTCCTTGAGAAACAAATGTGACGCGATGATAATGTCGTAGCTCTTGCGCTTCTGCGGTTCGCCGCCGGAATCCAGATGCTGGCCGCTCTTCATGGTACCCGAGTGCACATAGTCGGGCAACCGTGGGAGGAATGTCGTGTTGTGCAAAAACGTCTTGAGACGCCCGCGTAGTCGATCCGAGCTAACAACGACCGTACTTTTGCCTGGAATCTTTTCGCCCTCGACTTCTCCCTTCTCAGCAAGTAGATCCCACTCCGCTTGCAAAATCTGTTCCCAAGCGACAAGGCCAGCGCCTCCCGTACCGGCATCCAACACACTTAAGCCTGGCCCGTTATTTCTCAGCCGCGATTGGATCCAGTCACCTCCGGCTCGTTTTCGTACTTCTCGTAGTGTGGCCATGGTGCTGGCATAGGCCCCAGGGACATAGGCTGCCAGGAACGCATCCGCCTCGATTTCTGTCATGTGCTTCGTGTTTGGAGGTAGGCCAATTCCACCCATGTGCCCATTTCGTAGGCCAAATGGTGTCACGGGGGATGTCGGCAGTCCCCTGCCTCCAAAGGCCGACTCTGCCGCAGTCTTGACATGGTCCAGGTGCGTTCTCCCGAGCAGCGACTGCAAAGGCTTCACTAGACGCTCCTGGGGAAGTAAAATTTCCACAGGGCTATCGTGAAAGCGACCTTCAATAGTGTGGGGGTGAAAACGGCGAACCTCTCCAGTTGATATCGGTTGATATGCCGCCGGGTAGTCTCCAGCTGCCCATGACGTCTCCCCCTCCATATCATTGATCAGACTGTCATTTTCCTCCAACTCTTCCGGTTCATATGCTGCTTCCTCTTGGGCTCGCGTGGATGAATCGTACTCCTTCTGTAGCTGCTCCAGAGCAATACGCTCTCTATCGCTTTGCGCAACCAGGTCGATATACCCTGGTTCTTTCGCAACGACAAAGTTTTCCACACTCTCGCCATCTTCCACCGATTGCTTTGCTACCTCGTAGCTGACTTCTTCGAACTCGCCACCATCAAGCTCTCGAAGCAATATTCCCTCGCCATCGGGGTCCGCGCGCCCCATGTCAGAATGCTCTGGGATACCAACATCTTCAGGAGTCGTCTCGCGTAAGGGCGGGCCGTACAGCCTCTCGTAGAGACGGAATTCTTCTTCGTTCAAATAGCCCTTGGGTAGGGTATCCCGAAATCGTTTCTTGGCATCGCGCACTATTTGTTCGATGTCTTCGGAGGTTTGTGCTGCTTCGCCGGCCGTCGATACGTCTCTTAGGTTCCGCGAACTCGTAAAGTGTCGAGCTACAGTCGCTTTGCGACTCGAAGGGAGCGTCGCAGTTTGTCGTCGGAGCTGTCGTGCTTCTGTAATTCCTCGACAGTCCGCCCTGTGCTGTCGCGAAGCCGCAACAGAGGCTCTATAGCATCTCGGACATGCATTTCGTATGCTAACCAGAGAAAGCATAATTTTTGGTCTGATGCCGGTTCGAGATACAGAAATGGGTTGAACGGAGAATTCCTAGAACTTTTCCTGTCGCGGCGTCACGTGTAAGGTCATATCCATTTAGGGGTTGCTGATAGGCTGCCATCTACAGGGGCTCATCTGCTCCTTTTTGCACTAAAACTTAAGGCAAGCAACTACGCAGGCCAGGCCGCAGATTTTTATTCATATTGGTATTAGTATTAGTATTAGTATTACTATTTATCGTTATAACATCCCTAAAAAGGGCAAATAACGCCTACGGGGATCTTTAAACTAAATAAACTGTATTTTATAAATCATTCTAAATATCAACCCTTCTAACAGGTCTTATATAGCTTTTACTAGTTTATTATAGGGTTTTTTAAAGATAAGGAGGCCGCTTAGGGGCCTCTAAAAAACATAGATATAGGGGATAGAGGTTAGGGCCTACGTGTTAGGGCTATCCTTAGGTAGATCTTACTAAAAAATAAGCTCTCCTAGGCTAGTCTTATATATTTAAGCTATCTAATACCTATAGTATTATTAATATACTAATATTAGCTAAACTAAAGAGGTACTACCCTCTTCCCTTATATCTTCTTATAAAAAAAAATATATCTTAGGGTTTTTTATTTACTATAGCTATATATAAGTATAATATTAGTATAGTAGAATTATTTATAATATAATATAAAGTCTTTATAGCTAGTCTAGGCTATAAAGAGGTAGTAAAGCTCTAAGTATATTAGTACTTTAAGCTCTAGGTTTAAATAGTCTTTTATTAGGAGTTTAAAAAGGTAATATCTATTAAGCTAGTTAAGGTACTACTACTTATTAAGTTACTTAGTAGTTTTATAAGTAAAGGTCCTCTTTATATAGCTTTATATTAAGACTTATTTATTAGTTAGGGGCTTTATAGCTAAGCCTTCTTTTATAAGTTAGTTAGTAAGCTTATTACCTAATATTCCCTAGTATCCTAGTACCTAATAGATATTAATATAGGTATTAAAGAACTAGGTAAGCCCCTAGAATTCTACTATTAAGCTATATAAGGATACTAAAATACCGCCTTATAGGCCTATTATTACTACTATATTATTAAGGTAGATTATTATTTCTTTAATCTATAGTATAAGATATTATATAGTAGTATAGAGTCTATACTATACTCCTTCTATTTCTATATTAAAGACCTTACTAAGGGGTATTAATCTCTTACCTTAGTATATATAGGTTTCTTCCTAGAAAAGGGTATAGCCTATCCTTACTTTACTATTCTTATCTATTAATCTATCTAAAAAGACTATAAGATAGTAGTTTATTTTAGTCTTAAGCTATTATTAAAAGGCTTTAGTCTTTTTAGCTTTATCTAGGTGAATCTCTTTAAGTAGGTAGACTAGAGGCTAAAGGGGTAGTCTCTTAAAGGCTAGAATGCTTTTATAAGCTATTACTACTACTATTAGTCTTTATTACTTATATAGGCCTAATACCTAGTTTCTCTTTCTAAAGCCCTTAATCCTATAGACTATAGGATATTTCTTATTAAGCGTCCTAAGCCGTAGTACGTGTCTACCTCTTAACCTATTAAGGAGTAGATAAATTAGGGGAGTGCTAGCTTCTTACTAAATAGCGGTTACTAGTGTAGTCCGCCACACTAGTACGCATCCTCTTAGCGCCATGGTTAAGCACTTTTACATCTTATCGAGTTACTCTAGCAGCCCTTGTTCATATTGGTGCTCAGAGTGTTACAATAAAAATGTGGAAAATTCAGCTTAGGGAAGTATCAACAGTCTTATCTTACAACCCCAAAATTGGACATCTTACTCAGAGCTCAAGTCGGCTAATGTCTTGAAAGTCTTCGGCTTGGGAGGTGCTGGTGCGGCTGGTCGCGCAGCACTCGTATTTACCGCCCGAGTATCACTCTTCTTGTTCTCAATGTTAAAATAGGAATTCTTGGCAGATCTGTATGCATCGCTCTGTGGGCAAAAGGCGGTTAGCGGGCAGTACATTGGTATGACAGTTTGCTCGCGACATACCGAGAAAAAGGACACCAAGTACAGTCCGATGATGGTAATTAAGTGCTGAATAATAGAGCGAGGGTCAAATGAAATGTTGCCGAGAGCAGAGCCGCTGGAACCGCTGCCGCCAAGCGTCTGGCCGCGGTTGCCAAAGACTTCTGCGCTGCTACCGCCTTGCACGAGCTTGCTGGCCTTGACGATAGCGCCGGCGAGAGCCGCGGGGTTTGCGCCAGTGACGGTCTCGACGACGATGCCCTTGTGGAGGACCTTGAACGTGGGCAGGCTGCGAACGCCGTACATCTGGCCGATGCTGCCCTTTTCCGTGTTGACCTTGACAAAGGCCATCCTCTTTGGCTTGGCGTACTCGTCGGCCAGGCGCTCAAAGTGAGGACCAATCATTTTGCAGGGACCGCACCAGTCGGCATAAACTATTTTGTGCGAGTTAGCTACTGGCCTCGGTCATCGGCGGGTGTTGTCCACGGATGAGGCATACAGTCTACCACGACGACTTGGGTCTTCTCGAGCACCATATCCCACTCCACCTGGTCGCTAATATGTTGTGTGTTACCCATTTGGGGCGCTTGATTTAGAGAGAAATGATATGGTGTAGACAAAAGCGTTGGCAGCTGGATGTAATGATCAGGTACACGTCTTGGACACGGTTGCTGACGAATAACGCAGCCTGTCTAAGGATTCTGGACTAGGTAGGCGGTCAATCATTCTGCCATTCACCTCCACAACAGCTCCCATCTCCTTACGAACGAATTCTGCACCTATCATGTACAGCAGACGTATTGTAGATATATTTGGCAAATGCGGTGCTCTCGGCATGTAATTGAGACGATTTTCCAGACTCTGTCGCCATGGTCGTCAGCCGATGAGCCTGTCACCATTCCATCAACTTCGGCCCCGCAGTATGTATCATAAAGTAAGGCCACTTGGGACAGTCAATCCGTCAATCCTCTCTCATTGGACTTGAGGATATAAAATTGTGGTTGATTTGACTTGTATTTGACTTGTATCCAACGAAGAGAAATCAATGAGGGATTGGCAGTACTAGACCTATGGTTAGGCCTATTGCGCGGGCCACCCGCCATAAATGGCATCCGAAGGTGCGGCAGAGGCCACGTCGTGATACATGGTTGACGACCTCCTACTGAGGACGCCGGCGGGCAGGTCGGGGTGGCGGGGGTGGCGGTGGGATCTGCAAAGTCAACATCGCCCACGGCACTGGTGGGCGCAGAAAGTCGAGCACTTGTTGGTGGTCCAACCTTGACGACCAGTTGTTACGGCCACTCCGTCGGCTTTGCAGATGCCTATTTCGTTGAAAAGTAGTCACTAGTTCCCACCGTCCCCTCTTAGTTATTTGATAGTCAGTCTTGCAACGACTCTCATATTTATTCGGGGAGACTAGAAGAAGCGGAAAGAAAAGTGCATCTCGGCAGCAGTCGGTTGAAGTCATCTTTTTCTCTCAAAACGATTCTGAAACTGGTCATGACAAGCGTTGTCGCGATTTGTGTGGGATAAGTGAGTGTTGAAGTGGTTATCGTATCGACCAGGGTTTGAGAAAATTAAGCTTATCTCTAGCGGGCGCCGTAATTGTGGCGCGGGGCCGTCATTGGCGGACATGTCTTTGTATTTTTTGGGGGTAACGTGATGCAGCCAAATTTGGGAGAAGAACAGCATGTAATACATAATACTAGGTACCGGTAGGCGCCAAGAAAACGGGAAGGCGGGTGGAAAAGTGGAAGGCGAGGGCAGGAGGAAGGGAGAGAGGGTTTGCGCCATTCAGCTGGGGCGGCACAGACAAAGAACAACGTTGGCTTGGGAGCATCTCGCTTCCCTCTTGGCTGACGCGGCGCCGAGACGTCAAGGCAGATGTTGGCTTTTTATTGTTATTTATAACTCGATTCAAGACATCTGTCGGGTGTCTCTAATAAGTCGGTTCTATCGCAGGGCGAGAACCTTTGGCGAGCCCTGGAACAAAGTCCTCTTGATGGCGCCATTCCAGCTCCGGCGGCGGGGGGGTCGATCACCAGGCTGCATGTTCTAGGTACTAATTTTAGGCTGGTAGTTAGCACACTGCATGAAGGCAGATGACCAGAGACATGCAGACGATGGCGCTGTTGCGAGTGAGGGGGCTTTTCATTTTTCCATCTCTTCAGCCTTGTTCTTGTAATGAATATTTCTATTGTTTTGTAGCGCATGGCTGTTTGTCCATTTGGGTTGTTGATATGTACGCTCATTGGACGTTCCGGCACTTGCCCCTACCTACTAAGGGACCCAAGGTACCTGGAGCAAGCAACATTGCAGCAACTCAGCAAGCAGAACTCGCCACAACTCAGGAAAGAGGGGTTCGGTCGGATAGTGCCCGAATTGGCATCGACGGCAGGATGGCTATCAATATTATCACAGTGCGCTATTGGATGACCCTCACTGGGGTGGTCCACTTACTCGGCCTTTGCGACGGATTCTTAATACATACCTACCTGGTACATACGGTACTACGGAGTAGAATACTAGGGGTAGTGACAGGTACCTAGGTACAAATTCCCTACCGCCGTTTTTACGCCTGTCCTGTCTTTCTCCCATCCAATTCCACCACCAAACCTCGCCTCCTCTCCATACAACCACCCATCTCTGTACAACTTCATTCCCACCCCGCATTTTCTTTCCCCCTTTGATCTTCTCTTCTTTCTCTCTCTTTCTCTTTTTATTCTAGCGTCCATTTGTGCATGCCGAAATCGCTCCCGTCTCCCGACGCCAATTGTCCCGAACTCCCTCCACGCACGCACGCACACCCTCGACGTTGGCCCGCGCCATCTTCCCGCCCGTCCTCCCCAACGTCTGACCATTTCCACCCGCCGTACCACGTCACCCACGGGTCAGGGCATACCGGACTCCATGGCCTTGCCTCGCTAGCCTTGGCCTTTACTCCCCGTTTTTTTCTTCTTCTTGTCTGCCGTCGCGCGCCACCCGCCACCCGCGATAGACGCAACACATCGAGGCGTTCTTTTCCTTCGCAAACGCCGAGCGCGTTGCTCGACGAGGGCATCACCTCTCTGCCTGGAGCGCGTGCGCAGAGAGCGTAGAATGGTGTCCGTCGACGTCGCCGCCTCGGCGACGCTGACGGCCGCCGCTTTCCTCTGCACGTCGACCCTCTATCCGGCCTTTGGTGTCATCACCCTTCCCGACGTGGGCTTACCCGTCACCCTCGCCGAACCGCTCGTGCTGCAGGTTCCCTGCGTGCCGCTCTTACTACGCGCCGACAGTAATGATGGCAGCAGCAGTAGCAGCAGCACCTCCATCACCACTACCACGTCCACTGCAAGCGCCCAATCGAAGCAAGGCGCCACTACCGGCGGCACGCCCATCACTACCTCCCCCGCTGTCGCGACCGGCTCGGCAGAGGCTGCCGCCGCCACGAACCCAACCACCACCGACGACGGCAACATAACAATCTCGGACATTGTTCTCACCGCGACCACGGGCACCCCCACTGCCACGGCCACGCTCAACTTTCACAATGGCAACGACAACCCCAAGAATGTCCACATATCCAGCTTCGGCGACCCCTTCTACCTCTCCACCTCGCCCATCATCTACGCCCTCTCCGCCACCACAATTGTCTCCTGGATGCTCGTCATCGCCCTCTTCATCACCACCCGCTCCACATTCGACGGCGGCATCGTCTACCTCGGCAGCCGTGGGAGCTTCACCGGCACCACCTCGGCCGGCGTCAGCATCGGCGGCCGTCCCTGGCTGCAAAAGATTGCCGCCCTCACCGTCGCCATATCCCTCACCATTGCCACGGCCGACACAATGTCCATTGTCAAGGACCAGTATGTATGGGGCATCACCAATGCCCGTGAGCTACAGCGCGACGTCATGTCTCGCCTCGAGCTCAAGGTCATTCGCATCATATCGGATACCTTTCTCTGGCTGGCGCAAGCGCAGACCCTGATTCGCCTCTTTCCTCGACATCGCGAAAAGGTTGTCATCAAATGGGTTGCCTTTGCGCTCATCAGTCTCGACATTGTATTTTCCTCGCTCAACAGCTTCCCTTTTGGTGAATACGATATTTTAAACGGCAACTACGTTGACCCAAACGACGGCGACGACAGCAAGAGCAACAAGGGCCTCGCCCACCCCATACCAGCCATTAGCTACGTTTTCAAACTATCACTCGGCCTCCTCTACTTTTTTTGGGTCTCCTACTACGCATTCTTGAAGCGGCGCTACGCCTTTTATCACCCTTTGATGAAGAACATTAGCCTTGTTGCGGTGATTTCACTCCTGTCCATCACCGTGCCCATTGTCTTTTTCATCCTCGACATTTCGAAACCGAACTTTACTGCCTGGGGTGACTATGTTCGCTGGGTCGGCGCCGCCGCCGCCAGCGTGGTTGTGTGGGAATGGGTCGAAAGGATAGAGGCCCTGGAACGAGAAGAAAAGAAGGACGGCGTGCTGGGCCGTGAAGTATACGACGGAGACGACATGCTTGAGATCAACGCCGCCGAATATCCCTGGCGCCATAAACACGGCAAATTCGGAGGAAGCGGCAGCAGCGGTGGAAGCAACGGCGTCGACTTGGAAGGCGGGCAGATGCATCACCGCCCTAATGGATATGCGCTTGGCACAGGCGGCTCGCCTAATGGGCAGGCGGGGCTACCAACGCGTGAACACGAAGGGCGCAGCATGGGCGACATACTACGACCACCCATATGGTCGCAACGAGCAGCGCAGGCTGCCACACCCGTCAGCAGAACCAATACGCCCAGCGCGGCAAGCACAGTATACGCCGTACGATATCAGGGCGAGTCGAGAACACCGGAGCCGCCTATACCGTATTACACGCACACGACCGATTTAGCCAGGCAACCCAGCGGGCATCAAAGCTATAGCGAGGATGCTCACGACACACGGAGCCATAATGGACGAGGGGCATATGCGAGATCGTCACCGGATATGGCTGGTGACGCTGCCAACACCACAAGTGAAAATAGCAGAGATCCAAGCGCAGTGATACCGACCACCGCTCGGGTTATGCGCTCGGTTTCGTACAGTCATGAGCCGGAAGCTCAAGATGTCGCTGACGAACAGATTGTTGCTCGAAGTATGGATTTCAACACCATTACAACAGGCAGCCGAGGCGGGCGCGGTGGCAGATGGGATATCCGTGGGCGCCTGGAAGACTTTGCAGCCTCGCAGGCCGATCATTTCCGCGAGAAATTCCACCCTTCTACCGATACGGAGAAGCTACCCGTTACGGTGGTGCCTGCGCCATCTCGTGTGGGTGCCGCGCTGCAGCAAGTGCTTGAAGAAGACGAAGGCAACGAAGTGCGGAGACAACAGCAGCAGCCTACGCAGCAGCAGTCACAAGGTGGTAGCGTCTACGGTGGCAGCTCGGCTATTGACGCCGCGGCATCGACGGCGTCGGAACGGTACGCCAACGGCCCTGCACGGCCTGCGGCGGCGCGCAGCCGGCCCCAGCCGCTTCCCCTGCCGGTGAACCAGCCACCGCTGTGGCCGGGCGTGCATCGGCGGGCCGCGACCTACGACGAGGAAGAAGAGGGCGAATCGTTTGATGGCGAAGAGGAGGATGAGGACGAGGGCCAGTCGACGACGGACGACTTGTCGTCGGTGCTGTCCCGGGAGCGGCCAGGCGGATCATCGGCGTCTCGCGCGGGGTAAATACTGACATGTACATGAAAGGAAGACGGCCGACCTTGGAGGTCGTCTTGTATATATAAACGTGTGCGATATACCACATCATCTGTTACAGGAGCGTCCTTTTGGAACGGGGCGTATATTTGGCGTTTTTGATTTATGCAGAGCTTTTGGCGGCGACTGTTGGTGTACAGTCGGTAGTGGATGAATACAGACACACAGGCCTGGTTTCACAGGCACTGAATTGAGGATCACCACAACTCGTGATCATGTATCCGTAGAAGTATGCGTAACTTGTCTGTGAATTACGTACAATTGCAAGCAGCTTAGCGCATTGTCCCCGGGGCGAACGAGAGGCCTCTTTTTTTTTCTTGACAGGGTCATGTCGCCAAGAATGGCAGGTTCTGAGACCTTGCTGGCTGGGTCTACACTGGCGTTGGTGGGGGCTTTTAATCAAACGGGGACCTGCATGGGGTTTTTGGGTCCGGGGTCCTGTTTTCTCCTGAGTTTTTTGTACCAAGTAGTTGACTACGGATATTACCTGGCGAATAGGCTGTTTGGAAGACTATCAATTCTCTCGTCATTTTGATAGTTGCCCTGGTCGGGATCGGGATCACGGAGGCGGACATGCTCCGTTTGCTCAAGTTGCCTGACAGCTAGGTAGTTAGTTGCCTGACAGCTGGCAAATACAAACGGGCTGTAACGACCATCGCCAGATTGATCTAGCCAGCCTCATCTACAATCCACAGCGTTGCGCATCGGAAAGGAGAAGAAGAAGATTCGTAAAAAGAAACAGAAGAAGCGCGCTTGCTTTTCCCCTGCCCCATCTCCTCATGACGCGCTGCGGGCCATAGATCCCTTTTCTCCCGCTTCTCTGCTTTGGCCGCTCGCTCGCTGTACCTGCGCAACACAGGGGTCCCCACCAATCGAGGAGGAGGAGGCCAGCGTGAGAGGGTTGACGACCCCCCCAAAGCCCAAACGGGGAACCGACGCCAAATCTTTTTCTTCGCTTTTCCCTTTTGCCTCTCTCCACGCCCGGATTCTCTTCTTCCTCCTGGCTCTGTTCTTTCTTGGTTACTCAACGACCGCAAAGGGTTCCAATTCATTCATTCACTACACCGAAGCAGAGGAATAAACCGCCCAGACTTGTTGGACAATTTTTACCGCTCCCAAGCACTGTTGGGCCCCCCCTTTGGTTGAAGACAAAGAAAACAAGGCCCTCCCCTCCAGCGTTAACCTTCAAACAGCAAAGGGGGTCTTTTTTTTCCCTGGCGGTTTGCATTGAACAAGGGGGAAAAAGAACAGACAAAAACCACACGACTAGCGGACACGACGTCACCTAGTTCCTCCTAGAGCAGAGCAAACTTCCCACGTCGAATTTGAAGACGGAACTCAACCGAGGAAACCGAAATACCAGAGAAAATACGGGCATACGCACACAGACACAACATCATGGCGACGATTGACGCGGCGAACGATAAGGAGCCTTTTCCGCTCCTCAACACCTCCCTCGACCCCTTTGCCATGGACGAGGACTCGGCGCCGCGCCGACGCCGCAAGAGCTCTGGCCTGGGCGGCGAGATCCGCGCCGGCGACACCGGCGCCCCGGCCTTTGCCTCTAGCCAGGCGAGCCTCAACGCCGGCGACTCCTTCACCCGCCACGTATGTCCCGTCTGCCCCCGCCCCTTCCCCTCTGTCCCTCTCGGGTTTCCATTTTCCCCTGTCCTTGCCATTGCCGTACGGCCTCGCCCCAAGTAAAAACAGCCATGGCACCTGCTAACCCCCCTCTCCTCCTCCTCCTCCAGGCCGACTCGCCCTCGTCCCCTGTCACGCCCACGTCAACCGCCTCGCCCGCCGCTGGCAAGCGCATCTCGAAGCGGCGCCGCGCGCGCGGCCTCGTCTCGCGCGTGCGGCAGCTCATGGTGCGCCGCACCTTTGTGCTGCCCGCGGTGCTGCTGCTCCTCTTCCTCGCCGGCTACGCCGTCAACCCGACCGAGTCCAACGTCCTCCACCACTTCATCTTCCTCTCGTACCCGCTGCCGCAGGACGACCCGGGCAAGCCCGTCATGTACGGCAAGGGCCCGTGGGACATGGCCTTTGTCGCCTTTTACATCATCGTCCTCACCTTCACGCGCGAGTTCATCATGCAGGAGCTGCTCCGGCCGTGGGCGCGCAGCACCGGGCTCAGCAAGGCCAAGCAGGCACGCTTCATGGAGCAGGCGTACACGGCCGTCTACTTTGCCTTTCTCGGCCCCGCCGGCCTGTACGTCATGAGCCGCACCCCCGTGTGGTACTACAACACGACGGGCATGTACGCCGACTTCCCGCACCGCACCCACGAGGCCGTTGTCAAGTTCTACTACCTCTTGGAGGCCGCCTACTGGGCCCAGCAGGCCATTGTGCTCATCCTCGGCCTCGAGAAGCCCCGCAAGGACTACTACGAGCTCGTCGGCCACCACGTCGTCAGCCTCGCCCTCATTGGCCTCAGCTACCGCTTCCACTTTACCTACATTGGCATCGCCGTCTACACCTCGCACGACATTTCCGACTTTTTCCTCGCCACGTCCAAAGTCCTCAACTACCTCGACCACTTCCTCATCGGCCCGTACTTCTTCGTCTTTGTCTGCGTCTGGGTCTACCTCCGCCACTACATCAATCTCCAAATCATCGTCTCCATGTTTACCGAGTTCCGCACCGTCGGCCCCTTTGAGCTCAACTGGGAGACGCAGCAGTACAAGTGCTGGATCTCCCAGTACATCACCACGGCCCTGCTCACCTCGCTCCAGGCCCTCAACCTCTTTTGGCTCTTTTACATCCTGCGCATCGCCTACCGCTTCGTGCGCGACAGCAACGCCACCGACGACCGCTCCGACGACGAGGACGAGGACACGACGCTGGCAGAGGATCGTAAGCTCTCGGTGCCGATTCTCACAATCAATGGCGAAAAGCCCAACGGCAAGTCTGAGTAGAACGGACAAGTGCTGCGCTTCGGCTCGCCGTCATCGGGCTATTGTCAATGTACAGTTGGTTCCAATGGCGCATGACGAACAGCCACTTTGTTTTCTTTACTTTTTTTTCTTTCTTTCTTGACGAGTAGCATCAGGGTGGTGGTACTCGTTCACTCCCAAGGAAAAGGATGTTTTCTCTCTACAATACCTTATTAATGCCTTTTTTCGCATTTTTTGTGGCAAAACAAAAAATTCAAATGCATGGAAACCGGAGTTTTTTCTTTGTCAACAAGCACACCATTGTTTGACAAGGTTTCGCATCACTTACACTCGCTTTGTTGAAATGATTTTATTTTCCCGGTGGGCAGAGGTCGGAAAGGGAATCGGGAACTCGGTCAACGGGGGGGGGGGCAAGGGTACGTTGGTAGTGGTAGTATGCGTCATTGACTAAATAAATGCCTGCGTTGTTGGCATGCTGGGATGGGGAACAATTTGCATGATAGGATGACATGGATGGATACGTGTTGCTTTTCCTGTTCTCATTATGATATTCTACTTCATTGTTTGTACCATAGTTTTTCTCTACACTGTATCCCCCGGCTAGCAACGGACAAGTTCTCAAGGCCTGTCCCGTCGCGGGCCGTGTTTATTCTCTGTACTTTTCAATTAGGGTTTTTAATACGTGCCCACCGCGGCACACGACATTCGCTTTTACTTCCGCCGGGCAAGGACATTTAGGGTGCGATCAAGAAGGAATAAGCGACGTGAGTTGTATTTCTCTTCCCATACCGTGGTCATGATGAAAAAGGAGCCGCTTCTCAACCTTCTTCGACCCGTCTTCTTCCCAGAGGCATCACAGAAAAAAAACTCGCCCTTTTTGCGCCAGAATGCGCTCGCCGCTCCAGAAGCAAAGAAAAAACAATAACCCGAAATTCAGAAGCTATTTTCCGTCCGCATATCCATGGATTCACCTTTTCTTTTCCGTGCTTTAAAAAATGACAGACTCGCACGCCGGCCAATTACAGACCCTTCCTCTGGTCTCAAAAACTCGACTCAGCAACCTGGCGGAAAGTTCCCAGGGAAATGTCATCAAAATAAACAATCAAAAGCAACAAGAGTCAAGCGAGAAATGTAGAATGTGGAAAGATGATTTTGTGGAAAATGGAAATAAAAGACGGATAGAAAAACAATCAAGAAAAAAACAACCAGACGCCCCGTCAACGCCGCTCGTATGCAGATTTGATGACCGGTGTGTTTTGCCGGGAGGAAATCATATTTTCGTAACAACATCCATAATGCGTCGGCATGGTAAAAGAGAGTGAAAGACGAGAGTAGGTGGAATCGTGAAAGCTGAAGGGGGAAAAAGAAAGAAGAAAAAAAGGCTCAGAAAATAACCACGCTCGTCTGTCGCTCAGGACAGTAATATTAGGTGCCAAATCCACCTCACGGTGGCCAGCATTGGTCTTTATTCGCTTCCCAGAGTCTTGTTGCCTTCTATGACGGTAAAGAAAACATGTCTCCTCCCTGAGAGATGAAATCGTTCAGACCCGTATCGACCCGAGTGGAGTGTTTACTGGTTCAATTTGCGCTCTGGCGAGTGGTCGTCCGTGTGTCCAGACTCCTCGTCCGACGAGGACGAGCCGGACGTGGTGACCTCTTCCGTCGTGTCGTCACTCTTGCTGTTCTTGGATCCGCGGCTTGCATTGTTGCCAGTAAGGGTAGCCGAGGAGCCTAGACTGTTATAGCCGTCTAGAGGCGTCTCGGTTCCCTTCTTGTGGCCCATGTTAGCCTTGCGGAGGAAACGTGTGGCACGGAGAGTCGCAGTTCTAGCAGCATCGAGAGCGCGTTCGGCCCGGATCTGCTTGTCCCACATCGACGCGTATCGGCCACCAGCAGCCAGAAGCTCCGCATGTGTGCCCTTCTCAACGATTGTACCAGCATGAAGAACCACAATCTGGTCAGCATGGGTAATCGTGGACAAACGGTGGGCAATAATAAGTAGAGTGCGGCCTTGGCCGATGTCCCAAACATTCTCTTGGATCTCCTGCTCGGTGTGCGAGTCCAGAGCTGAGGTGGCCTCGTCAAGCATGATGATGCGAGGATCCTTGAGAATAGTGCGAGCGATTGCAACCCGTTGCTTCTCGCCGCCGCTCAGCCTCAGACCACGTTCTCCAACCTGGGTTTCGTATTGGTCCGGGAACGATAAAATCCGGTCATGAATGCTGGCAGCCTGGCAGGCAGCATAGACTTCCTCATCCGTAGCGTTTGGGTTTGCGTATCTCAGATTGTACATGAGCGATTCGTTGAACAAAGTTGTATCTTGAGGAACAACACCGATATGACGACGAACGGACGAAATTGTCAAGTCTCGTACATCTTGGCCGTCCAATTCAATGCTACCTTCGTCGCACTCGTAGTATCGGAACATGTGACGGAAAAGGGTAGATTTTCCGCCGCCAGACTCTCCAACAAATGCAGTCGTGGTTCCAGGTTGACACTCGAAGCTGATATTGCGCAGCGCCGGACGGCGCCTGTCGTAAGAAAAGTTGACATTTTTCCAGCGAATGTGGCCGGAAAAGTTTTCGAGAGGCTTTGCGTTGGGACTGTCGACAACCGTAGGCTGAATTTTGAACAACTCAAGCAAGCGCTCGCCTGAAATCATGGATTGCTGTACTGTACGGTAGAAGGTGCCGAAGAAGTTGAGCGGGCCTTGAAGCTGGGTGAGGTAGGAAATGACGACAAACCAATCACTAGATTCGCGGCTTCCCACAGCAACCTGCCAACCACAGATGAGGGCGGCCAAAATCCTGCCAAGATTGAAAACAAGCGTCTGGCACACGTTCATCATGACCATACCAATTTGTACCTTGGCTTCGGCTTTTTGGTAGGCTCCGACCTTGTCACGATAACGGTTGGATTCGTACTCTTCGGCGTTGAAGTATTTGACCGTCTCGTAGCTAGATATAGAATCATTCTTGACGGCCTCTTCTTCTCTATCGGCATTAGTCATTTCGCGTCGTTGGTCAGCTCGGGTCGATGCCATCTTGATAGTCATGTAGAGATACCAGCAGGTATCGACCAAGTTAATTTGCGCGTAGAGGGGTCCGAATTTGTAGTAAAAAACGCTAATAGATAAGACCAAATCAAAAAGCATAGGGATGACTTGAAAAGTGACCTGCTCAAGGAAGGAGTTTATGGAAGAACCCTTGTTGAGTGCCGACAGGACTTCGCCCGTGCGCTTGGAGAGATGGAAGTCCAAGCTGAGAGAATGCACATGGTTGAAAGCAGCCGTCGTCAAGCCGCGGTACGAGTACTGGGAGACAGGTATCCAAAGTAACGATCGAAGCGGCCCAAGCATGCCCTGCAGAATCCAGAGAAGCCCAAGAAACAGGGAGGCGCGGAGCGGAAACAGATCCATAGTCAGGGGTTGTCCATCTTGCACTTCCTTGATGGCATGGTTGAGCTGCTTGACAACCTCACCGATCTGGGTCGGCACAATGATGTTGACGATACGCTGGATAATGACCAAGACAAAGCAAACGAGGACCTGCAGCTGCAGCATGACGGAATCCTTGGGCCACAAGTAAGGGAAAAAAAGGGAATATCCGCGGATATACTCCCACCATGTCTTGTGGGGAAGCTTTTGCGGTCGATAAAAGGCAGCGTTTTCGTCTTTGCGAGAGTTCGGGGCTGCGTTTTTGGCTGCGTTAGACATGGTTCGGCCTCGAGAGCGACGAGGGTATGATTCGCGTCCAATGGTCCCGTTAGAAATAGCATCGCCGTTTTGGGTTTCATACGACCTCTGATAGCCGTTCAAAAGAGGAGTTTGCTCATGGTCAAAGCCGTCCTCGAGCTTGTCAGAGCGCTTTGATCGTACTTTGCAGATCCAGGCGATGCTAAAGACGCCAATGAGTGCAGTAAGATGGAGGATTCGGACAAAGTATAAAACCAAGTCAAGTTTAATCCAGTGATCGAAGCAGCCTCTAGCGCTCAATTGGGCCTGGGGGTTGGCCATGCGGCATGCAGCGGCAGCTTTGAAGGTGGTGGCGAAGATCACAATCTCGCCGGCTAGGCCTAGGACCCAAATCAAGAGGTGAACGACGTTGGGGCCCTTTTTCCAGTCGAAGAGGGAGAAAAGGATATAGAGGTAGAAGAAGATGGAGCCAAGAACGTGGACGACGGTCCACTCGCCAGCCCATGCAAGGCCTTCCTTGGACCATTTGTAGGGGTCGTCGTGGTAGAAGGCATGGTCAAACATGAAGGCGCCAGTTGCAATGTAGGACATGAAGATAACTGCGGCCAGATAACGAAAGACGTTCTTAGCAACCGAGCCAAAGTGAGGGCCGAGCTTGCGCGCGCCATCATCTGTTGTCTTTTTTTTTGTGACGGGCAACGGCTTTCCTCCGGGGCCTTTTAAGTGCGATTGCACAATGTTCTCCTGTTTTTTTGCATTATAAACACTGTACCATGCCACACATGACACGAAAGCAACGAGGAGCGTAAACGAGTATAGGTATTGTGTCTCGCGGAGGATCAGGTCGGAGGTAGGTATAGACGACGGTCCGGGTTGTCGCTGTTGGAGAGCCGAAACCTGGTCAGCGGCCGCCATGGCGGACTGAAGAATGGAGGCGGTTAGTTTGAGAAAGTTGATCAAGGGACTTTGTTGCAGAAACGAGAGAATCGTCGGGATGGTGAGGAAAGAGAGTTGGCCGACTTGGCCGAGTGTACGGAGTAGAGTTAAGGTGAAGCGAAGCAAACGGCGGCACAAACGGCGTCGGAGGCGACTGGTGAAAGGCAGATGAACCAACAGTGACGAGATGTAGTCAACATACAAATAGATGTGCAGATAGTCAATGCGAAGCGACCATGACCATGCCCCTTGGCAATTGGAAACGCAAGGTGCACAGGAGGCAGTAGCGCCGTCGTCAGGTGGCGGGATTGAGGGTTCAGAGTTGCGGCGCTCTCGAGTAAAAAGGCCCGCTGCGGGACAGAAAGGAAGAGCAGTCCAAGACCAGCTGCAATGTGCCAAACGAAGGAGGAGAAGAACGAGCTCGTCGTTTACCAGAGCAGTCGATTCGAGGAGGGGGATAAAAAGAAGAAAACGAACGCTGACGCACTGACAAAGGCAGAGCGAATGTTGGGAGAAGAGGCGAAAGTTAAGAGTTGTGCCGGTCTTTTTGAAGGCCGATCAAAAATTGGCCCCGGCCGCTGAGAACGGGCGAGACAGGGCCTGTGGAGGGGCCTGGGTGGCGGAAGCGCAGGTGGTGCAGCACCAGGTGCAGCAGGCAGGTGGTGCAGTACAGTGGGCGCGCCAGGCGGGACTCCTCTCACCTCTCTAGCGGGGGTACCTCGGGTCGGTAGGTACTTTTGGTAGGTACATAGGTACCTCCGCTAGGTACCTACGTACTTGCCAGGTAGCAGGAGGAGGTAGGTAGCCCTGCGGTAGGATTTGGTCCATGATTTCGGCCTGCTTCCTTTTCTGCCTACGTGAAGGATGACCTTGGGTATCTACCAAGGCAGTAACACAATCGTGTCCTACAGCGTGTGTTGCAGCGGCCATCAGGTCGCCTTGCATATAGCAAATCGATCTGATACACAAGTAGCGTCATACCAGTGTGTGTATCGACCCAAAATACTGGTTAACCCAACTTGGTGTGTCGGTACGTACGGCTCCCTCCCTTCCTGGTGTGGCGGTAGCGGGTGGGCATAAACTTGGTCCTTTCTTGCCTCGTTCCTTTCAGGGTGCAGCATCTCCATCCAGCCTTCGTACATGCTACCTTGTGTAGTACTTGGCTATCAACCCTACCTTAGCTTTGCAGCCTTCAGCGCCGCCCGCAGGTGCATACCGGCAACAGGCAGAAGCGGCGGGGAGCGAGCGAGGCTGCCGACAGGCCCCCAGCAAGGCAAAGTAGGAAAGTGGGGTGGCCGGCAAGCTTTGGGTTCAACCTCTCAACGTGCTTCAATTGACGCCGTACGTACGCCGTACACGTGCTGGTATAACAACGGCTTCGCTTCCGGAGCAATCTGGACAGCCCAAAGGCAAAGATACACTGCTGTACAACTCACGATACGAATGCACTCCCTCGTGGCATTATGCGATTCGTCGTCGCCCTCCTCTTCCGCGTCCGCGACGGGACACTCACTTGTTTGCTGCCACACTCACTGCTGCACCAGATCGGCTTCCATGTTCTGCGGCGTCGTACTGCGTCTTCATTCTTGGCCACGGACCCGGCTAAGCGGTACCTACCAGTCCCTCCAGAGGTCACGCCGTACGCCCTACCTACCTATAATCCACCTTTTTACCCTTTTTAACCCCAAGGCCCTAAGAATAAAGCTATCCCAAGACCCCTCCCTCTCCCTGAGCCCCAACAGTAGCATGTACCCAGGAACCCAAAGACGCAATTCGTAACAATGTAAGTATTAGGTAACTAGTCATTAAGGGTAAAATTACTCGGGGTAAAATAGGCCTGTTGAAGGCTGGATGCTCCCCGGCGCCTCCACAATCCTCCTACTGGGGCGGAGTAGGAGTACAAGGGACGCCTTCCTACAGCCTACAGCCTACAGGTACCTGGATACATCCCCTTCCTCACTTTGGTTGTACTTTGTACCCCGTCACATCCTCACCGTTTGACAGGCCACCACCAGAATCAAACATCCCAACGCACCATCCAAAGATCCATCCAATGCACACAAAGCCCTCTCCACTCCATCTCCCGGCCAAGCAAGCCTTGCTAGCGACCCCCAACCAGGCCAAGCTCCTTGCTGCTGTGCATGGTCGCGACTCTACTGATAGCCACAGGCCCTTCCTGTTTGCTTGGGATGCTCCATTGCAACCATGAATCATGCCGTGCCAAATGCCTAGTGTTGGGAGCAAACAATCGAGGTATTCAACTTGGCCAACAAAGGCTTCCAAGAATGAGCACCTGCGCCTATTGGTTGGTACCTGTCTACGGCGTAGACTGGTCAGCTGTCTTAATACTGACTCGACTTTCTGTTAGTCGCGGCCATGGCTGCCTTTCGCCCCGCGCCGTCAGCTGCTACTTATTACAGCAACGAATCAGATTCCATCCAAACGAAATATATTCCGCCATAACATTGTCAAATAGTTGAAAATGGAGCTGTCCGTATAGGGCGGGCCGTTGCCACCGCCGTTGCTTGGTCGCTGTCCAGTGACTCCAGCCAGTCTAGGCAGCTCCATGTATGCACGACACCACCTTAAAATTGGCTTGCGCGCCATTCGCTATCAACATGAGCTTCAGCTTGGTGCAAAGCGCCAACTCCGGCGCTGGTATCACTTTCGGCCGCATTGCTCAGGTGCCTTGCAAACTGGTTTCAGCTCACGTTTTCTGCAGAACCCATCTCCGCCACCACCACGGCAACACGGCCAAGACAACTGGTCATTCGGACGACGACCTGCCAGCGCCAATCGTTGCTACGCTGGGCGGCATTCGAGAGTCTCGATCTGAGCCGCACAGCCACTCGCATTGTTGCGTGCCAATGGGAAATAGATCAAGGCACAACATAATTTGAGCCTTCTCTGCAGCACCGCAACATTGCCACCCGGCCGAGGCGACTCCGGCTTGCCCCCATACACATTCACTTACCTGGTTAATCATGACTAGGGGGCTTGCTTGCATACGTAGCTCCCTCACCTCGCATCAGCCAGTCGGTCACAACACCACCCACAATGCTAGGGCGGGAGCTGCCAGCTGCCAATTTCGCAGTACATGTGTGCAGCTTCCTGGCTAGGCTTGGCTGCTTTGGAGTCAATACTCGATACTGTCGTATTTTGGGCTGTCATCTGCTCCCCCAGTTTCTCGAAACTGTGGGCGGGTGGTGTGAGTGTGTGTGTGACATGTGGACTGCTGACCATATATCCCGGCGTAAGTTCATGCACTTCATCGGAGCGTCATCGCCTGCCTTATTATCGCCAGATACCATGATTTGTGCACAACGCCACCAGAGCCAACGACCTGCTTGTCAGCACAATAAATGACTCTGGAAGTGGGAGTGCAGAATCCACTCGACCCAGGGTTCATCAGCTGCCGTGCGCGCCAGCTCTAGTTAGCGGACGATCAATTCTTCAATCCGCTACGAGCCGGGCTTCATATTAGCAACCCGGGTGTCGACCAGCGGCAATGACGCTTGCGGGCTTGCAAAGCTCATGTGCCTCAGATGCCACTTGCACGCTTTGCACCAATGACATCTGGCGTCGTCTTTTTTTTCACTTCTGACGATGCCTGGATATGAATCAAATACCGGCTGAGGCTTGGCGAGCCAGCGACCTTGTTCATCGGCGCATCTCCATGTGCACCCCTCCAAGGGATGTCACCGCGACCATGGAAATAACTATTTAGAGGCTGCAGCGCCTCATGAACTAACTAGCCAGATCCAAAAGAGTCTTGACTCTACTTTATATGATCCTCAGCCTTACGGTCCTGGCATGTACGGAGTCAAGCTAGTTCAGAATATAATAAGGGAGTCGGCTAATAAAGTAAGCTCTCCATCCCTCTTATTTTCCAAAACCTGAACACTTCTTTCAGCCTTCCAAGCCGAGATGGCAAAGAGCTTATAATAACGGAGGCTCACCATTTGAGAAGATTTAACAGCCTAGGACAATACAGTACACAAATTAGCCGTACAAAGATGACCTCACAGCACACCACTTGTCTGCTTGGTACGTCACATCATTCTACTAGTTACCAGTACTACTGCCTACACAATCCGCACGACTTGCCAGTGCGTCCCATCGATCGATGAGACTAACTTATTCATTGCTATAAACGCCAAACCTGAAGCCCAGCAGCAAACCCAGGATCATGTTTCCACAATAATGGACGTTCTAGACCAGCAACCATGGCCGATTAGCGGGCCCGGATACATATGCACGATATCCCACAACCAGGACGCAGAGGCACATCCTAGCAAGTCAAGAGAGCAAGACGACCAAGGGGGAAGAGCCGAAGCCACAGCTGCCTTGTGGTGGAAACGAGGCCAGCCTGGTATCCCGCTGAAGCCAGAAGGAGCAGGTGAGATGGTAACAGCCCGACGCCAACGATAATGCCTCCCATTGATTGGCAAGGCTCAATTCTCTGGCGATGGCTAGCGCGGTCTAGCTAGAAAAAATCGAGCATACTGGTCTGGTAGTAATTTCAATAGTGCCAACGTACGAGATGTCACATCAACGCCACATATTCCCATGGCATCGCAGGACACGCTCTCTTTGCGTTTCAAGATTGCTTCGGGAACGCAATCGAGCCTCCAAGAAGCTCATGCAACATCCGTTTCTCTAAATGAAGCCGTCAAAATTACCTCAAGTACCTGTGCGCAAACCTCTGAGGTGAAACCTGCACAAGCCATGCGTTACACAACATATTACAGAGCGTATCGCAGGGTGCTTGTACGAAACACGTTTTCTATCCAAGCTCCTTATTAATCATCGCGTTCCGGTTAGCGAGCTGTCAACCCACCAACAATGCAGCCGCTCGGTATCAGTACAGATACACTCGGTCAAGTGGTTGGTCATCCACGCTGGTTATGCTGCGATTGATGAAGCGGAGCAAGCGCTGGTTCAGGGCGACTTGCGCACAGCCAAGGAAAGGAACCAGCATTCCACTTATGTGCTTTTGCTCTTGTGATTGAGAGCACTGCCTCGTTCTCATGTAAGCCGTATCGCGAACAGGAATGGCTGCAGGAAACGATAACTACGTGGACCAGCTGTCATCGGAAGTCGTCTTCCGGTGCGTCGGATGTGCTGCGCGACTTGAAAAGGAAAAGGCTCACAGCGATCTGCCATGAATCCGTATTGGGGTCAGCATCAAAGCATTTTAGGCCTCTGCAAGAGGTACCGCAATGGCAGCACTGGCAGCATGTGCCACAGCCGGTGAGAGGCAGCATCTTGCATTCCCTCTGGCGACGCGGACCGAGGCGGGCGAGAGCCTTGTACTGGTAACTACAGAGTTGCTCTGCAAAGAATTGTGCAGATACCTTGGTCATGGTACGTCAGTTCAATGCCCAGGATGTCATGAAAATACGCCCCGCCTACCCGCCCAGCACGAATAACTAGTGTCAGAAGCGTGCCAGGTTTGTGCAGATCATTCATGCTTGAGCTTCGGGAACGCAACTGCCTGTCTTCCGAGCCCACGCTGCCGATGCTTGACATCCATCGACCCCGTCTCCGATAAATGAATAGCTTTGTGTTTGCTATTTCACAAACGCCTTATATCCAGAGCCTAAGCTGCCTGCAATCGGGAGGACTGCGGGACACATATACAGATTACTGTTATGTGTAAACATTCAAGTCGCCCAGCCATTCATTAACCTTGTTACAAGACGCCACAATGCGCTTCTAAACGGGGATTCGGCAAACATCCATGCAGGAGATGCGACCAGTGGCCTCTTCCCATCCTATGATCCTGGTATACACAAAAAGCCTTACTCGCATGTGAGTCTGTGTAACAGGCCCGGTCCGGTCGATCACCATGGAATGGACATGTTGCACGTCAACGAGCGGGTCCAGAGGTGCTTGGAGGTGCTTGGCGCGACAGCGCCTCCCGTCGTTCTTTTATGAAACGTCTACCGAGAAGGTGTGTTTACCATTGAAAGGGGAGAGCCTTTGTGTTTCGAGGTTGTGCAGTAGTATGTTGGCAATCCAATTCAGCAGGTAACGCGTCGGTTTCATGAAGCCATCACCAGCGATGGCGTAGCTTACGAAAGCGTAGTATCGAGAGCCGGTCGTGTTACCGAAAGAGGCAATGAGCTCTCAACATGAAAGTTTTTTGGACGAATCAGCACTTTGAAATTCATACGCAGCCTCTGGTGCTTGGACCTTTATTTCCTTTGTCTGGTGCAAATCTGTGTCACCAGTTTGGACAAGTTGACAAGGGAGAAAGTCATGTCGGCTCTGCTCCCTGCACAGCACTCAAGCCGGCCGGCAGTCCCGATATCGCTACCGGGGTGATGCGCCGAAAGTGGCAGATGTTACATTACCAACAAGACTTTGGTATCAAATATAACAACGGGTATTGTCGAAAAGCAAACACGGGTTAATACCGAGTTGCGGTGCGGGCGTCGCAACGATGACCTCTGCCGTTCTTCCCCTCCCCTATGCATGTCTCGGGCCTTCTCCCTTCCCCATGGGCAAGTTTTTTTGTGAAGCACAAAACGCATTGGAGCTTCTGGAACGACCTGGTGGAAGCTAGCAAGGGTGTGTGTGGACTGCTTTGCTGGCTTTGGTAACACAAAAGAGGAACAAGTGTGACAGAGTCGAGTGTGAACCTTGCTCCTACCTGGTCAAGGCAGCTTGAATCTGGCATAAATGTTGCACAAGCGTTAAAAGCCTACAAATCTTCTTTGAGTGTCGGTGTAAGAGGTGCTGGGGCTTGCGGAGCTCTGGAAATCAGACGATTGCTGCCAAGTTTGGAGGGTGCCAAGAAAGAAGGAAAGATTGAATGCGACGCTGCATATCGGGGAGTGGGGATAAATCAAATCAATCGGAGCGAAGCCATCAGGCGCCGGCCTGTCGATGACCCTTTGCTCGTCTCATGGAGTTACAGCGCGTACATACATACTAATAACTACCAGTCGGCACGCAATCAGTGCGAGGAGACGAAACAAAACAAAAATGCCGCCTCATTTCAAACCAGAAGAATACGTTACGACAGAATCTGATGTCAGACTGAAAAAGGAATAAAGACATATGGTATGTTGTGGTCTTAGCCTAACCGAGAGTCCCTGCACAACTAATGCTGTCTCATGCAACGCCCAACCTAATTGTGCCTTGGTCTTCTTGTCTCTCTCCTCCACGGACCACAAGCGACTAATACGACACAGGCGGGCGCTCCGTATTCATTTCGACGCCGAAATGTGTACATTTTCGGCAAAGACGTTGAATGGGCAGGGCTGAGGTAAGCCCGCCTTGGTCAAGGAAGACAATACTTGAATGGCATTCCGCCGGCGCCGCTTGCTTTCGCATTCCCATATTTGGTTGCTCTTTGCAGTGTATGTACGGAGTACGGAGTAGGATGTACACGGTACCGGCGAGCAACCTGGCGCGGCACTCCGGCAAGCTTCCCCGGCAGACCACCCTGTGGCATCGGTCAAATGCAAAGTACGAGTAGATCGGCAGAGGACGGAAGAGAGCAACAACATCATGGCAAGCTTGTGGAATATTGGGAATAGCCCGTCTTCTGTTATCAAATTGTGGTTGGGGTGCCAGGGAAATGGATTTTCTGGTCCGGTCCGAGAACAGGCAGGGTGGCGGAAGCTGGCCGCTGCCAGGGAAGAAAGAAACAGCCCCAATGACAGATACCGCCGGGCTAACTATAGTGCGGGATTCCGTTATGGGAGCGCCGTCCCATGTCGAGGGTCGAATGTTGAATGTCGTACTGAGACGTGGTGGTGACAGTGGCTTGAGTTGTGTGGACAGGACAAAATCCCAGGAATCTGGTTTACATTACGGACAGAGTGTCGGCGAAAGGGGAGGGGGCGGATTCATGGCACATCACAAAGACGCCAAAAATAAAACCAAAGACAAAGTGGCTGGCAGTGGTTGCAATCCATGCGACAGCCTAGACCCTTGGATCAGTCAGCCCAGTGTTGGCACTTTTTTTGTCCGTTGGCGGGCATGGGGGGCTACCAAAGAGCTTGCCGATGGATAGTGATGAATTGGCAAGACAGAAAGGTGATTGACTGGCGAGGAAGAGGGCGATGTACGTGTTTCTGTTTATGGAGTGCTCGTCTAGCTGTTTTGGTGACGATACTCCGTACAGTGTACTCGGTACAGAGTATTTATTTACGGGGGAAACTGTTGTGTGACGCTGCCTGACCGACGTGCCGCCCTGCCGCTACGCTATCTTTCTTGTCTTGGGAGGTTTGGACGTCTTGGGAAGTCTTGGGAGGTCTTGGGAGGAGGTCTTGGGAGAGCATGGTACCAAGTAAACCCAAAGCTTGGCACACAGCACGTCGCATGCCGTGTAACACACGTTTTCAAGGTGCTTATTATGACCAATGTTCATGTACCAAGATGGCAGCATCAATTACAAGGGAAAGGATGGTCTTGTTACAAATAAACAAGGACTGTTTAGCCACGGCAGGGGGGCGGCAAGGGAGGGGGCGGGCAAACAGAATGACAGGGGGTGCTTCTAGGCCATATTCGCTGGAAGAGTCCAGATAGCGGTAGCCGCATATGGCGATGTCGCTACCAATTACGGATCGTGAGAGACTGTTTTCTCCCTTGTCATGTAGGCCATGGTTCGTTTGGTAACTGTTTGGTAACTACTCATTGACGCCCGACGCGGATGCTAACCCTAAGTAAGTTGTAGCGGTCAGGAGACGGGAACGGAGCTGGGAGAGGACGAATAAGGAAAAAAGCAGAAACTTGAAATATGACATGGTGACACGACTTTGATCTGAGTCGCGAAGATTAGACATTGGAGGCGCGGCAAGGAAGTTGATTGGTGATGTGGCTCCGGTTCACGGGTTTTCGGAGGCCGGACGTTCCGCTACTTGTGAGCCTTTTATTTTCGTCCTTGTTCCTCCGTGTTTCCTCGGTACATGTGGTAACCATGATTCGTCTCTTTGTCATACAAAATAAAACCGGCGCGCGGCTTCACCGCCGAAAGGTTGGAGCTGTATTACACTACACGTACACGGCAGAGGCGGAGCATGGCGGGCATGTGCGGGCTCGGAAGTTTACCAGTGGAAGAAGAAGAAAAAAAGGACTTTGCAAAAGTTGCATGTCATGCATCGGCACATGAAAAGGAAAAAAAAAACAAAAAACAAGACGCCTTGATAGTGGCTGCCACGTAGTTATCGTTTCTTTACACGGAGTACGCAGGGAGGCGGCCCAGAGCAAAGAGCGGACGACGACGGTGCCTAACTCATGATGCCGTGCAGATTTCGGTCAAAGGTTTGCGAGCCAATTGCTCCTATGGATAGTTATTTGACATGCGGTGTACGGATTGCAGCCGGCAGTACAGAGTCTATACCGCGGCAGAAGGGGTTGGCCATTTTTGCCTTCTCTTGCGAACCCTGCTCGTTTTTTTTAGTATGCATTAGCACGTGAATGGCATCATCATCAATGATGGCTTTTCTGTTCCCAGCCCATGTACTCAATCGAGAACCCTGTGAGGCTTTTTTTTTTCATGACTAGGCGGCGCTGGCAAATTCCGTGTCAACAGTGTCGGTGAGGAAGAAGGGAGGGTCCCTATCGCGTAGTTGGTACTTGGGGCCTCTGCGGCGCGCGTGCGCCCTCGGGACGTGATAGCCACAAGCCAGACAGACAGACAACAAACAACACACAGAGAGAGAAGAAGCCGAGCCAGCCAGGGTTTCCGCGGACCAACGGGACGGGCCGTGTGTGGGAGGGGAGCGCCAGGGGGGGGCGGGCGAGTGGAGGGTGGTGGTGTGCGCAGCGCCGGGCAAAACGGGAACAAGATGGACAGAAAGCAGAAGAGGAAGAAGAAGAGGCGGCCCGGAGAAAAGGGAATGCGCGGATGTAGTTAGGTAGTTAATATGGAGGGGGAGTTGCGTGAGGCAAAAAGGTTGGAGGGAGGTTTGGTGGTGGTGGTGGTGGGACAAAGGCGGCGGCGGTGGTGCTCTAGGGTAGGTAGATATGGGATGATGTGCAGACGCCAAAAAAGAGCAACGTCAATGCTGCAGAAGAGAAACATTGTATGATGGGCGTCTATATCAATGAGTCGGTGGTGGGTGGCGGGCAGGGGCGACAATCGTAGACAAAGGGGTCTGGATATTGTTTGCGTGTTTGTATGTGTCTTCGCCCAACGTGGTGAAGTTGTCCTTGACGATGCACTATAAGGCATGGCAAACAGGAGCATTCAAACACGTAAACGCCTCTATAGAAGACAATCAACGAGATGTTACGTTTTACTATGGTATATGAAAAACTTGTATTGGAATTGCTCCTGACTAGTGGCGGGCAGATCTGCGTTGGGCGGTAAATAGGTGATGAAATATGACCAAGGAAAGAAACCAACAGCCGCACTGAACAAGATTGGCTGTACCCAGGTAGTGAAGAAGTTGTGGCCTGTTTCTGAATTGGTAGCTGGACGAACCTGTTTTTTTCTTTTGCCGCACAATTCTTGCTGCAACCTATCCTCTCCCTATGATTGCTAACACTCGCCAGACTGAGACAAACCAAAGACTTTCAACACGCACAAATTTCGAACCAAGGCATGCTATGAATTCTCTCGAGAAAGAGACGAGCCGCGTTTTCTTATTAGTTGATGGAAAATTAAACCACCAGTTCGTGTAAGATGGCGATAACACACACTGTGCCAAAATAAGGCGGGGAGAAGCTATTCCCTTCATCACCAGCGGGCGCTTAACTACTTGAAAAGGAACCCAAAAAAAAAAGACTCCACACAACACCCCCATCATCGCCTCTTCTAAAAAATCCTCCGCCGCGCGCCAACAACACCCCCCTTCACCGGCCACCGCAAAAAGAACGCCGCCCTTTGTTCCCATCAGCCAAGGGGGAAAACTTCCTACCAAAAATCCATCAAGACGCCCATCGACGCGCACAGGAGTGCTGGGTTCAAAAAAGGAGAAGCTAAAAATAAACAAAGTCGTCCCCCCCCCCACTCTACAAAAGAACGGCCGAGCCTCGAATTCCGCAACGAAAAACCGCCCAACCGAGGAAAACAACAAGCATACACAAGTGCTTGCGAAGTTGTGTTTGCAAAAAAGCCTGATTGGGGGGCGCCGGGAGCCAAGTAAGCCTGATTGGGGGGCGCCGGGAGCCAGGCCCTTTTTTCTTGCCAGCGAAAAGCCGATCTTCGGGGGGGAAAAGCCAACCGCTTTTTGCTCTTTTCTCTGCTCTTCTCGCCAACACGAACCGGGAGAGAGGGGACATATTCCAGAAATAACCGACGCCAGTAACCCCCCCGTTTTTGGCTCGTGCTACATGGAATAAACCGCCCACACACATACACACAACGCCAACCATGTCGCAAAGACCCTCCACGCCGGTCAAGGTGCCCTCCTCCGCCGCCGACTACACACCGGCCACGCTCGACCCGGATCTACGCTCGCAGATCAACACGATTCTCCTCCGCGACGGCCACGTCCCCAAGTCCGTCCCTCCCCCTTCCCCCCTCTCTCCCTTCCCCTTCCCACTAACCAACCCCCCTCCCCCTTCCCGCAGGATACAAGAACGACTCCTCCACGCCCTCAACGCCGACGCCTCCAACTGGCCGACCATGGTGCAGAACCACGCGCTGCACCTGCTCCGGTCCGGCGAGGTGCTGACCTTTCCCGCGCTGCTGCGGCGCGTGCTCGACGACATCCACGAGGCGACCAACAAGGCAGCAGCAGCGGCGACGACGACGACGAATGGCAGCAGCAGCAGCAAGGCCGCGGCGGCGGCGACAAACGGGACCGACGGCACCACGCTGCTCGCGCTGGCCGTGCCGCAGGCCGTCGTGGACGAGACGATGCGCGTCACAAAGGAGTGCCTGGAGACTGTGTGCGAGATTGAGGACTAGGAGGGCCGCCACACGGTCCGATGGCGGACCAGCTGTCCCCCGGAACAGGTACATCCCCCAGCATTACGTTGGGAAGAATACGACGACGACACCGACGACGACGACGACGACGACGACGACGACGATGACCATGACAATGGAAATAGGGCACATTGTCTGGACTATAATGGTACATATCCCGCAGGGGAGGAGAACGGCGCCGAGAGCAAGGATCGAGGCGCTGCACTACATGGACAGGGAAATCACTCGGCCGTTAAAGGGCGGCCCTTGTAAAACTTCGACTTGTATCAATAACCATGGCCAGCTGTCTTCGCTGACAATAGCTGCCTCATAACATAACCTGAGCCTGTCTGTCGTCTGAATCCGACACTCACCAAGCTCACCACCACCACCAAACACATCAATACTACATCATCACAAATCACACTGCAATACCAATAATACAACTTCATGTCATAATAAATCAATTGCGTCATCTATGAAAGCTGAATAAATCTGCCGAGAGTCATGCCTCATCGCATCCGTCGCACCAGGCCGTCTGGCTGACGAATGCAACAGAGACTCTTAATATTTGCAAAGACTCAAGTCCTCTGCAAGCCTCTAATGCTTCACAAACTCCCAGCCAGTAACCACCGAAAACCATCCTCGTCACTCTTCCTCGGCTCAAGTCAATTTGATGCCCATACATCACTTGTTGCGTAGAATACAGTCACAAAGCTCCAAATTATCCCGGCCTTGGCACTTTAATCATACAGACCGTCGTCGTTGCCGGCGTCGCCAAATGAATCGCCTCCAGCTGCCTGGCCTGCTTCGCCCTCGGGGAACTTGAAGAAGGCACCGGGACCGGCATTCTTCATTTGCTGGGCAAAGGCCTCGTAGCGGCGGATTTCAACGTCACTGACGGATCTGCGGGCCGACTGCATAGCCTCCTCAAAATGGGCTTTGGTCAGGAGAGGAACAGGGTCTTCGAAATCGTCGTCGTCACCCATGTCCACGTCGCCAGCAGCCTCCCGCTCCTTGACGCGGGCAATATCGGCATCAATCGACTCCTTGATGGCAATCTTGGCCGCACGCTGGGCGATGAAGCTGATATCGGCACCGGAGAAGCCGTGAGTCTTGGTGGCGATGAACTCCAGATCCACGTCGGGGGCAACGGGGGATTTGCGGAGCTGAGCCCGGATAATGCTCAGACGGCCAAGCTGATCAGGGAGAGGAACGTAGATGAGCGAGTCGAGACGGCCGGGACGGCACAGAGCGGGGTCAAGCTGCTCAGGTCTGTTGGTAGCGCCAATGACGAAGACGTTCTTCTTCGAAGTCATACCGTCCATTTCAGTCAGGAGCTGGTTGACAACACGGTCAGAGGCACCGCCAGCATCGCCGACAGAGCCGCCACGAGCCTTGGCAATGGAATCCAGCTCGTCGAGGAAGACAATGCAAGGAGCAGCGGCACGAGCCTTGTCGAAGATGTCACGGATGTTGCTCTCCGATTCACCGAACCACATACTGAGGAGTTCAGGCCCCTTGACGGAAATGAAGTTTGCGGCGCACTCATTGGCGACAGCCTTGGCCAACATGGTTTTACCGGTACCAGGGGGACCGTAGAACAAAACACCTCGGGATGGCGAGAGACCAAACTTGAGGAACTTCTCGGGGTGGTCGACAGGGTACTGGACCTGCTCGCGCAGATCCTGCTTGACAAGCTCGAGGCCACCAATGTCTTCCCAGCGGACATTGGGAACCTCGACAACAGCAACCTCGCGAAGAGCAGAGGGGTTGGAGACACCAAGGGCGAAGCGGAAGTTTTCCATGGTAACACCAAGAGAGTCGAGGACTTCGGCGTCGATGGTGTCCTCGTCAAGGTCAATGAGATCCATCTTCTCACGGATCTGCTGCATGGCAGCCTCCGAGCAGAGGGCAGCCACATCGGAACCGACGTAACCGTGCGTCTCAGAAGCAATCTGCTCCAGGTCGACATCGTCACTGAGCTTCATGTTCTTGGTGTGGATCTGAATAATCTCGAGACGGCCGGTAGGGTCGGGGACGCCAATATCGACCTCACGATCAAAACGGCCGAAACGACGCAGAGCAGGGTCGATGGAGTTGGGACGGTTGGTGGCGGCCATGACAACAACATTGGAGCGGGCCTTCATACCGTCCATGAGGGTAAGGAGCTGGGAAACGACACGGCGTTCGACCTCACCATTGGTCTTGTCACGCTTGGGGGCGATAGAGTCAATTTCATCAATGAAGATAATGGCGGGCGAGTTCTTCTCGGCCTCCTCGAAAGCCTTGCGCAAGTTCGACTCGGATTCACCAGCCATCTTGGACATGATTTCGGGACCATTGATGAGGAAGAAGAAAGCACCGGTCTCGTTGGCGACGGCACGAGCCATCAGCGTCTTACCGGTACCGGGAGGACCGTAGAGCAAGACACCACGGGGAGGCTTGATACCAATAGACTTGAAAAGCTGGGGGTGGCGCAGGGGAAGCTCGACCATTTCACGGATCTGAGCCATCTGTTTGCGGCAGCCACCAATATCGTCATAGCCAACCTCGTTGAGATTGTTTTCCTCCTCATCGCGCTCGATCGGGTCACCCTCGCAGTGAATGACTGTATCTTGGGCAACGATGCCGTACTCGGGAGGGTCGACCTCGACGACCTTGAACTCGACTTGTCGCATACCACCACGGACAAGGAAGAGGTCGCCTTGGCGAACAGGGCGGTAGGCTTCGCGGAAGTAGGGGGCGAGGTAGACATCAAAGAGCGAGCCAGTGATGCCCTCGACAGTGTCGGAGATGGGGAGAACAGCAATTCGCTTGGCCTGGTATGTATTAGTACCATGTTTGTTGAGCAACGTGCACTAGTAAACATACATATTTGATGTCGGGGCAGGGCTGGATGGTAATCATGTCGCCGTGCTTGACGCGGAGGTTGTGGCGAACAACACGGTTGATGCGAGCACTGCCGTCATCGAGCTCCTCATCGGCGAGGACAATCAGGACCGTGTCCTTTCTCTTCTTGCCACGAACGAGGACTGTGTCACCGCGGAAAAGCTGCAGCGTTTCCATAGTGCTCTCGGAAAGCGCGATGATGCTGTTGTCGTCATTGACGGCATCGGTAACCCTGAGAGGCTAAGTTAGCGAGGCGTGAACTCGGAAGCTGGCGGCAAGCGGAGCAACGCACATGAGCTGGTTGGGCTTCTTCTTCTTCTTCAGAATGGCGGTTGCGACTTCATCTTCCTGGATCGAGGGTCAGTTGAGTTCGAAATGGCATGGCAGTGATGCGGCCCAGCGATGCTGCTTACGTTCTTGATCTCGGCGCCAGAGACGTCGCTAGGGAAACTGTTAGCCGGGCTTTCGGGCGAGCTGCGCTGGCGGGCAGCAAGAGGGCCAAAATGATGCAACTCACGTCAGATTGACCTTTTTCTTGTGATCTTCCGGTTGGCGAGTCATTGTGCCGAGTCTGTGAGCTGGGTGAAGATGCGAAGGGTGGAAATGGGTTCAAGGTGGCGGAACGGAGTCAGCTCGGCGAGCAACAAACGCAGGGCTGAACGACTGGTATTCAGAAGCGGCCTTCTCGCAGAGCAATGCGACGAGAGAAAATGACCAAGACGGAGGATGAACAAGGGGACAAGGTTCCTTGGATTAAGAGAAAAGGGAAGGGTATTGGTAAAGTTGGGGGGAGATGATGAGAGGTCCAAGAGGCGAGACGTGCCGGAGAGGTAAGAAGAGGAGCCTGTTTCGAAGGTGAGGTAATGCCACAGTGGTGCTTTGGCTTTTGGCAACTCGCAACGGAGCGGTACAAGGTACTTGCCGAGAAGAAAGCCCACTTGCCGTTGGCAGGCGGGCGCTCAGATGAACCAATCAGAGGCTGCAAAGCCCTGAGGCGGAGCGGAAGATTGATGGTCCAGGTACTTGCATGCCCGCTAATTTTAGGCGGTGATGCGCTGTGGCGACGCCTGTGTTTGCTATCTTTCGGCGCGGAAACGAGTGAAAACAACACTGTGAGTGCTGGCTGACCAGTGGAACGTTCTGCCACATTCTACCACCAGGCAGCTCCAGGCCACGCAATGGCGCGGCCAAGTGTAGGTCACTTTGCTTTGTCATCACGCTGCTTGACAGTGACCAAGTTCAACCAGACAGCAATTGCCCAACAGTTCGCCGAAAAGCTATTGATAAGTCCGCCACTGACGCCACTGGAAGTTGAGGAGCTAGTTTGCCCATTCAATTGTCACCGCCCCCGGGACGCTTATTCCTTTCTGCGCGGCCCTGCAGCCTGCTTGCACCCCATGCGCTGCACTTCCTCCCAGTAACGTGCTGATAACGAGGCCATACTCGCAACTCATGACCATGTGTTTTGTACGAGATTCTGTCCCGGCCGTGTCTATTTAAGGGAATGCGTATTTTACATGCCCATTGACGTGACTCGCCCTTTCAGTCTCCATCCCCACGCCGTGCAGCCCGACATCGGCTTGAGGTGTGGTGGCCATTCACACGTAATTCCAAATGGGAGTGTCGGACCAATACCCTCATTGTAACGATGTCGCTTTGCACTGACATTGCTTCATATTGACCACATGCTCGTGGACATCAAGTCTGCTGTTCCGGCTTGCCACTACACATGTACATGTCGGCGCTGTCATAGCCAACTAGAACTGTTGTGAAGACTTGCATTCACTATGCATGGTCCCCAGGTGCAGGCATACAAAATGGCGATTTGACCCCTTTCAGACGATACTTGCCAAGATAACCGAAGGTTGCAAGCTTTAGGAAAAACCACAGCATTACGTGCCGAACGTCACTACGCACACTTCATTAACAGGGTTAGGTAACTAGTAATAATCTCTTATCTGCCTTAATGAATTATCTCTTACTTATTACTGTTCGTACTTTTATCGTTTTCCCTCTTCCTTTGTAGCCTTTTCAATAGAGCACGTAACTACTGTCTGGCAAGTGCGGTCAAGCCTATAAGATCGACAACCCCGGATGTCTTCCGGCGCAGACTCCTCGGCTGGTGCCGACGCCACCCAGATGACACGACACGACCCTTCATATTGGGACGGTGCACACACACAAAAAAGGCTAATCGTTGTCACCCGCCTATTCCACAAGCGAATGACAAAAAAAAAGAGCACTTGCGTCATGATGGTGATAGAGATCATTCTAGTGGGCCGCGTTAACCTCGCAAAGGCAAAGCCTGGCCATCCATCTAGTCCAATTCGGCCAAAGTGCATCACCAAAATCAGGGAAAGATGACAAGCCGCTTCCCCTTCTCTGACCTCAGTCACGAGGGGCGAGCCATCGACTAGAGAGCCAGGAATCGGAAACCCGTCGTATTGACAACAGCTGGAAGGAAGGTTTGCCGAGTATAGGCTGACCGGACGGTTCATTCCTATATAAATCCCAACTTTTTGTCTTCTTCCGCACTGGGTGTCTGAATAGCATCGCTCTTCTTCTTGCCACCTCGCCAGCTTTGCTCGTGCCGTGTGCTCGCGCCGTTGGAAACCCTCTTTCATACATCGTTCAGCAAGAACTCTCCTGCCATCCTTTAGTTAACCTCTTCGCGAATCTTTAGTTCCCCTCTGGTCCGCAAAACTTCGAAAGGAGTTGCTCTTCCCAGACTGTTTGCTTGCCAGTCCGCCCGTGTAATTCCCACCCGCCATGCAAATCATCCAGCCCGAGTACCCGCGCCAACTGGTGTCGGCGATTCCCAACAAGATCAGAAACCACTTTGTCGCCGCCATTGGCGAATTCGTCGGCACCTTTCTCTTCCTGTTCTTTGCATTTTCGGCGACCCAGGTTGCCAACACCGCGCTCAAGGGCAAGAACGCTGCGCAGCAACAGAGCCAAGCGGCCGATTCGCAGCACGCCATTGCTGACATTCCCGACACGCCGACACTCTTGTACATTGCGCTCGCCTTTGGCTTCAGTCTTGCTGTCAATGCCTGGGTCTTTTTCCGTATCAGTGGAGGTGAGGAATAGCATCCACACAGGCTTCTTCTGGCCAACCGCACGGTCACAGGACTCATACTCATGCGGCTCTGACAGGTCTCTTCAACCCCGCCGTGACTCTCGGCCTCGTTCTCATCGGTGGTCTCAGACCTGTGCGTGCGGTCCTCATATTCCTCGCCCAGATCCTCGGCGCCACTTCCGCGTCTGCTGTTGTCGACGCGCTGTTCCCCGGTGAGCTGCAGATTGCCACGGCCCTTGGCGGGGGGACCAGCGTTGCGCAAGGCGTCTGGATCGAGGCCTTTCTGACCGCTGAGCTCGTCTTCACCATCATAATGCTCGCCGCCGAGAAGCACAAGGGCACGTTCCTGGCTCCGATTGGTATCGGCCTGTCACTCTTTATTGCTGAAATGACGGGCGTGTACTTTACAGGCGGCTCTCTCAACCCCGCGCGCAGTGTAGGACCTTGCATTGTTCTGCACAGCTTCCCGAGCTACCACTGGATTTATTGGGTCGGACCTGGCATCGGCAGCGTCGTTGCTGCCGGTTTCTACCACCTGATCAACATTCTCGAGTACGAAACGGCGAACTCGGGGCAAGACTTCAACGAAAAGGAAATGGATCGCTTCGTATTTGACGAGGAGGCTGCTCATACCGGCGCTCATATTGTGCGACCCGATGCTACCGACGTTCTTGACCCCATCGTTTCTCCGGTCGCTTCCCCTGCCGCCTCTGGTGATGTGCATCGTGGGCCATGTCCAGGCGGCCTCGCTTCGCCCGCTGCCCCCAGCCTTATTCCCAATGGCTCCCTCAAGAAGGATTGAATAGTTTGAGCTTTGCAGCCTTTGGAAAAATGGTCCGTAAGCGTTCCAGCAAGAGCAGACCAACTCCGAAAATGATGGTAGGCCAGGAGGCCAATACTGTACTCACGCCACCCAGCGTGAAATATGGCGGCTTGACGAAACGTAACCACAATGACAATCAGAGCCGACGCGAGTAGCCGGTTACTCGGTATGATCAAAACAAAAGGACGCATTGGCGATCCACATGTTGTAAAATAGGAATGAGTAATGTAGTATTGAGCGGGAGCAACGGTTGGCGCGCTCATAATTCGGAATGTGTGCAAGTTGTCCAATTCCAACGGAACCCAATGCTGTTCATTCTTCGCATAGCTGTCGCTTTTGCAATGGTCATGATAACTCCCCATTTCTGCGCCCGCCCGCCCAACTCACTCCTCGTTTTCGAACGCGTCATTGAGATAGCGCACAAAGAGCGTACGGAGGCGATCCGCCGCCATGCTGCCGACGGCTTCCAAGCCGACGCCGCCGCGGTTGAGGCCCATGAACGCGCGCCGATGCCGCTGCAGGCCGGGCAGGGTCAGCTTCTTCAGCGCGGGCAGGTCGACGACCAAGTCGTCCTGCGCGGCATCGTTGAGCGGGATCCTGACCTCGCCGCCCGCCTCGTCCCCCGCCGCCTGCTGCTGCTCCAGGATGCGCCGGACAATGTACTGCGTCTCGCGGTCGAGGATGTAGAGGTAGTCGCCGGCGGCGTCGCGCCCGCACGGCGGCTCCGTCGACTGGTTCGGGCGGACCACCTTGCGGCCGTCGCCGGCGATGGCGTCCCAGAGCGCGGCAAACGTGCGCGTCGCCTGTGCCTCGTCGTCCTCCCAGATGAGCGTGAAGAGCGGGCTGTCCCACCGCGTCATGGGGTTGGGCTCCTCGTAGCGGAACACGAGGTTGTCCCAGTTGCCCTGCTCGTACGGCTCCTCCGGGCTGCCGTCTGGTGCCGCGGCCGCGCGCCGATCCAGACGGGCCTGGTTGACCTGCCTGGCGCGGTCCGGCGTGCAGCCGATTTGCAGGACGCAGCTGGGCGTGCGCACGGCCTTGGCCTCGCAGTGCAGCTGGTACCGCCAGCCCTTGATGTAGTTGAGACCGTCGAGGATGACAATGTCCCGGTCGGACAGCACGCGCTTGACGGCGCCGTAGAGGCTGGCGCGCGCGTCCTTTTCCGAGGCGTTGGCGGAGCGTGTGTGCGCGGGCACGGCCGCGAGGTCGTAGACGGTGCGGGGAATGGATAGGCTGTCGTCGGATACGAGGTGCAGGCGGTGCTTCGAGTCGGCGGTGCGTCCTGCGAGGTAGTCGTATAGCTGCTTCGCCCGCGTGGACTTGCCCGAGGTCGGGAAGCCGGTCACGATGATGAGCTATTGCGACGCGGGTTAGCTGGACGAACAGGTTGATGGAGAGCTTGCGGAGGCAACATACAGGCATCCGGGGCAAATGTGCAATTAGAGAAATGCAGAATGACCAAATCGAAAGCTCCAAATCACAGCCAGGCCCCGATTTATCGAACTTGTAGAGGATCAAGCGAGGAGTGAGTTTCTTGGGGTAGTAGCAACTTTTGATCTGCCCCACCATCGCCAAGTTGCATGATGTGGCGTTGCCCAGTAGCTGCACATCAAAACCTTGCTCATATCTGAATCCATGCCAAGTCTGGCATCTTGATTAAAAAGGGGTATTATATTTTGCATATTATCGTTTACATCTCGACCAGATTTTAGCCTGCTTTGTAGTCTCGGTTGCTGTCTGACGAATGCAACTCGCCAAAAGAATAAGGGTATCTACATCCACCAACACGACAGCGTTAAATTACATAATATTTCCAATTCCACCCGAGAGCACCATCTCATGGAGCTCAACCCATTTCTCGTCATGGGTAATCTGTGAACCCTGCCGAAGGTCCATCCCGACTCGTCATATAGCCAAAGCGAGCCGGCTCCTGAAGAATGAGAGGCGGCATATCTTTATTATTGTCAATCTTGTCGAATTGATCAAAGTCTCTATCCCAGACGTCTTTTCCGTTTCGTATGGCGTCTGCAATCTTGGCCTTGTCTCTATATTCTTCGTCATTCATCCAGCCGTGAGAGAAGCTGGCAATCTTGTTGAGAAATTGCTCTATTGTGGCAAAGCAACTGCTGCAATGCCATCCGGCATTATTTAGGACGCCCTTTTCCTGGTCGCGGAACCAGGGAAGGCCGCCGTCACCGTTACGCAGGTTGGTCGGCTTGATGGTGCGCCACCCTTGGTAGAATGTCGCCTGCGGGTGCTGCCATTCAGGGCCTCTATGCAGGAACTGAAACGAATAGTAATAAAATTTGGAGGCGAGCGTGAGGCGTCGTGGGAAGTTACATGTGCGGAGTACGACCAGCGACTCGGGCCGGGGAATCTCATCAACGTCGGCAACAACGATGACATCTCCCTTGATGGGCGCCTGTGGCCCTGTCAAGCCGTACATGGCCTGCTCAAACATGGCGTCTCGCTGCAAATCCTCGTAGTCCCAGGCGCGCTTCGGCTGGAAGGATTTCAGAAAGGTCAACTCATGGTAAATCATCTTATCATGGTAGCGGCGGAACCTATCCCAGTTCTCGGAAATGACGAGCGGCTTCGTGTCGCCCTGAAACGTCTTTGGCGACTCGACAATGATAAAGTAGTCGACGTAGTCGTACAGCGCGTGGAGGCGGATCTCGAGAAAGTCGAGCTCGGTGTTCACCATGATGAGGTCGTATATTTTGCGCTCGCTAGAGGCGCGCTGGGGCGCGTAGACGGAGTAGCCATGGGCAGCGCAGTACTCGTGGGCTTCGCGCGACGCATAGTGCTGCGCGTGCTTCTTCTGGCGATCCGATGTGGTGGCTGTCAAAAAGGCGAGCGGCGGCAGCGCGACGCCCGCAATCTCGTGCAGGCCGCTGGTGGTGTAGGCGGCGGGACGGAGAAAAGTCCACCAGACCAACGAGCAGCAGGCGGCGAGGAAGATGTATCTCGATGGCGATTTAGGAGCCATGATTGCTCATAATCGAAAGAGGACGATGATGTGAGCGACCGGACAGCACATTGCATTGCCACATGTACGGTGCTCTGATCCTTCGTGTTCAGCGTTCAGCGTGCCCTGCGCGGGCGTCACGTGCGTCATACAGCCTTGTGCTGACGTAGACAGTCATCATGACATCCTGGCTTTCGACTTGATACGTTTCATGTACCCGGTAAAGTGATTTGTTATGCGAGTTATCCTTGCAGAAGCGAATTTGTCAACGGGCCATGTTGGTTTCCGTTTCCACCATGATGCCAAGCCATTCAACGCCAGCCAGCGTTGAGCAGTAGCCGCCCAGTGACTGCGCTGGCCCGTTGCCTGCCTAGAGTGCGCGGCTTTGTTCGCTCGCCCTTGCCGGATCTCTTCGACATGACGCCGCCGCTATTCAGACAAGCTCCGTACCATGCTGCCAGTGCCGTCGTTGCTAAGTTAGCGTACCGCGACCGTTGGATTGGGACGAAAATAATCTTCGGCAGGGCTGAAGCTTGGCGACGCCGCGTCAAGCCCTACCAGTGGATGCGCAAATCCGCAGCCAAGCCCCTGAGCCTCATCCCGGGATTCCAAGCGATGCGAGACACGTCCAACGTTTACGGAAGGCAGTCAATGCGAATCTCAATTAACGTTATTCGTGTTAATCTAGGAAATGATTGAAAATCTAGCGCTCAGGATGTTGTTGGATACCCAAGTCGCCTAGTCACCAATTGCCACCGCTGCTCTGTTAATGGTCATGTCGATAACCCAAATAATTGCCAACAAAACAAAAACCCCTGAATATCCCATCACCAGGCTTCCCACACTGTAATACGCAGCCCCTGCCCCCCAGCTTCCGCATCACGCCTCTCTCAGGAAGACCTCGAGCTTCCGACCGCCGACTGTATTGCTGTTCCCTTGTTGCCTAGTCTGCGCCATACTCGTCCGGCCCAGTATCCTGCAAACTGCCTCCTGGAGAGGCGGGGTGGCCTGCGGAGTCTACACTCCTCACTTTCGGTCGTCTAGAGAAGGCTGAGCCGGCGCAGGATGCTCCGGATTTGCCAAGACCGGAGCACGCTGGACACTCTGCGGCGAGGCTGGTACGGCGGCGGCGGCGTATTGGGCTGAGGGAGCAAACGGCGCAATGCTTCTGGTTTCATACATTGTTCATAAATGACAGTCACGACCAACTTCGGTTTCTGAGATGGCCGCAGCAACGCTTGCAGCCGTTCCCAACGCCCTCCTTCGTCGAGTCCACACTGCAGCACCACCATCATCCAATCGTAGTCGCTTGTTGTCTCCTCTTGCTCAATTTTCTTCGTATAATCGTCGATTTCGGTCTGCAGATCCTTGGAAAACTTGCCCCTCTCTGCTTTTATGTCTGTACGCTTAGTACTATTCGGGTCAACCGGATCCCGGCACCTCTCAATCGCCCCCCTATGCCGCCTTTTGTTTTTGATAACGGTGATGCGCTCGAACGTTTTTTCTTCAGAATCTGTTTCAAACTTGACGATGCGGTGCTTGGTTTTCCTGCCGTTCGTCGAACTGTCCTGGGCGTCGGTGTCGAGCTCCGCTCGATCTCTTTCGCCGAAACGTTCGGACGACAGCGGCGGCTCGGAAGGGACAAGGAACATGCTTGCATGTTCCTTCGGCACCTCCCCTGTGAGTTGTTGGTGCCGTTGCTGTGATATGGCCCCCCCGGGGTCCTCCGTGTCGTTTTGAGGCATAATGGCGTGTCTGGTGGGTAGGGCTGGCGAGACAGGTTGTGTTGTAGATGTCAGATGGTTACTATCGCGGGAGGGTATGCGGCTGCGGAGGGATATGATATGGGTATCTCAAGACGGAGGCGATCAACAATGGATGATGATGGCTTGCATGAATATTGAAGAAGGGAGAGAGAGACTTTTAAAAAAAAGGAAGAGATGCGATTCTAGGTGAGCCTTAATGAAAGCCTGACCAAGACCAGGTTCCAACGCGTGAGACGTATAGGCAGCAGCACAACAAATGCGCAATCGATTCCAGTTCCAGAACACCATTACACCCTTAAATTAATACAGCCACATGACTTCTGGCTGCGTGGCTGCAGCTACTTCTCTTTGTTCGCTTGTATCATAAAGGCCTAACGAGAAGGCAGTAACTTGATAGACAGGCAGGCACTGTATTTGAAGTAGCAGCTTTTATACTACCACCTATCGACCCTGGCACACCAATCTTGCCACGACGTCTGTGGTTGCGTTGTGCTGCGCTGCGGCCTGGCTACTCTGTATCCGTTGCTTGCCTAGCGGTCGACATGGATTTGCTGCCTTGTGCCCTCGTATCTGTGGGACATGAGACTGTGCATTACAACGTGACTACCGTCCGAAACTGACTGGGTGCGTACAGTGTTCCCTTTCTGTTCCCACACCTGGGAGGACTGGAACCGGAGCGGCCTTGTTACCTGATACGAGATAGAGAGAAACCGTCCTACTAAACAGGAATGGCGCATACTCAAATGAAAAAAAAAAATGCTGTTCTTGCTCAACAAGTCCAACCCTGTATGAATGTATCCCACGGGTCGCCCTGGACCATGCGCGTGTCGTTGGAGGTGCCGCATGCGTTGGCAACAGGCAACGAGTCCCAATATGCTCACGAGAACCGAATATAGCGCGACGGTTGCCTAGTACGTCACTTCAGCTGCGCCATGTCAACGTGCATGTCTTGGCTACGCTGGCAGGACTGTTGCACGCGCCGAGTATGTCCCCTTCGTGTGACGGCGGGTGACGTCTTGACCGGCATTGTATAATACGGGTGCCTTGCAAAAGGCGGCTGCAGAGCGGGTGACTATCAGTGTAACTTGAAGCCTAAATCGGAAAGATACTCCTGCCCTTGTACGCTCTTCTATCTTCTTTGTGAGTCTTGGCCCCTCTGATGGTGCGGTTAGCCTTGATCGTAGAAAGGTACGCAAGACTGAGGGGCGCATGTATAGGTTACATGAAAGCAAATAAAATAGAAGAACGGAAACAAAAAACTGCGTTATTGGTAGTTCGTCATGCATACTTCACACTGGAGAGTTGTTGCCTGATACATTCACTCGTCGGTCGTCGGCCGTATCCGCCTAGCTGAGCACATCGCCACCACCAACCTGGCCACCTATTGTCGTTGTGGACTGTGCTTTAATTAATAATTTATTCTGAATAATTTAATCAGCTTACTGCCCAGCCCCCAACAAGGAGTTAATAATCGAAATAGGCATCGGCTTCCCCCAGACAAAGAAACAAGTGGCCGCCTCCTCCTCGCCTTCTCCACGTTTCTTCGGCAGCCGGATGAGCGGGTAGGTAGCAGGGTAACACTCGAACCGGGATTACATTTCATCGACAGTCCTTGTTTTATTTTTCTCGTCTTTACCTACTTGCCATCCCTATGCTGGTGGTTCGCTATTAGTAGCAGCCCCCCCCCCCCCCCCCCCCGTCGCGAGGCAGCTAGTATCCTATCCATCGACAACAACCCCAACGCCCTCTTTGCCAATGAAGGGTCTGTTTGCTCTTGTCCAAGCGGCCTTGGTAGCAGTGGCCACCGCGGCCGCTGCTCATAATGCGGCCGCGGAGGAGTGCGCTGGCTACAATGCCTCCGACGTCAGGATGTATACGCACGGCGGCACGGCCGACTTGAGGCTCGCGGGCAAGGCCTGCAACGCCTCTGGCCATGACCTCGAGCCTCTCAAGCTCATCGTGAGCTACGACACTGGTACGCGACGCTTCATCTGCCACTCAACACCATGCTCCCACCACTAAACCAACACAACCAGCCAAGCGCCTTCACGTCCAAGTTCTCGACGCCGACAGGCAAGCCCACCAAATACCCGTGGTCATCTACCTGGTGCCCGCCCTCGGCCGGCGCGGACCGTCCCTCCTCGGTCCTCCGCTTCGACGACCGCGACTGCCATTTTCCTTTGACGAGTTGCTGCGCCGCAACCGAACAAGTGCTATTCCACTTTTCCGCCCCCCTCGTGTTCGATTCGCAGGTTCTGCGCCTGCTCACCGCGCCGAACCTGTACGGGCCTCGGCGAGCACACAGCATGCGACGCCCGACGACGACGGCCGAGGTCCGCCAGCAGGACTTTGAGCTGCGGCTGGTGCTCGACGAGGAGGGCGTGGCCGCGGGCAGCCTATGCCTGGACGACGGGGAAGGCGGCGGACCAGAACGGCCAGACGACGCTCATTCCTTTTTCTTTCAAGGACGGCGTGTTGACGACCAACGACACCTTTGGCTACGTAACCAAGAGCTCTATTTGCAAGGTCCTAGTGCTGGGTGGTGACAACAAGGGCTCCGCGGCGAACGCCAAGACGAGCAGCTCGGTAGGTAGAGATCAAGCAGCAGCTATCTGGTGCTTTTAAGAGGGACGCGGCCAAGCTCCTGGGCGAAATTTAGAAACGCGGTACCATCTTTACCTTTATGAGAGCAGATGCAAAGCATCTTGAATCAACATGATCATATTTGCACGTCTATTGTAGAATATAGATCTAGCTAGACCCAGGTCCATGCCGAAAAATTGTCCTCGTATGCCATTTTGTTTTCGTCCTTCTATTCCTCCACGTTTCCACATGAGTCATGAAATAGCAACCAAACATTCCAATCATTGCATCTATGGCTTGCAGCGGCCCATGAAGCGGGGATACAGGCATGTCGTGCGGACAGTGTGCTGGTTGGCCATCCAAGCGAGGAAACGCTCGAGACCGAGACCGTATCCGCCGTGAGGAGAGGTACCATACCTAAACTTGTTAGCCAACCCTTCTGTTCACGACATGATCTCTTCGAATACGTACTTGCGCTGGTCAGTGTACCAGTAGTAATCCTTGGCGTCGATGCCCTGGGTCTTGTAAGCCTCGAGGAGCTCGTCGAGGTCCTCCATTCTCATGGAGCCGCCAACAATCTCGCCGACACCGGGCATCAGACAGTCGACGCTCTCGGTGACGCGCCTGTCCTGGGGGTCCTTCTTCATGTAAAAGGCCTTGATCTCGGCGGGGAAGTGGGTGAGGAAGATGGGGCGGTTAATGGCATCCGTCATCTTGCGCTCCGCCGCCTCGGCAATGTCGTCGCCAAAGACGTGCGGCTTGTCCTCCTCGTTGAGGATGGGAGGGTCCTGGGCGTTGAGCCAGTCGATGGCGTCGCTGTAGCGCATGCGCATAAACGGGCGCTCGGGGCGGGCAAACGTCGGGTTGAGCTCCTTGACAAAGGCGGCCGTCGCGGGGTCGTCGAGGACGCTGTCAATGACGCGGCACATGAGCTCCTCAAGGTGCTCCAAGAGGTCCTCAAAGGTGACAAAGTCGAGCTCCGCCTCGACGTGGCTGTACTCGGACAGGTGGCGGCGCGTCAGCGACTTTTCGGCGCGAAACGACTTTTCGATGCAGTAGACGTTGCCGAGGCTGGGCAGGACCGTCTCGAGGTAGAGCTGCGAGGACTGGGTGAGGTAGGCCTCCTCGTCGTAGTAGGGCACCTTGAAGAGCGTGGCGCCGCCCTCGACCTGCGTCTGCACCAGCGCGGGCGGCGAGACCTTGACAAACTTCATGTCGTTGTACGTCTTGATAAAGGCCCACTCGACCTGCGAGCGCAGCTTCATGAGCGCGGCGGCCGTGTCGCCGCGCAGCACCAGGTGGCGGTTGTCGAGCATGCCCTGGTCCCACTGGTTCTGCGAGACCGAGACCTTGTTGGTGATGGCCTCGTCGTCGCCCGGCGAAGCGCCAATGACCTCGTAGTAGTCGACGTGCAGCTCGCGCCCGTCGGGCGCCTGCTGGCCCTCGGGTACCCGCCGCATCTCGCCGTACAGCGTCAGCGACGTGCCCTGCGCAAACGTGAGCGCGTCGTACGTCTTGGTCAGGTCGCCCGCCTGCAGCACACACTGCAGGTGGCCGTAGCCGTCGATGAGCGTGATGAAGGTGGCCTGCTTTTGGGCGCGCAGGCGGTGGATGCGGCCCGAAACCTTGACGCGCGCGCCCTGCTTGCCGGCGCCGTCGCCAAGCTCCACGTCCTTGTCGGCGATGCCCATCTTGACGGCCGCGAGCAGTGTGGCATCCTGCGTTAGGACAATCTTCTTGGCGGCCTCAAGGTTGTCGAGGCGCGCCTTCTTTTTGGCATCCTCGGCGGCCTGAGCGGCCTGCTGCTTGACAAGCTTCTTCTTGTGAATGTCGAGCACGCGCGCCGCGTTCTTGACCGCGCTCTTGGCGGGCTCTTTCCAGATCAAACGCGCGGCAGGGTCCTCGCCGTCGGCCAGGGCGCCCGTGACGGAAGCGCGCGAGAGGAACTGCGTCGAGGGGCTGTCAATCTTTTGGATCGCGGCAAATGGCAGCGTCTTGAAGGGCTTGGCCTCGGTGCCGTCAGCTGTGGGCTCGTCGACGCCGACGTCCGTGTCGACGTAGCAGATGTCGCCGCTGCCCTTGACCCGCTCAGCGAGTTCCTGAACGGCGGCCATGGTGGCGGTGGCGTTTGTTGCTTTGTGCGTGTGTGTAAAGGCGTCAATGGAGTGAAGGTATTCGGTTCGTGATCTCAATCCCAGGGTTCGTTTTCGGGCCTCAAAAGCTTTTTATCTTGTATCCTCGATTCCAGCGTATGGCGGGGTTGAGGGGTGAAGTCAAATTGGCAGCCGGTTCAAAATACACAGTGCGCGGTGGGGTGTGACTCAAAAGGCAACTTTGGGCGGGCGGTGAAAGCTCCGAGCACGCTGGCATTTTCTCTTATCACACTGAAACAAGACAAAGTAAAGCCCAACCTTTTGTATCACTTTTGTGACAAGATTGTTTAATCTCCCTGGCTGTTGTGACTCCTTTTTTCCGCTGCCGGCCTGTCTATCGTGCAGGGCGAATTTCTTGCTGTTCAATGCCTAATAATACCACTCAATTCGCAATACGCTACCTCACCTAAGCACTATCGCCGGCAAACAGTCACGGCGACATGCTCTACAACCATCAACTCCTCGCCGTGCCCAATCAATTCCGTACATCATTTACACATCCTCTACAATTTACAACCGCATCCCGCTCCTAAGACGCGCCCTTACAGCTCATCCTTTTCGTTTGCGGCGGCGGCCGCTTTGCCTTCCTTGGCCATGCCCTGCATGCCCTTCTTCACCATGGAGCTCAGAATCTCGTACGCGACCTGCGCCGCCGCCAGCGACGTCTCCTCGCCGACGCCCTGGTACGCCGGCGACACCTCGACCACGTCGGCGCCGACCAGGTTCAGGTCCTCGATGCCGCGCAGGATGCGGATCAGCTCGCGCGTCGTCCAGCCGCCGGGCTCCGGGGTGCCCGTGCCCGGCGCAAACGCGGGATCGAGCACGTCAATGTCGATGGAGAGGTAGACAGGGTCCTCGGTACCCAGCGTCTGCATGATGCCGTCGATGATGCCCTTCGTGCCAATCTCGTCAATCTCGTCGGCCGCGTACCGCACCCAGTTCTGGCGCGTGTCGTCGTCGTGGTCGCCCAGGTCGGTGCCGCTCAGACGCGTCCGCAGGCCCGCGTGCACCGACGGCTCCGACGACGCGTTGGACAGCAGCCCTTCCTGGTTGGCCATCCAGAACATGGAGCCGTGCGTAAAGTGCGTCGAGCCCCAGTGCGCGGGGTACTTGGCGGGGTCCCAAGTGTCGAGGTGCGCTGTGTGTGTCAGTGTAACCCGTTTTGCTTGATGAGCGGGGCAAGAGATGTATGCGGCCTTGTGTTCAGAGGAGTCTTGCGTACCGTCAAAGTGAAGAACCCGCACGGGCCGGCCGTGAATCTCATTCAGCGCGCGCAGCGCCGGCAGCGTCAGGCTGTGGTCGCCGCCGAGCAGCATCAGCCGGGGCTTGTCGGCCACCGACGATGCGGTGCGGTGGCGGCCGAGCGCCGTCAGCCCTTGCGTCATCTGCTCGCGCGCAATGACGTTGTCGTAGGGCGTGACAGGTATGTCGCCGCAGTCGACGATGCGTGCCCAGTTCTGGTACGGGTTGACGTGGGCGCGCGGGTTGTAGCTACGGTAGTCAATCTGGCGGGCCGAGGCCGCACGGATGAAGCGAGGGCCGAACCGGGCGCCTTTCCCCCGCCTTGTCAGCTTGGAAGTGGTTATAAGCAGTATACACATGTCTCTTACCGGGGCGGTACGAAACGGCCGTGTCAAAGGGCACGCCGACAATGGCAATATCGTAGCGCTCCGCTGGGTTGGTCAGGCACTTGACATGGTCGAGATGGGCAAATGTGCCAATGCCGGAAAACGTCCACTATGCTGATTAGGCTTCCATACCACGCGTAGGAAGATCGAGTTTCCCGACGTACATCGTATCCCCATTTCTCCTCGAGCTCCTGCAGCTCCTCCTTGGTCCACTGCCTGTCGTCGTCGTCATGTCCGGCGCAGGCCAGCGACAGGCCGGCGCAGAGCATCAAACTGGCCAGCACAGAAGCACGCATCGTTGCAGATTGGGTTTGATAAGTCGTCCGTGGCTGAGATGGGCGAGAGAGTATCGACACTACTCGGCGTGTGATTTTTGGCACCGACGAGGTTAATGTTCAGGTAAAAAAGTCCCCCGCGGAATAGTCCGATAGATACAGCGTTCTTCCAGTGGAGTTGCAGCGATCAGCCCGATAACAACAAGTGGTCCGTATTGGATGGCAACCGATGAGATCAAATATAGAGGGGAACTCTGAGACCCCAGTTGAAAAAGAAAAGAAGTACTACTCCCACCTATTTAAAGTCTTCCTCAACTTCACTTCCCCCCCCCCATATGCAGTCGCTCCCCGCGGTCGCCGGGCGTGCGGGGTGCGGGCATTGCGGGCGCGCCGTCATTCTTGGCTGAGTGGCGGCAAGTCGGGTGGGTGCCCGCGCCTAACCAAAAGGTCGGATCCGGCCGCCTCAGACTCCCCTCCAAGTAGGCCGATGATGGCGCCGCCTTGAGAGGGTAATTGCTTTCTTACCCACCGAGCGAGCTGTGATGGAGAGTATAGGCCGATGGTGTAAGAATCTGAGCTCACTCAGTTCGTGGGTTACCCTTCCTTCCGATGCGGCTTGCTGGGGGTTTTGCGGGAGCCGTACATACAATTTTCAGGTCCCCCCTTCGTCAGAAACGCTCACAGTGATGAGTTTGAGGGGTTTATCAGAGGAGAATAAGCATCCGTACCCAACGTTTCCTATCGCAGACGCAGGGTAGCAACGCTGTCAGAATCTCCTTCTTTGCGTCCACATGTCAAACACTAGTCCAGTTTATATTTTAGCGTCAGAAGAATGTCACAGAGACAAAGTACTGAGAAGGGAGAGCAGATAAACTGAAATTTCTTCCCCCCAAATCTGAAGTGGTTATGACACACCAAAACTATAATTCCTTGTCTACAAGACGGTCCCATCTAACCTGCCATCTGACCTGCCATCTGACCTGCCATCCGACTGTCCCGGAACGGTTCCGAAGTGGAGCTTTGGCGCGCATATGTCTTGTGCGATTTCAGACATTAGTTGCCAACTTGCCTACCTACATATAGATACCTACCTACCTAGGTAGTTGTCTGGCTGGGACCTTCTACAGTCTTTGGCTGGCCAATTCAAATATTTGTTACCATCATGCTACAGCAAAAGACAAAATGTGAAAAATAATACAAAACAAATAAATTTGCACTCCAGTCGCCAGAAGATAAAAAATGGGGAAAACAACTATCTTATCGAAAAGCATGTGCTCGCCTTTGTTTGCCTCACCGAGCCCCTCTGGTCCGCAGAAAAGCCATGCAAGAAAGCAAGAAAAAAGAAAACATAGCAGCATATATAGATCTGTGACCAAAAAACAAGACAAAAAAACAAAGATCCTGCGCCGTGGTGATGCCATCCAGCGTTCGTGGCTGGATGGGCCGCCGTGGTAGACAAGCTCATCGTACTTGAGCCAACTCCAGCCGGCTACACACGTAGCTCTCGCTACCACGCCGTCCAAACTCGTATCTCTTCTGCCAGTCTAAATATTTGCGACTTCCTTCTCAAAACGGACTCTGTCCAGGCATTCGACTGCACATCCTTTCACGCCGGTGCTCGGCCGGCCACTTTCGCGGGGGGTATGAATCAATTACAGAATGCGACACTTGTGAGACTTCTTCTTGGGTGCGGGGGGCTCCAGAGCCGCGACAATGGCCTTTATGATTTTGGTTAGCTGCCTGTGCTCTGCGCGCGCGGGTACCGTCACAACATACCTCGTCAAACACATCCTTCAGCTTATACTGCGTCAGCGCACTGCACTCGACGTACTTGACGGCGCCCAGGTCCTTCGCCATGCGCTCGCCATCCTCTTTTCTAACGGGCGACATCTTTTGTTTGGCCAGCTTTTCCCGTACGCTGGGATCGTCGCGGAGATCGACCTGGGTGCCAACAATGAGGCACGGGACGCCGGGGCAGTGGTGGTGGACCTCGGGGAACCACTTCTCACGGACGTTTTCAAAGGAAGCGGGTGACGTGACGCTAAAGCAGACGAGGAATACATCGGTTTGGGGATATGATAGCGGCCGAAGCCTGTCGTAATCTTCTTGTCCGGCGGTATCAAATAGACCGAGCGTGTAGGGCTCATCACCGATCCTGCACCAGAGTTCATCATTAGCATACTTATAAATTAGGCGTTTGCCGCTTGGCGTCATCAAAGTGCGATAGTGATATGTGACCCTTGCTCGGAACCCTGCCGCTTGCACACCGCTAAGGGAGAGAGCATGGGTGTTGAAATGCTAGGGAGCAAAGCTCGACGAGGGCTAACAAAAAAAGAAAGGCGAAAAAACGCCATCACCGGCATTGTAGCTGGATGGGTAGAGAGAGTGTAGTATTTGGGAAAAGCGGGAGAAACGTACATGACTGTGACGGCATAGTTATCGAAGACTGTTGGGACATATTCCGAAGGAAACTTGTTCGTGGTGTAGCTAATGAGCAGACAGGTCTTGCCGACAGCACCATCTCCGACAACAACGCATCTATGAAGCAATTGCAAAAGTTAGCATATGATAGCTGCAGGTAGAAGCGGGCAATTTTTCGGGTGCCGGCCGTCGTTTCGCCATGGCGCGGGCGGTTGATGATGTCCTCTGCGCACATGAGGGGCAAGGTCGCGTTGCGAAAGGGCCGCGGCATCATGGTGCGACAACAAGGGAGACGCCACAGCGGCCGCGACGGACGATGAGGAAGAATGGCTGGCACCGTGAAGATGAATAGGGCGAGATGATGCGTACTTGATGGTTGCGACAACCGCCATGGTTCAGATCTGGGGCGGATTATCTGTATCGTGAAGCTTCGGGGGGTTGAGGTGAGGAGTTGGATCGAGGTGGAGGCAGAGCGACAGCACCAGCGACAGGCCAGGTATAATTTTTTGGAGGCCAGCGACGCGTATTTTGCAAACCGGTGCAAAACAAGAAGAAAGGAAGAAAAAAACCGGGCGCTGTGGATGAAGAGATGGAAGAAGAGAGGGGAGTAGCAAAGACGATTAAAAGGCGAGACAGGTGTGTTTTTGGGGAAGAGGTTTGGTGATTAGGTAGGCTGGCTGGGGGTGAGCGTTCTGGAGTCTACAAGGTAAGGTGCCTAGCGCCAGGAGGTGGATGATGGGTGATGGTGGATGGTGGATAACAGGCAAAGAGCAAAGAGGCAAAGAGGAGCCGTAGGCAGAGCAGCAAACCAGACACAAGAGAAGCCCGTGACGACTGACGAGACAAGGGACAAGGAGACCAAGGCTGTCAGAATAACTAAAACTACCTTGGTATGTAGGAGGTAGTACCAGCTACCTCTTCCAAGTGCCTCGTTGGTGCACTTGGTCCGCCAGAGCAAGGTACCAGTACATGTGAGTAGCAGTAGCACCAATACTTGGGATGCACTATATTGTTTTACAAGTTCAGCCATCAACCATCAACCATCTCCCATGTATTGCTGTACGCATCAGCAGACTCGCAATTATGTATTCCGCGGCTCTATCCTTATTCCCCAGTCGCCATCACCTCCTGGGCCAAACGGGGTGGCGCAGATTCACTGTTCACAGCGTGCACACAAACAACGGGAGTGCAACAGAACCCTGAAAAGACGCAGCATGTGGCGTCGAAAAAAAAAACACGCCAATCATGTTCTGGAAGCAACAACATCGGGCTGATTTTAACTTTCTTTTTTTTTCCCACTCCTCTTCTTTTGACTGGCGGCGCTGGGCGATACAAGAAAGGCGCTGGTGCTGTTTGCGTTACCGGAGGGGCGTTGCAGGCACAGGCATCCGCTGTAAATTTAGGTAGTAGTGCGTGCACCCCCGCTGTTCGAGTTTTACCAGCCAGCGTCAGCCATGGGAGGAGCACACTGGAAACGGTCCCCTGTGGCCGCTCCAGACGTTTCTGCCTTCTTGCCTGCCCGCAAGTCCAACTTTTGCCCTCACTCATCAATTCCTATCAGTGGACCGTGAAGTGGACAGTGTCTCGACCAAACCGGCCTCCTGCACTGCTCCACTTCTAGCTTAAACACCGCAGTACAGCCCTGAACAGGCAGGCGGTCAGCTCGTCCCGCCGCCCCAGCAATGATGCGGCTCGGCAGAAAACAAGATGGGGGAGGCTTGAAACGAAACTGGCGCAGCTTCACTTTTCGGCCTGGATCAGAGGCGAGCACACAACCCGTCCATCAATCAGCCTTGGCCCCTGCCGCTGCCTGTCCTTGATTTTATTAATCTATTCCAGAAAAAAAACGGTTATTTAACTCCGTCATTGATCGTCCGCTTCAAAACGGATTTGGCGTCTCCTGGCCCGCGCGCAACCAATACCTCCCATCCTATTTGCAGGGGGACACAACAACGGGTGAACGGGTATGGGTGTTTTGTTTCCGGACACCTCAGACAGATGGTTGCACGCGGAACTGACATACACGTGTTTGGTACGAATTCCCGATACAGAGAGTCAGAGATATCGTACGCACCATGCCATGCCGCTGTAGCCTGTGTCGCTTCAACGCATGCTAAGATCGGATATGCGACACGTACCGCTGGGCACAAAGCCACACGCCTCGCGTCACTCAAGCATGCGTGATAGGTGTCCTGACAAGTTCCGACTCGGACGTTGTGCTGCCTCAATCTAAAAATGCGCAGATGCCGGTCGAAACTGCGCCGATGCCCAACTGCATATTCAGCACACCACCCTACATACCCTACATATCCGTGCAGCGTCGTGCCTCGTCGTCCATTTGCCGAACCACCCCCCCATTACTCCGTAGGGACCCTTGGATGCTGCGACTTGTCTCATCCTCTTTGCAAGCCAAGGTGACAAGCTCCTCGGCAAGGAGCGCTCGTCCCGAAACGCCCACCTGCAGATCACCGCATCCCGCATCACCGGGCCGGCGACCGCCTAGGTGCCAAAAAAGGCTTCATTGATAATAATACTGCTAGTTATTATCGCCTCCGTTATTCCGAGGCCAGGAGGGGGAGGTCTGCTAAACGACGCCAAACGAACCGTTTTGACAGGGGTCCCCTACCCGTGCCATGGCTTGTCTCAGTCCTCGCAATTCCAGAAGCTCAAGGCGATTCTCGCCTAACCTTATTCGATGCACCATGTTGGCCTTGGATCGCGTGGGTAAAGACTGAGAGACAAGATAACTAATTTGTACGCCACTGTAGATTAACGTAGATGAACGCCATTTCTGCAGAATTGGCAATGTTTATCTTTTGCCCTTTGGGTCTCGCCATGACAATGCTCGCGTTTGAATGACCTGATTCTTTCCCCGTAAGCATCAGTCATGGGCGCACATGAAATTAAGGAGCTGTCAACAACTCCAAGCGATGGTTCCTGGTGTAAGGGCTAATATATCGATATACCGATAAGCAAAATCTCAATGCGGGATTGGCATGTCGCAGATTAGTTGGGTTCTCACGACTCCCGAGTGACGCCCGCATCAACGGACGTCTCTCAGCTTGTCGGTCGATGACGAAAATTGCACACTACATATTGTCCCCCGTCGGAAGAAGCGACTCGGAAGAAGAACACACCCGGCCCCAGTGCGTCCATCACATCATCTTTGCTTCTGCTTGCACCCGCAGCTTACCTTGGGTACTCGGTCTCCGCGGGTCCTAGTCATAGTTGATAATAATACTAGCTAAATCGACGCTACCTACCCTAGTGAGACCATAATTTTGCCTACATAATTGATCAGACAAAATTGTGAGTAAGAAAGCCAAAAGCCCCAGAAAAAGCTTGGGCCGGGCAATTACTTCCCAGCGATATCCAGACTTGGCTGTTTCAAACCACAATCTGCGTTCATAATAAGCGCCTCTGCAGAGGCCGCAACTCACTCTCAAGTCCTCCAAGGCTCCGAATGACTCGTTGGCTTCGCTCCAACGACAAGCCGCCCAAGTGGCTGGCCTTTCGGTCTTCCTCGACATTAATCACCGTCGCCGTCAGCTTTGCCGTCTTCACCGTACGTCGTTCCTCCGCAATCTATTCACCCATTCTAACCGGCCCTAGGATGTCTTTCTCTATGCCGTCGTTGTCCCCGTCATTCCATTCACGCTGGAATCGCGCATTGGTGTAGATTCCGACAGAGGTAGGTATGCTTGAAGAGCAAAACTAAAAGCACGTGTCTCTAACTAGGCTTATTAGTTCAGTATTGGGTGTCGGTTTCTCTCGCGGTGTTTGCCGTGGCTTTATTCGCCTCCTCCCGTACGTTGCAGCTGTTTCGTGCTCCGAGTCTGCCGCCGCTAATGTCACAAATCACAGCAATTTGGGGGTGGATGGCCGACAGGTACCAAAATCGCCGTATTCCAATGCTCGTTGGTCTCCTGTGGCTCCTCGCCGCCACGCTCCTTCTCTGCCTCAGCAGCAACATTGCCATGCTGCTCATCGCCCGTATCCTGCAGGGTCTGTCGGCGGCCATGACCTGGAGTGTCGGACTTGCGCTGCTCATCGACAGCGTCGACAAGAAGCACGTTGGCCGAGCCACCGGCTGGACCAGCACAGCGCTGACGCTCGGCATCCTGCTCGGGCCGCTCGTCGGCGGCATCGTCTATGACAGGGCTGGCAATTACGCCGTCTTTGGCATATGTTTTGGCCTGATTGGCATTGACATTGTGCTGCGTATCATCATTGTCGAGCTCAAAGAGGCGAGAAAGTGGAGGAGCAAAGAGCCATACTCGGACAGCACGACAGCTGCCGCCAATCCGACAGCGCGCGAGGCGACCGCAGGGCAAGGTGCCTCGGTCGCCGATCCCACGCCGCCATCAACCAGTCTGGCCGACCATGACGAGTCTGAAACCAACGAGGACCCGGGCGTCATTGAGAGACAACAATCGCGTGGTGCATTTTCCATTGCCGGAAAGAATGGGATACTGGGGCTCCTGAGAAAACGACGCATGCTCTGCGCCCTCTTCGGCGTCGTCATCCAAGCCGCCACGCAGACGTCCTTTGACGCCATCATGCCGCTCCAAGTCCACGACCTCTTCCACTGGAACGCCATCGGCGGGGGCCTCATCTTTCTGCCCATCGTGCTGCCCACCTTTCTCGGCCCCGTCGTCGGCTCGCTCAGCGACCGGCACGGCCCGCGCTGGTGCACGGCCGGAGGGTTCCTCTTTTGCGTGCCGTTCTTCGTCTGCTTCCGCTTCGTGACGGAGAACAGCATCGGCGACAAGGTGCTGCTGTGCGCGCTGCTGGCCGCCATCGGGCTCGGCGAGGCGTTCCAGGTCGCGCCGCTCATGGCGGAGATTTCGTGGGCCGCCGAGGAGGGCCGCGCCGAGGACGCCGGCGCCGTGCCGTACGCGCAGGCATACGCGCTCTACAACATCTCCTTTGCGGCCGGCGCCATCATCGGCCCGCTCCTGTCCGGCATGGTCCGCGAGAGCAGCGGCTTCGGCACCGTGGGTTGGAGCCTCGCCATCCTCAACGGCGTCACCGCGCTCGTCATGCTCAACTGGGTCGGCGGCGCGCCGCTGTACAGCTTCAGGCAGGGCATCAGGCGGAACGGGGAAGAGGAATCTTTAGCTCTGAGCACGGCGCCGGTGGCGAGCGCGGAAAGCGGACAGCAGGCCGGTGGGAAGGGAAAAAGCCCCAGCGAGGAACAACGGCGGCGTGAAGAAGATATAGCATAGCATCGCAAATTTAGCATTAGCAAGCAAGATACCATTTCAGTTTCTGCTTTGAATTATAATCAAATCATCTGCCTCTATCTATTTTTTCTCCTGAAATTGTACATTCTTAGGTCCAACGACTCACCCTCTGATGTCTCGATTTCGTCGTCACCTGTGGCTCCACAGCCTCCAACCTCGCACCATACCTAGATAGCTTCCTCACCTTCCATCTACAAACCATCCATATCCAATTCCATGCGCTCAAGATCAAACGCGATTTAAATTCCTCTACACTATAGCCCTTGCTTCCTGCACGAATAACGCAACTCATACGATTCGACAGGGATAATCCCACACCGTCCACGCAAGCCATGGCGTCCGAGGCCGACCAGGCCATCGACGGCCTCCTCGAGCGCTACCTCGTGCTCGTGGACCAATACGCGGCCCTGCGCGCCTCCCTCAGCGCGGCGCAGCAGCGCACATTCCATGCGCTTGCCCGGGCGCGCTTCACCGTGGACCGCGGCGGCGGCGTTGGCCGCAACCAGTACGACGAGCGGATGCAGGCGTCGCGGCGCGTCGTCGTTTCGCGGCCGGCCGCGGCGCCGCCCACGTTTGCAGTGACCGCCGAGGGGCACAACGCGGCGGGGAACAACCCCCTTCGCTGGTTCGGCGTGCTCGTGCCGCAGGCGCTGCGCGACGCCCAGAGCGAGGCGGTGCGCACCGTCGAGGACATCCTGCCGAGACTGGCGAGCGTGCAGGCCGGGATGGCGCAGGTGGAGATTGAGGTGCGCAGGGCGAGGAAGAGGCGCGCAAAGGCTATTTCTAATAGGGATCTTACTCATACAAACAAGAACTCAGGATCAGGGCATAACGGATAGCCGTGGTTACATGTAGGCGTCATTAACTCTCTGATTGCAGCCATATTCAAGCTGCCTTGCCATATGTCTCATAGCCTTGCCCTACGTCTCATAAGCACCTGGGCATTGATTGCTACGATCAACAAGGTAGACAAAGCCACTAAACATGGTTGCCGACAGGGAAATGTAGTTTGATATGGGCTCATCGTATAGATTTCATGATTGCATTGTGTGCTCATTCTATACATGTGTATTTATACAATGCAGACGGGCCTAATGTCAGCAGCACTACAGGCTCGATTGGTAACGCCACTGAGGATGTCTCAGTATCAAGATGTACTTGTAGTTGCTTCCACACCACTGACAGGCTAGCCTGTGAGTCGAAAAGCCATACTCACTCGCTCTTCCTTCCGCGGAACTCCGCCTCATAAATCTCGCGCTTCATGTCCATGAGCATCTCCTCCATTTTGTACACCTCATCGCGCGATAATGTGGTGTCGCGGAGCTGAGCAAGGCCCTGCCGAAGAGTGTCCATGATGGACGCCTTGGGCGTTTGTTCCGGGACCGGCTTGTTGACCGCTTCCGGTGCCTCAGGTGCTGTCATCTCAATATCCGGCACCTCCGTCTTTGGCTGGCTGGCAGTAGTAGCCGTGGCATCGGTGACGCGTTGCGAAGAGATTTCCCCATCCGTGTCTCCGCCCTCCCGTCGGCGCTCAGGCGGACTACTGTGGCGCTTGTTGTTGAGGTTGTTTCGGCTGCAGGCGCGTCGCTTGAGCGGCGATTCTTCCACAGACCGATGCTGCTGCCGCGCACTCTTCCTGGCATCCTTCGTCGTTGTGTCCTTCTCCTCCACTTGCTTGAGCTCTGGCAGGGATTGTGATTCCTCGCACTCAGCCTCAGCAGCGCGGGTGCGAGTCTCTTCAACTGCCAGCTCGGGCTCGGGCACAGGCTCATATTCCCGTGGTGGATACCAACGTTTTCTAGGAATGCTGCCAGGGCTGCAAAGTCTCGATCGCTTCCGTTTGCGCAGCTTCGACTCGCCGGCGGTATCAGGCACTGTCTCGTCGATCGGCGTAGATGGCACAACTTGTGACGGGGGTATTACGACCGCATCCTCAGGTGCTGGGCTAGGAATGGCAACTCCCGGAACACTCTTCTCATATGGTTCTGCTACTGCGGCCTTGCCGCGTAGCGACTTGCGTCTTCGAGATGACTTGCTGACTCCAATATCTTCTTCCGCGGCTGTCTCTTCCACTGCCTCTGCTTCTTTCTGATCTCGCTGTGGTCTCGTTGTCTCTACGCTGGCTTCCCTGGGGAGCTGCAGCCCATCCGTGAATTTCCGACTGCGCGACGTTTCTTTTCGAGAACGCGGTTTACTTTTCGTGAGCCCCTTGGGCTGAGGCGTTGTATCATGCTTTACTCTGTTCTCGACGTCAAAGCTAGACGATATTACCTTGATTGGCTCATCATGTACAACACTTGCGCGGTGACGACTTCTAGTTATCATACCGACAGCGGGTAGTTGGAGCTCGACTGTAGTAGCGGGTTGAGTTTGCTCAATCTCGCTGCTACCAGTTTGGTCGATAGTCGGAGATCCGGGCGGCGACGAAAACTCCCAGTTTTCCGTATAATTGCCCGTCCTGGACCGAGACTTGAGCTCCGAAAGTAGGGGGTATGGTCGTGGCAGGGGCGGGGACGACGGGGGGTCATTAAAGTCATCCAGTTGAAGGGCTTGCCCCCGTCTCGGTGTAGGTGTAGATGTGATATGTTTGCTATATTTTTCTTCCCTTTGGGGGGTGCCCTGTTGCTTTGGGCTTGACTTCGCTTTGGATTTAGTAGCCGCCTTGCCACTCCCATCGGGTGGCGTGTGGGCAGACAAACCTTGCAGTTCAGCGTAGAGGACAGGTTCCTCGCGCCTGCGCTCGCGAGCTTCTATGTTGTCGTGTGGCAGGCGTTCTGGTGTGGCTGACGGTCTTGGTCGTTTGGTGCTGTTAGGTTCCGATATAGTTTCAGGACAACGCTTTCCAGGAGAAGTCCTTCCCACATTCGGTGTGGATGAGCCAGCTGTCCCATTGGGTTCTTGTCGTCCGTCTTGGAGGGACGACATCGAGGAGAGAGCAACAAAACTAACGTCTTCTCTACGGCGACCAGATTGGGCGCCGAAACCGCTAGCTTCCGAGCCTGGGAGCGCAATATCTAGCTTAAGACCCAACGAAGTCACAGCAGACTTGAGACTTTCGGAGCAATCAACACTGTCCTCGTCCTTGACGAAGGTGTTCCATGCACTGGTAGCCTTTTGCACAATGCATGTTTGCCTGCTCTTGAAAGCGGCGGCGAAGAGCGCCTCGGCGTCGTCGAATTGGGCCTTGCTCAGAGAGCCGTTGCCAGTATAGATGGCACAGGCTTGATCCCAGAGTTGCCGAACGGCTTTCAAGACAGGTTTGGCGTCCTGATTCCCAAGGCGTGAATCTTCGTCCAAAATCCAAACGCAGATGCCACGTTGTAGCTTGTTCAGAAGTTTTAATCCATAGGCAGCACCGGAGCGGTCCAAAAATCCAGTGATTGACTGGATGAATGCACTAATATCCTCACTTTGCGAAGTGTCTAGAGTTGCGGAGTAGAGCCAGCAAAGACAGTTGTTCCCTAGCTTGTAAAGATGATCATACGGATCGGCCAAGTTAGTCTTCGCCATTGTCAAAGGGGTGCCCCACAATCTGCGTCGGGTGACTTCCACGGTGTGGGCATCTCGGGGCATACGGGCAGCTTTGAAGAGAGCTGACGAGGCTTGGATAGCCATTGTAGACTGCTGCGTTTGAAGCGCCTTCACGTTAGGAAGGACAGAATTGGCCAGAGCCTCTGCCAGTGGTTCGACGATGGCCAAAGCAAGACCAGCATCACCAGCTTGAGCCGTTGTGTGCTCGCAAACTCTGGTAAGAAGTGATTTCCATTGTAATATTGGCAAGTTGGGATGCGACATGAGTCCTCTGTCCAAGAGAGAGACAAATTCACGGTAGACTGGACCAAGAAGTTGTTCACTGCTACGTATGGAAGGAGGCACTTCCGCGGGGGGGTTGAGAAGCAGACTTAGGTTCTGCGAGGCCAGGATCCATGGTGCGAACGGAGTTGTGGCGTTCAGAGGAAGTTGATGTAGTAGCTCTCTGGCGAGTTCGAGACGGGCTTTCCGGGGTCGATCTTTGAAGAAGGGCTCGAAAACATTAGAGAAGAATGTGCTGAACGCTTCATTGTCCTTGGCTCCAGGAGGCAGCGAGGAGAACATGTGGGCAAGATGCAAAACAGGAATGCGAGATATGCCTTGCGTGCTTTCGGGTCGATTACCGCGGTGAGAAGGCGTCCAAATGGGTTCAAATGTGTTGGAGATCATTGACAGCTTCTTTTCCATAAAAGGTAGGACTTTCAGACCTTGTACGAGAACCGCGATGAGGTATTCTATGCTTGCCAGGAATTTCGCGGCGGTTGTCTCATCTGCTCCTGGGATGCCGGCGGACCAAATTTTTGCAATGAAATTTAATGTGCAGGCAATGAACTTTGCTGTATCCTCTGATACCTTGATATCCTTGGCAGAGGCCGAAGCAATCGAGCCGACAAGTACCTGCCAAAGTCGATATGCCAGGCTCTCTTTATTGGCCAGGTCAAGAACTTTACTTTCGAATATTGCGCTCACATGCTGCAGCACCTTTTCACAGTTCTTTCGAACCCATTTCGAGTCAATGGGCGGCAGTTCTTCGGTCTTGACCGGAGGAAGGTCCATAATTCGGTCGTGCCTCCAGACCCGGGGCGTCGCAATATCCAGTAAGCCAACAAGGAGGTGTGATGCTTGCATAACACGATCACCGTGACTTTCAGGCTTACCGTCAAGACTGATGAGGAGGCTTAGGATCGGGTTCACAGTAACATCCCAAACAGTATCGGCAGGATACTTGTCGCTACCTGGCGCAAGAGCATAGTAATAAAGGTTGCAGACGCCACCCAGAACGATGCGTTTCAACTTGATAGCTTCCTCATATTGCGTCGGAGGAAATTTTCGTCGAAGCTGGCTGGATAGTGGCTGGCAAAGTGTTCCTAACACTTTGGGGGAAACCTCGTTATCGGTGAGAGACAGGTAGATGTATCTATTCCATGCGTAGTTGGCCTCCTGTTTGGTCAAGCTATCCGTCATGTTGAATGACGACTGAACAAGAGTAAACCATGGTCCGTAATACTGCCATCGCTCCAGAGGACATCTCAGGAATAAGGTGACAACGCTCCATATTTGCGGGACAACAGGTGACGTCTCTCTGTCTTTGATCATCTCTTCTAGTTTTGAGATGTAAAAGGTAATGTAAGCTTCGCCTTTGCTGGTCCTCTGCAATATTTCGGTCGCTCTTCGCATCATTGGTTTTTCGGATCGCAAACTGAAGCCAGCTTCGGTGCCGAGGTCAATGGCTTGTATCCTGATCTCTTTGATACTACTTAGCATGTCTGTGAACATGTCTTGCAGCCAGTCAGAGTGTACAGTCATATGTTTCGGTGCTTGTTTGATGAGACGCTTGTAGATGTGAATACGGCTCATGATGATGCTCTTTCCGGCAAGGTGATTTTCAATCTTGTGAAGAGAAGCGACCAGGCGTCCAACACGGTCAGATGTCATGACTTTGGATGTGAAGTTTTGGGAGGCCACGACTTGCATCAAACGACGAATGACGTCTTTTTTGGTAGTCGAGGCATCTTCCAAGGAACGAATGGCATGGTCGATAATGAATATGCCAAAATCGGAGGCTAACGTTGAGGCAATGGCGGGAAAATGTAGGAAAGTCGTGACTAGGTTGAGGGCGTGGTTGATGAGAGAAGTATCGGGGGCTGTGTTGCCATTCTTGGCGGTAATATCGCGCTGTATAAACTGCGTAAACAGGCTCATCTTGTCCTGAAGAGCAACACGGTCAGGCAGGTTATTGGATGCCTTGAGGGCACGTGCCAGCATCATGTAGGCATCGAGCTTGGAGTCGCGGTCAGAGCCGGCGAGCTGTTTTATTGTAGAATCCAGCATGTCGATGAGATTTCCTTGAAGCAAGTCTCCGTTGGCGTCTCCATTCAGAGATGCAATGAGCGGGCTGGGGGAGGCGGATGGCTTGAGTATACCCTTGATGGGCCTAGGCGCAGACGACGGGGTTGTAGAGGCAGCCAGCGACGGCTTGAGTGGCCTGGAAGCGTCGTGCAGTTCGGCAGGCTCTTTGTACTGGGTATGGGCAGACCACTCGACCTTTTTCCTTGTCCGCCCAGAGCCAGTGTTGGTGTCTGCGGCCGCCAACGACGGGGCGCCGGCATTCGGGGGTGTCTGGAGGCTGAGGCGAGCATCCAAGGGAGCTCTAGTCGAAGGAGCAAGCCCGGCTGCTGCGTTGCGCGCTTGGTTCGTTTCGCGAGGTGGTGTTGGGTGTCGAGCTGTAAGCGACGTGAAGAGGGCTGCTGCGGCCGTGGCTACTGACGATGCCATGGCTGCCATGCAGCACCCGCAATCTAGACAGCAAGAGGGCCAGAGGTGACAAGGGGGACGGCAGGCATCTATCTGGTGGCGTGGGAACAAGACCAGGAAATGGGGGCAAGAAGGTGGGCAACAGGTCGAGAGGTAAAATCAATGAACGCTTCGAAATAGGAAGATGTCAGTGTCAAGGTCGGAGTTAAAATCGGAGCACATCAGCGCTGGTCGTGTCTGGGACTATGGTATGTCTGGTGAGACGGATTTTAGACGCGGTCACGGTTCACGTGTGGCGGGAGCGGTGGGGAACCAACTGATGAATGGTGGCCCACTGGCCCGTGCACATCGACTTGCAACTGCGCCACATGCTATTGTCTGTGGCTGAGACTCAGCCAGGCCTGTTACACAGGCCTCATCAACGCCAAAGATACGGGCCTTGACGTCGGCAGGGAAGCCGGGGAGCAAGCCAGCGCTAACTAAAGACGGCTCGCAAAACGCCGAATTTAATAATAATTATTAGGTTGGGATATTAATTGACGACCTAAAAGTAGGCCAAATGTGGCTAGTGGACGCCGGTCCCGGCGCCTCTACCTAATTTATATAGGAGGACTAGGCATAGCGTTAGGAACATACCTCTTCCTACTATAATATTGAAATCGCTCTTATAAAGCTATCTAAAGCTATTACTACTATATTTTATCTAAATTTATATTCTATATTATTTACTATAAATCTATTTAATACTCTTTTTCTTACCTTAAAGGCTACCTAGGCTACTATTTATAAGTAGGCTTATAACTATAGCTTCTTTATAAGTATTAATATAATAAAGAAATATATCTTATATTTAAAATACTTTAAATAGTACCCTTTACCTCTTAGTATTAATAAAGCTAAGCTTAGCCTTTAGTAAGACTCTTTCTTAAGTATAAATAATTACTTTTAAATAATAATATATTATACTTATAATACTATTAACCTTAATAGTTAATATATCTAAATAAGAATAATAATAATTCTTATATACTAATTAGGCTAAATAACCTATCTAGTACCTCTACTAATTATAGGGTAAGGAAAAACTAGAGTACCTAGGGGAAAACCTTATCTATATTTTACGGGATTCTTTGTGGTCTTGTTCCGGAGTATACGGGGGTCCGGTGAGACCCCTCTTGATGCCATGTGCCGGGTTTTTATCCACGTCCCGGCCCGTGTCTGGCCTGTGCCACTCCGGCCAGCCGAGCCTGTCAACCACCTCCCCTCCCCCCGGGTTTTTATCTACGTCGAGGGGGCCGTGTCCAATCCTGCACGTCTCCGGACTGGTCGAGCCAGAAGTAATAATACTTTTAGTTAATATGATTATTTACTAGATAACGAATAATGAGGAAGCTTCGTCCGAGCTGTTAACTTGACGCTCTCGCCTATCACATAAGTATTTTCTGTTTTAATGTAACTTATTTTTCCTGAATTCTCTTTTTCCTTTTCAAGTACCCAACACGCTAGTTATCCCTACCCTAGGAATCTGCTGGCTAGCTGCTTAGCACGTGGAGCAAACGGAGAGGCTCCGTCAGTTACTGGCCCGTTTCCCCCAGTTGCTCCGTTACATCTCAGCATTTCAGCTCACAAGTGCTCGCAGCTCTCCATTGCTGAAAAAGAGAGCAAATAACAAACTTGCAAAGAAAAACCCCCTAAGGTCTTCGCAGAATGGCTCCAAAGCGCAAAGTGAGTACAACCACCCCATATATGTTCGCTTGTTCGATGAGATTTGGACTAACCTGATTCTCTGAACAGAAACCCGCCGATGAGGATTACGGAGAGCACAACGATCTCGTCATGTTAGACACACTCGAAAACTACGACGACGTCAATATGCTAGACATGTTTGAAAATGAGAGGGCCACGTCTGAGGAAAATATTCTTCGCTCTTAGAAAGACCAAGACTTTTCCGGCGATGAAGCTATCGCCTCTGAGGATGACGAGGACATTGAAGATTGAAACCGACTTTTACGAAACCGAGTCCCTTTACTCAGAGAACGATAACAGCGTTTCTGGATATGGGCATGACGCTTCTGATGACGAATTCTTTCCTTCCGACATCGAGGATGAGCCCGAGAGCGACGATGATATCCCCCAAGACTCACTCAGCGTCACACAAGGCTCCGAAGATGAATCTGATGAGGGCCCTGACCACCTCAGCAACGATGCCCCTTCATCCGATGTACTGGACTGTGCGCAAGGCGTGGTCAATGATGGCTGTACTCTCGAAGAGTGCAAACGGTCCTTCAGCAGTCGATTGGAGTGCCGAAAGCATGCAAGGTCTTGTCCAGCAACCAAACAAATTGTGGCAACTGTTAGATCCGACCCAATGGTAGCGAAAACGTGCGAACAGCAATGCAGTCAGTGTCCGGACGAGTTTCTGCTCGCAGCCTCCCTGGAGATGCACATGAGAGCACGCCATGCTGAGGCAAAGTTCACGTGTTCACATCCGGATTGTCACCAGGATCCGACACTATACACTGAGTGGTTCCTCAATTTACACCTCATCGATCAACATGATGATACGGCCTTCTCCTGCCCTTATCCTCGATGCAGTTACTTTTGCCGGAGTCGGATACGGAAGAACAGAGTGAAAACTACCGTCAGCCACCTTGTTCGCCGACATGGAGTTAGCATAAAAAAACTGCAGAATCTACGGATGTTTAATTTAAGAGAAGTACACAGTAGGGAAGCAATGAATGATGCTACGTGCGTATACATCAACGTCTGCGTACACATATCCGTCGATGTGCCCCTAGTATCCCCTCCTCCAGGCATTATCAACAGCTCGCGACCAGCCGGTGTTAAACGGGATGTCCAAACAGACGGCGACGACATTTACGGACAGGTATGTCAATCTCCAGTGGATTCAATATGTTGTGACGGATAATAACGAGCCAAGTTGTGTGAGCACGCCGACTTCCTAGGTGAAGACGAAATATACAACTTCAACCTTTACAGAATGAGTAGGTCTCATTGCGTCTAAATCTCAATTATAAACTGACCAAATGCTAATAGAATCCTCGCAACACGACGGCCAACTATATTACCGCGAAGAGATACGATGTATCGGTCCCACAGATGCAATTGGTTGTGCAAAAAGCCGCGTCGTCACCCTCAGCAATACCGTCGTGCGCACCACCTTGAGATGGAAAATCCATGGGCTACCTCAGCTTACAATGCTTCTACCGATGGTTTATGAGACATGCAGGGGAATCAGTGCGCTGATGGGTAGCATGTTCGCACAGGGAAAATGGCGAAAACGATCGGCCGAAGTCACGAACTGTGAGAGACCCGGATGCGAGGAGCAATCTTCCATTGGCACTCAGTTCTGCCAAAAACATGCGATCATGGAAGTTGAAGCAAGTGCTACCTACCCGCACATACGATCCGTGGTCAAGGAGAATTTGAATCGGAACAGGACCTGCGATTTGCTCACGCCGGATGATGCCAAACGGTGGTTTGAGGATCCTTTGACGACATTAGGGGCGTTGTCGGACGATGAGATCAAATGCCTTGACAGAATACGTGACGCGAACAATTTCTACGTAACGGATACGGAGTCAGTCGGGAAACTTCTGGTCCAAGTAGCGGTTGTCGACTCGAAACGCTGCGTGGTGTTCTCTGATTACATCCATCACGATTGTGAAACTGTTGAGGAGATATGGCAGCTCGCGACCGACTTGAACGGAGGAAAACTCACCAATTATGAAACAAGAGCGCTCCGAAGATCATTTGGCTCTCCATCCACACGAGCTCCTCGGGGACAGGGCCTGGCCTGGCTCAATGAGCAGTGGAAGCTGCTTAAAGAGAAGCATGCCGACCTACTGATCGCAGAATGGTCAGGGTTTTCGTATGATCGAATCCATTGTGACCTGGCATTAGAGTTCGCTGCCCGAAGAGATGGGCACCGTGCCGCCTGGCGAAGTACGGGGACAAAGGCCAGAGAAATTACAGCAAAAGCCAAGCAGTCGACAAATTGAGAGGCCGATTGCGAGCGCCAAGGGATAAGACTACAAAGCTATATTAACATTCTTCGCTATATTACGAGAATATACTAGTACCAAAAGTAAGCCTAGAGAAATACTGCTTGCCTTTTGTCGCAGAATATATTAGGGGACAGGTTACTAAATTAGTGTACGTTATCTAGGCTGGGAAAATAAGGGATAGACTAAATGGTAAATGCTAGTGATATTTGCTCCTAATTGCACACATGACGCCTTTAACCACCGCAGAAGTATATTACACTCCTAATATAGCTCATTCTTTTTTATTTCTATTTTAGTGTGCTATAAACGATTGCTTTAACGTATACAGCTAATCATCTATATCCTGAAATACCTACTTTCTGGCTGCGGCAATCTTCATGCCCATCTGTCTCGCATGCTGAGCCATGAGGGCGTCCATAATTGTCAGAGCAGCCATAGCCTCGACGATAGGTACCGCGCGAGGGACAACATTAGGGTCGTGACGGCCCCTGGTGGCGAGGACGCCCTCGCCGGATGCATCGTAGCGCGAGGTCAATTGGTCCTGGGCGATAGTTGCCGGAGGCTTAAATCCTACCCTGAAAAAGATGCTGGCCCCGTTGGAGATGCCGCCCTGGATACCGCCCGAGTGGTTCGTCTTGGTGCCGAGGCGCGAGGGCGGGATGCCAACAGCGGCACCGGGTGTCGTGGCCTCGCTGGCAAGGGGGTTAGACACGAAGGGGTCGTTATGCTCTGACCCGCGCATTTCAGATCCACGGAAGCCAGAGCCAATCTCAAAGCCCTTAGTCGCAGGAATCGACATCATAGCGTGGGCAAGGAGAGCCTCAAGCTTATCAAAGGCAGGCTCACCAAGGCCGGATGGGCACCCGCGGATAATACAGGTGACAGTGCCGCCGACAGAATCGTGCTGGTCGCGGAGCTCGGCAATTAGGTCCTCCATACGCTTCGCAATTTCAGTGTCAGGGCACCGCACCGGTAGAAATTCGTCAACCTCATCACGGGTAAGGGTATTAACAAGCGTAAGGAACTTAAGATTACTGCTGAGGGCGTCCATATCGTCGAATAGCTTAATCTTACCGACCGAGGACACAAAGGCGATAATCTCAATACCGTAAGCCTCACACAGCCACTTCTCAGCGACAGCGCCAGCAGCGACGCGGGCAATAGTCTCGCGGGCGCTGCTCCGGCCACCCCCGGAGGAGGCTTTGATTCCGTACTTTTCGAGATAGGTCCAGTCGGCGTGGGAGGGGCGGGGGTAAGAATTTTCATGAGATTTGTAGTCGCCGGGGCGTTGATCCTCGTTGGGTATAGTCAGGAGGAGGGGCGTTCCGAGACTTATAGAAGGTCAGTATTATAACAGTTAGACATTCTGCGGGGTGGTCTCACGTTCGCCCAAACTCGGTTCCAGATCCTATCGTCACGCGGTCCTTCTCGTCGCGGGGGGTGGTAATGGCCGACTGGCCCGGACGTCGACGTGTGAGCTGCGGCTGGATGTCCTCTTCCGTGAGGGCAAGGCCTGGCGGGCAGTTCTCAATAATGCAACTGACGCATTTACCGTGGGATTCGCCCGCGCTGTGAACAAGAGATCAGTATGTCTGTTGCGCTGCGCGGAGGGCAGATATGTTGAAAAATACTCACGTGGTCACGCGGAAGTAAGTGCCAAAGCTCGACATGGCGCCTATATCTGTTCTGTTTAATCCAGCAAGTGAACTGAGTCGAAAGCAAATGCGGCTGGGATATTTCTACTTTTTTGGTGACTAATTCAGCTCCGGCCGCCGTATTCGGAGAGTCGGCGGGGCAGCCGCTGTCACGTGCATCATGTATGGTGGGGCTTTACTAAGGCTGTCTGTACATTGCGTCAGCCGCCGTTGAGTAATAAATAGAACAAATGGCTGTGCCATTAATGAATCGCTGTGCCATTAATGAATCGCTGTAGTGGGGTGCGACGATGGCTTTATTTTGCCTCCTGCTGCGAAGACTATTGTGCGCGTTGATAACTGCCTGCTTGCCAAGGCCATCGCAGGGCGGCTTGCAGGGCCAACCTCCGAGTGAGGATGTCCTCACTCGGCTCTGTCCTCTTTGTAAGGCTGTCTTATTATTACATTATTAACCTTGAGATAACAAACTTGGTTATTGCTATACTGCGACAGCGTATAATATCACACGTAACGCACAGTGTAACTGAACTGTGCATGTCTCGCAGGATGCAAACAGTGCCTGTATGGCAGCTTGTCGGGAGCGCCGGGAAAGTAGGGAAAAAAAACATGGACTAAAAACCGAAAATACAGTACAGCGTGCAACACGGCTTTTAGATACGCCGATTAGATGCGATCAGGCTCCCATCTCTACCCGACTATTAACAGTGCTCATCAAGTCAGGTTGCGGTATTCATAAAAGAGCGGGTCTCGAGCAGCCAATGGGCGCACGTTCATCGGCCGTTGCTACGCCGTCGCCTGGGTGTTTGTTTACATCCTGCCGCGCCGCCACCGAAAAACCAGGTGCAACAACCCCGCGATGTGGTCCTTGCTCATTCGCATTTCACTTCCCCTCCCCTGCCCGGCCCATTCTTGTAGCCTGCTACCTAATTACAGTAGGCTCAAAGCTTGTGACGGCATAGTCAGTGTTACCGCCCTGCATCCTTTCAAGATTCCTACGTCGCCACGTCGTGCAGTATCTACAACCTCTTATTTTTGCTTTTACCGCCACTATCGCACGCCACCTCGTCGACAACTCTGCTGCTTCGCGCGTGCGCGGGCATGTCCTGAAGCCCCTTCCTGCTCGCTTGCGACAATTCCTCTATTTGCATTCCAGCGCACCGCCAATTCAGACCCAGAGACGCTCAGGAAGATGTACTAGTGCGCCATATTCAAGCACCTGAGCCAATAACTTTGCCATACAACGTCAATACTCCCGGCCTCTTGCTTTGCTACCCCGAATGAGCCTGGCTGCCATGTTTCACCCCCATCCTCTGCGGCAGTCGCACACCCTCGAGGTTGTGCCTCCCGACAATAACATCTCCCGCCAACTCTCCACCACCTCATCCTCTGCATCGTCTGGCTACTCCTACGCCTCGGACCAGACCCAAAATACGCAACATTCGACCCTCTCGAGCGCCTATTGGCCTCATAAGCCAACTACCACCATACACACACATAAACGCGGTCAAAGCGATGTTATTGCCCGAGCCAGGCTCTTCGAATCTGGCGAAATGAGCCCTTCAACTAGGGATGCAGCGTCGGCTCGCCAGTCACTTCGCCAACTGCCCCAAGCTCCGGCCGCCTCCCTTCACAGGCCACCACCAGCATCGCCAGAGCAAAAGCTACGCCATCTCCGCGGCCAGAGTGTCGACATGTCTAAACTGTCAATTTCACAGACTGATGGCCTAGCTTCACCGGCATCACCCCCTCGCATGTCGTCGATGCGCCCAAATTCCATGCTACTGACTCGCTCAGACTCTGTTCTCCGGGGACCTGGAGCTGCGGTTCCCAGCAGCAGCGCTCACATCGGCGCTCCAGAGCTCGAGCAACTTGGCCGTTCATCCACCACGCAGCTACGCAATCTCTCCAAACTTGCACAGTCAAACACTGCTGATGAATTTGCCATTACATCGCCCACGCAGGAAGTCGTTGGCCTCCGCGGTCGGCGCAAGCTTCAGCGTGCGGAGCAGCCAGCTGGTGGCAAAGCAACCAAGTCCATCGCGTACGGGTGGGGAGGCCGCAACTGGATGGATAAGCAACGTCAGTTTCTGCAAGCCTACGAGTATCTCTGCCATATAGGAGAAGCACGCGAGTGGATAGGGGATATTACCAACAAGTCTTTGCCGCCCATTGTCTCACTCGAAGAGGCACTTCGTGACGGTGTTACGCTTGCCGAAGTTGTCGAAGCCCTCAACCCCGACCGGCACTTCCGCATATTCCGCCATCCAAAGCTTCAATTCCGACACTCCGACAATATTGCCATCTTCTTTCGCTACCTAGACGAGGTCGAGATGCCCGATCTTTTCCGATTCGAACTCATTGATCTATACGAGAAGAAGAATATCCCCAAAGTTATATACTGTATCCACGCTCTCAGCTGGCTGCTGTTTCGAAAAGGCATAGTGGACTTCCGCATCGGAAACTTGATCGGCCAGCTTGAGTTTGAGCATCATGAACTAGAAGCAGTGCAGAAAGGACTGGATAAGTTGGGTGCTAGTATGCCGAGCTTTGGGAACATGGGTGCAGATTTTGGCGTCCCCGAACCCGAGCCACAAGAAACCGAAGAAGAGAAAGTCGACCGCGAATTGGCCGAGCAAAGCACCCAATTGACAGACTTGCAAGCCCAAATACGCGGTGCTCTTGCGAGGTTACGTCTTGGAGATACCATGTCAGATCTCTGGGAGGGTGAACGCGCACTAATCAACCTGCAAGCACGTATTCGGGGCGACTTTACGAGACAAATTATGGGATATAGGCTCCAGATGCGTCGCTCTTCGATCATGGTACAAAGTGCTGCACGAGGATTCCTCATCCGACGACACATGAAGAATGATGAACGCCGCTGGAGGGCCATCGAACCCGATGTTATGGCTCTCCAAAGCATAATGCGGGCTAACAAGGCCCGGAATGAGGTACGAGATCTGACCTCTGTTATGTCGCAATCCGAAGGAGCTGTTCGAGAGATTCAAGCGATGTCCAGAGGCTTCTTAATTCGCAAAGACCTTATTGTGCAGAAGCGCGAGACCAAACAAGCCTCTGGAGATGTCCTCAACCTCCAGGCGCTTGCACGCGGAGCACTCCTCAGAGACCAAATGGACGCCCAACGAGATCTCTTGGCAGGCTTTAACGGAGCAACAACGCGACTACAGGCGGCCGCTAGGGCTGTGCTGACCAGGAATCAGATTTCTCGCGAGCGGAAAGCAATGGACGCCTTTATATATCCCCTGACCCTGCTTCAAAGCTTGGTCAGCGGAAAAGCAGCGAGAGCCAATCACCTTAGCACAAAGATGGAAGTCAAGCGCCACTCACTCGACATTGGTATGTTTCAAGCCGCCATCCGCGCAGCAGCCGTTCGATGTGAGATTGCAAGTCAGCTGGATAGTCTCCACCTCAACGAGCCGGGTACCGTCGAACTACAATCCCGTATTCGAGGCATGTTTGAGAGACGAAGTGTCTTTGCTCTTCAAAATAAGCTAGACAGCGAAACCTCGAGAGTTACGAGTTTACAGGGTCGCATTCGTGCATTCAACTACCGTCGGCAGCATCGAGCACTTATGCAGGAGCTGGTCTCTCACGATGCAAAGACGGCTGCTTTCCAGGCAATGCTCAAAGCAATGATGGAGCGCGCTCGTGTTGACGACCTTTTAACGGAACTGTTCGAAGAGGAGGAAACCATTGTTGAGCTCCAATCCGCCGCCAGAGCATTTCTCGTCCGCGCGCGCTTCGAAGAAAAGAAGCGTTTCTTTGATGAAAACATGCAAAAGGTCATCAAGATCCAGAGTTTTGTCCGTGCCAAGGTGCAGGGCGAAGCGTACAAGAGCCTGACCACCGGAAAGAATCCCCCTGTCAACGCCGTCAAGAACTTTGTCCATTTGCTTAATGACAGTGACTTTGATTTCAACGAAGAGGTGGAATTTGAACGCATGCGCAAGACTGTGGTGCAGCAGGTCCGACAAAACGAAATGTTGGAGCAGTACATCGACCAGCTCGATATCAAGATTGCCCTCTTGGTGAAGAATAAGATCACACTGGACGAGGTTGTTTCACACCAGCACAACTATGGTGGTGGACCATCCATGGGAATGCTGGCTAACTCTTCCATTTCTTCAACCAACCAATTCGACCTCAAAGCCCTAAACAAGGGCTCCCGCAAGAAGCTTGAATCGTATCAGCAGCTGTTCTTTTGCCTTCAAACTCAACCCCAATACCTCGCTCGCCTCTTCAAGCGTCTGCGCGAGCAAGGCACGCCTGATGGCGAAAGCAAGCGGATCGAACTTTTAGTCATGGCTATGTTTGGTTATGCACAGAAGCGTCGTGAAGAATATTATCTGCTCAAACTTATTGCTCGGTCTATCCGCGAGGAGATTGAAGGCAGCCGCAACCTTCAGGAATACCAACGGGGCACATTTTTCTGGTCGAAGCTTTTGGCCAACTACACACGATCCCCACGAGACCGCAAATTTTTGCGAGGTGTCCTCGGCCCGCTGGTGCGCGACAACATTGTCGAGGATCCTGCCTTGGACTTGGAAAGCGATCCTATGCAGATTTATCGGGCTGCCATCAATAATGAAGAGTTGCGCACAGGCCGCCCAGATGGCAGGCCGCTGGACGTCCCGCGTGAGGTTGCGATTCGCGACCCTGAGACGCGTCGACTCTTCATCGACCACCTGCGCGACCTGCGAGAAATCTGCGATCAATTCTTCCTTGCGATGCAGGACCACGTCTTCAAGACGCCATATGGCCTTCGATTTCTCTGCCGGCAGATGTTTGACTCGCTGCGCCAGCATTTTAACCGTGACTCGCCTGACATTCTTCTCCAACTTGTGACGAATTGGTACTGGAAGTTTTATCTCCAGCCGGCTATCGTTTCTCCTGAAAATGTGGGTGTTATTGAGAAGACGCTGAGCCCCCTGCAGAAGCGTAACCTCGGTGAAGTAGCAAAGGTCATTGGCCAAATTGCTTCAGGCCGACCATTTGGTGGCGAGAACGTCTACTTACAGCCCTTGAATGCCTTTGTGGCCGAATCTGTCGAGCGCCTGCGTCGCATCGTGAGCGAACTCATCAACGTACCCGACGCCGAGAGCACCTTCGATATTGACGAATTCAACGACCTCTACGCCAAGAACAAACCAACTCTGTACATCAAAATGGCTGATGTATTTGCCATTCACAACCTCATTGTGTCCCAACTTCCCTTTATATGCCCTACAAGAGACGATGTGCTACGCGAGATCATCCAGGATCTAGGTAGCGCCAAGACGAATGAGAGCGAGATGAGCGCTGCCGGATCGTCGGACATCCAGATGTTCTTGACACCCAAACTCCACGACGTGGAAGACCCAGATGCCGAAGTCAAGGCACTGTTTATGGAGACGAAGCGCTGTGTGCTATATATTATTCGTGTGCAGACTGGTGCTAATCTTCTGGAGATTCTCGTGAAGCCCATTACGGACGAGGATGATGCCAAGTGGGCGGCGCTCCTTCAAGAGGACTTTGCCCCGAGTGGCAGCCATGGTGCATACTCGGACTCGAACATGGTTGATGTGACGCGTATGTCATACTACGAATTGAAGCGGACAGCCCTTGAAAACGTGATGCGCCTGGAGCAGATGGGTAGAATCTCCAAGCACAACAACTACCAAGATATTCTCAATGCCATTGCCAGCGACATCCGTTCGAAGAGCAAACGGCGAGGTCAAAGGCAACGTGAGCTTGAGGGTGTCAACTTGACACTGGGCAACCTTCATGAAAAAGCCAATTACCTGGAACAGCAAAGAAAGAGCTACGATGACTACATTGAACAGGCCATGATGACGCTACAAAACAAAAAAGGGTAAGTAGAAAAATTGACTGGGCACCAAAACCTCGGACTAACTCTAGGATAGCAAAAAACGGTTCCTGATGCCATTTACCAAGCAATACAACCACCAGCGGGAGCTGGAGCGCAGCGGTAAGGTGCCCAAGTTTGGCAGCTTCATGTACAGCGCGCGCTCGCTCTCGGACAAGGGCGTGCTCGTCTTGTGGAAGGGCATGTCGGACTGGGAAAAGATCAATGTGACGATCTCGTGCGATCAGGTCGGCGTGTTTGTGATTGAGGGCACGCGCGGTCACGTCCAGATGCCTGGCGCCAGCGCCGTGGTCAACATTGAAGATTTACTGCAGGCGCAGTTTGAGGCCCATCAGTTTGTGCACCTCTTTGAGGGCAACCTCAAGCTCAACGTCAACTTTTTGCTGCACCTGGTGTACAAGAAGTTTTACCGCACTCAGTAACCGTGGCTGGCCTAGTCGAGTTTTCTTTCTTTGACGACACTTGTCGCTTCAACTACATGTAATTTTGGCCCTATTGTGGTACATTGTATAATGGCATGGCTGATGGCGCGAGACATGAGGCTTTCTTGCGGCATTGTTGACATTGCGGAGTCTACGTGAGATATTCTTTGTGTTTGGGCGTTCACGCCCTTGGTTTGTGTTTGACACGATTTTATTGTTTTTCAACTTGGTTTTCTTTTCTTGCTGATTGTTTTTGTTGGTTTGTTCGCATGGTGTTATCGAGTTGTGTGTGTGTGCGTGTGTTAAGCAGACACGCAAGATATGCAGGTTTCTACATCTGTTTCAAGAGACGGCGTATATTTGGGCGAAAGCTGGCAAAGGGGAATTGGGACGACTACGGAAACGTACAGGGGAAGGGAAGGGTGGTCTGAGCATTTTGTGAATAGGAAATGGATAGAAATTACAAACAATTGTACGACCTTTTTCGCATTGGGGAGAATTCTAGACTTGGATCCCCCTTGTGCCCTAGCTGAAAGTCGTGCGCATGGCTTGAGTGCATAAATAACGAGGCGAAGTAGCGGACCGATGAAAATTGGATTACGGTGACACTTGCATAATTACTGATGCTGTGACACGATAGAGTTAAAGTTTGCTGTTGATCGTTGGTGACTAGACGGTTCGAGAGCGGTTGCACCATAACACGTGAACCGGCTCGCTTTGTCTGATGTCAGAGCGTCACTGTTGGACACAGACGGAATTATTTTTCGGGCGCGTTGGGCGATTTGGGCGGACGGGAGTTTGGATTTCGGGGCCGGACCGGGACGGAAGAAGGCTGCATAATAAGTTTGCAATGCCCCGGCATGCAAAGCAGGGGCACACAATGCTGGCTTGCTTCTTGCTTGCGCTTGCAATTATCCCCTTGACCCCGGCTCTGCACGGAGGGCCACGCGCTCGGAGACCGGAGGCCCCGAGCCAAGATGCGTTTCGAAGGTCAAGCAAGGGTACGTGTGGGTGTCGGCGGACCTGGGGCTAGCGGATCTCGGGTGGTTGAATAATAGTGGCATCCAGAAGGGCCTAACTACCTTAGTAGTTACTGGCTTATACCAAGTAGAGTTGAGATTGCGCAATTCTGGTCTCCAAACACGAAATAGGCAATCCTCGCGGATGCGCCTAGTCGCCTGATTTTCAGTGGTCTAAGCCCGATTCGCCCCGCTCATTGACTAGAAGGAAAGAGGCAGACGCAGAGGTCAAGCTGAAGCCACATGACAGCAAGACATGACAGTTTGGGGTGTGGGATGCTGGTAGAAGCCGTGGTGTGAATGAGCCGAAGACACGAAACAGCAGTCTCATTCTGGTGTTCAGGAGTCTCGGACGGCTCGGAGGCATGTCTGGTTGTCGGTAAAAGAAAAAGATTGGCAAGAGCCGACCGAAGTCGCGTGCTCAGAGCAAAGGATAACGAAAGAGTTGTCAAAATGTCTATACAGTGCAGCTGTACTGTATACGCTAGTTTGGTGTCGCGAGTTGTAGCCGGCGTGGGCAGAAAGCCAGGCTAATAATAATGATACGTTAAAGGCGAATGTTGAGAGGAGGCGTAGTATTATGTGGACTTTGTTTGGTTCGACGAGTGCTTGGGCGGGCGTCGTATTTTGGCTGCTGCTGACCTGGGTGGTGGTCACACCGCCGTTCTAGGAGCATCGGAGCCGGGGGCGAAGAGGTGAGACAAGGAGTAATAAGAGGTAAGAGGCAGCATGGCGCGTGACCAAGTTCCGGGGGCGCTGAATGCGCTGAATGCTAATATTGAATATTGGTGTAGGCAAGCTGGTCCGATATCCGGCGCCGGATGGTGGAGGAGAAAGACTCGGCTGTTTGCAATGTCACGAGTGCAAACAGAGTTGGGCAGGTGCGACCAACCGCCGCTGCCCCGTTCAGCCGTGACAACTTCAGGCCGCCACTCAGATGCATCACTCCCTCGACCTATTCAGAGTTCTCAACCATGGTCATCAGTCCTACTCGGTATTTTCAATCGATATTTCGAACACGAACACGCCACCAAGCATCATATCAGAACCGGCCTAGCGTGGGGCCAACACGGCTGGCTCTCTCATCGAAAGACCTGGGACGCCATTCCAGTCCGGGCAGTGGCTTATTGGCTTGCTGAAGGCGTCTCATCCCAGATATGCGCCAAGGCGAGGTTTCCCTGCACCATCTGACTGTTGAACCTGTTGAACCCTACCTGGTCGTCTCGTTCCCCATTACACAGTCATTACACAGTGCCTCTTGCTTGTCGCATCCCCGGCACAGTGCACGGCCGACAGTAATTTGTATGTGGCCAAGTAATACTGTAAGTCAGTCCGCAGCCTTCTCTCAATTACAAACCCACATGCGCTAATCCAAAATATACAATTGCTTCAACGGCTTTTCCTTCGCTATTTGCATAACAACACGCGCACCCCCCCTCCCTCGCACCCCCCTTGGCGTCGCCCCCCCCGGGTCCGGAGTCCGATCGCCGTCCTGACCCCAAGGATAAATATCGCCCACCTGCCCCAACCTCGTCTCCTCCTCCAATTCTTCACCATTGACTTTATCAATCAGTAAATTCAGCCACTATTTTGTTGCTCTTTCCTTACACCATTCAGCCATCGCCTGTCACCCGTCCCACTATTCTCCTTCCACCATCTCCAAGGCTGTTCTTACTTGATCAAGAGACCATTGGGTTATCTCGTTGTTGTACTGTCCATTGTGAAGAGAGAGAGAAAGGGGCCCTCGTGAGAAACTGGCTTTGTGTGTATTACCGGGGGAAAGTAGCGCTTCTACCTACCCTTATTACAATCACCTATTTCTCTACTGTGCAGCATTGTCTGCCGACAAAAAGTCGTGCTCTAGCTCTAGCGCCTCTTGGTCTTTGTTCTATCAAACACACACTCCTTTCGAAGCATAAGTGCCGCCTTGCTTCTCTAGTTCTCACACCTTTACAACTTTCAGACTTCTGTTGGAAATCTCCACAATGGCTCCCGATCTCAACTCTATCGTCGACAGTGGCGTACCCAATGGCAGCAAGGGCGAGCCCAACATCCTCTACATCATGGCCGACCAGCTTGCCGCACCGCAGCTGAAGATGTACAACCCGGACTCTCAGATCAAGACGCCTAACCTCGACCGCTTGGCTGAGCGCTCGGTCCAGTTCGACTCGGCCTACTGCCCGTCTCCTCTCTGCGCCCCTTCGCGCATGAGCATGATCACCGGCCTTCTTCCCATGAAAATTGGCGCCTTCGACAATGCCTCTCAAATTAATTCCGAGATTCCTACCTATGCCCACTACCTACGAACCAAGGGCTACCACACCGCTCTAGCCGGCAAGATGCACTTTGTTGGCGACCAGCTCCACGGCTACGAGACTCGCCTCACCAGCGATATTTATCCCGGCGACTTTGGCTGGGCTGTCAATTGGGATGAACCTGAAACGCGCCTAGAATGGTACCACAATGCCAGCTCCATCCTCCAGGCTGGACCTTGCGGTCGCAGCAATCAGCTTGACTACGATGAGGAGGTCATGTACCGCAGCACACAGTATCTGTGGGATCACGTTCGCGAGGGACCCAACAAACGCCCCTTTGCTCTCACGGTAAGTGATCCTTAACCACACTCACTTTACAATCACCACTGGTTTGTCTTTGAAACATTGGGTTAACAAGGCTCAGGTCTCTCTTACACACCCTCATGACCCTTACACCATCACAAAAAAGTACTGGAATCTGTATGACGATGTCGACATCGCTCTTCCCAAGGTTCGCATGGCTAAGGAGGACCTCGACACGCACAGCCAGCGTCTATTGAGAGTATGCGACTTGTGGGAACAGGATTTCACTGACGACCAGATCAAGCGTGCCAAGCGTGCTTATTACGGCTCCGTCAGCTACGTCGATGACTGCATCGGCAGGCTCCTACAGACCCTGGAAGATGCTGGTCTGACTGAAGACACCATTATCATTTTCAGCGGCGACCATGGTGACATGCTTGGCGAGCGTGGCCTCTGGTACAAGATGAGCTACTTCGAGTCGTCTGTCCGAGTTCCTCTACTGGTCAATTACCCCAAGTGGTTCCAACCTCACCGCGTTACCCAGAATGTGTCAACTCTGGACCTGCTACCGACCATCTGCGACCTCATCGGCGTCAAGCCGGCACCCTATCTGCCTATGGACGGTGTCAGCATGATGCCCCACCTTGAAGGCAAGACAGGCAATGACACCGTGTATGCCGAGTATACCGGCGAGGGTACTGTCCGACCCATGATGATGATCCGTCGGGGTCCCTGGAAATACATCACTTGTCCCGCCGACAAACCCCAGCTTTACAACCTCGACAAGGACCCCCATGAGCTTGACAACCTGGCGCGCTTTGTTGAGATTGAGCCCCAGACGGAGGAGGAGAAGCAAGCCAAGGCAGTCTTTGAAAAGTACGAGGCTGAGGCCAAGGCCCGCTGGGACTTTGACTCCATTACCGAAAAGGTCCTTCTATCCCAGCGTAGCCGTCGCCTTGTCTGGGATGCGCTCAAGATTGGCGCCTTCACTAGCTGGGACCACGACCCCGTCGATGACGGTCGCCAAAAGTATATTCGGTCCACCATTCCGCTCGACGACCTCGAGAGAAAGGCGCGATTTCCGTATGTCGACACTCACGGATATGAGATCAACAAGGGCGGCGTAATCAGCTCGACCCGTAGCTAAGCAATGGGCAAAACATGCAGATACGGCCTCGTGCTGTGTCTGGCAGCATTAATGGATCATTTGAGGGGGAAATTTGCATCACATTTTCCTTATATAGCGGGCTTTTATAAGATACCAAGATGAAGAGCTTCTAGGAGCCCATGAATCAATCGATATGCATTATCAATTTTATGAAAACGAGTGATTAAGGGTCTAAATCGTACAGGGATTAGATTACTTCCTGCAAAGACACATACAACTCTTGGGAAGTGAAGCGGAACCGTTGCTCTCAGATATACAAACTTGGACAACATTCTTCAACACCGATGGCCGCCATGGCAGCCTTCCCTTGACACTCAGCTGGAGTGCCTGCCCGCGCCCCTAGCGCACCCCCATCAACACCATCGCTCCCCTAATTCAAAATACAAAATCAACACGCCGTCGGCTTTACTGATGCTGCTGGCCCTGCCAGGCTTGTGGCGGTGGAGGTTGTTGACCGCCCTGCTGCGGCGGCGGCGAGTAGTAGCCCTGCGGTGGAGGACCGTACTGTGCCTGCGGCGGCCCCTGCTGATTGTATCCCTGTTGTTGAGTATTATTGTTGCCTTGGGGTTTCTGGCCGTGCTGCTGCTGTGATTGCGGACCGCCGCCGCCGCCGCCGTCGTTGGCCATGGCCATGACATCGGGGCGTTTGTCGAGTGGTTGGTGAAAGTTGCATATGCCGCAGACAACGTCCTGGTATCCCGAAATAGTGAATGGGATCACGGGCTGTTCGATTTTTGTTAGCATCAATGTTTGTTCTAGCAGGAGGGGCGGGGGGGCACTGACGATGTAGCAAATGGTAAAGAACGGACGCTCCTTTTGCACGCGGGCACCCATATTGCCGCAGTGGTGGCACTGGGTGACGATGCCCTCGTAGCCCTTGACTTCGGAGCGAAAGGTCTGCTGGCCGCAGACGAGGAAGAAGGCCATCTTGTTTTTGCCTGTTGTATTGCAGCGGGGTGGGGAGTGGCGTTTCTTTCGGTGTCGTACTCTTGTTCTTGCGACAAAAGCGCAGAGAGAAACTCGAAACGGCGGCAAAGGGGGTTGACAAAGTTGGTGAAAGTGTCTCGGCTCAGTAGGGGATCAGTCAGGCAGGGTCAAGCCAAAGCAGCGGGGTGTGTTGTTCAAGTGGCGGCGAGCTCAAGACGCAGTCAGGTGTTTTTTTTCGTCTCGAGAGTGGGACGCGTGTCTAGCGGAAAGACTGGCGTCAAGAGGATGGTTGAAGAAATTGAGAGGCGATTCCACGAAACTAGGTATCGACGAAAGTAGGTATGTAGTTGAAGATGGGAAGTTGTAAACAGCAAATGGTTATCGATTCCCAAGCGCCACTGGTGACGCAAGCATAGAAGCTTATAAAACTCTTAACTAGCGGTAATATCAGTTGTGTTTTCCATGTGCTTTTGAGACGAGCCCCACTTCGCCCCTATGTGGCGTATGGCGTACTCTGTCATTGCTGTGGCGCAGCTCCATGAGCCACTGAAAATAATTCCCAACATCAAACTTGGTCCTTTTTTTTAGTAACTATCGTATTTGATTTCCAACGTTGGCCTTTTCTTTGCAGGTCAACTACTTGATACCGAGACGTTTCCCCCTCAATTTCACAATACACACACCCCCGAGCGAAAACAATACCCCTCCCCACTGCTTCAGCACCGATACCGCGCAACAGCCTCGGCGCTCACGCGCGCGCCGCCCGCCACCAACAACAATGCTCTACGACCTCAACATTGCCTGGTCGCCGTCGACACCGCCCGACAAGCTCCTGCAGACGCTCGCGGCCGCGCGCAGTCTCGGCTACGCCAGCGTCGCCATCAACCACCAGCTCGACCAGCCCGTGCACACGGCGCCGTCATCCTGCCCCATCCCTCCTCTCGCGCCCACCACCACCACCACCACCACCACCACCAGCCTCGCGCTGCCCAACATCCTCCACCGCGCCACGTTCCCCCTCGCAGACCCCTCGGCGCCCAGCTACCGGCTGCCTGCCCTCGCCGCCGTGTACGACCTCGTCGCCGTGCGGCCCACCACGCCCGAGGCCTTCCAGAACGCGTGCCTGACGCTCGACGTCGCCCTCATCTCGCTCGACCTCGCGCAGCCGGCGACGCGCTTCCACTTCCGCCCCAAGCCGTGCATGGCCGCCGTCGCGCGCGGCGTGCGCTTCGAGGTGTGCTACGCGCAGCTGCTCAACGCCGCCGACGCCCGCGCCCGCGCCGCCTTTATCGGCAACGTCACAGGCCTGTTTCGCGCCACGCGCGGCCGGGGAATCGTGCTGAGTAGTGAGGCGAGGAGCGCGCTGGGGCTGCGCGGGCCCGCCGACGTGGTCAACCTGCTCGGGGTTTGGGGCTTGCCGCATGAGAGGGGCCTCGAGGGCCTGCGAGCGCTGCCCCGCGGCGTCGTCGTCAACGAGGGCATCAAGCGTACGGGGTTTCGCGGCATCGTCGATATCGTGCAGACGGCCGAGGATCCGGGCAAGGGCGTTGCGCAGCAGGGCGTGCCCGAGGACACGCCCGGGGGTGGCAAGAACCAGAAGCGCAAGCCGGGGCAGCTGGGAGACGGAGCGCAGATAAGCAAGCGGCAGGCCAAGAAGATGCGGCTCGCCAACCGAGCGGCCGCTGCCGGCGCGGACAAGTCTGGATGAGAGAACCGTGGGAAGTGATGTGTGCATATGATACCCAAGAACCACCATGTATGATAGTTGCGACATGACGAGCTCTTTGCATTTTGTTTTTACTATGGAGAAAAAAAGGGAACATGGGAAAAAAAGTCTACACCTAAACACGAGTACAAACAAGAAGACAAAACATACACATCCTTCAACGTGCAAATTCGATACTATGAAACCGATTCAATCTAGGTCTGGACAGCCGTGGTGGCCGCAACCACCAAGTTGCCCAGGTCCAGCTGGCTGCTCAGCTTGACGCCTGACAGATCAATCGGCAGCGGCGGGGGGACAGTGACTGCTGGCTGCGCTGGGGTGGTGCTCGTGGAATCGATCACACTGGGCGGTCCCTGCACGGCCGACTCGCGCGGCGCCGAGGTGTCCGGAGTCTCGGCCGCCGGAGGGGCGCTGGTCGACGACGACTCGGCAGGCGCTGGCGCGGGGCTGGAGTTTTCTGTGGGCGGGACCACGGTGGACGAGCTGCTGGTTGTGGACGACGCGGGCGGGTTGATCTCGGCGGCGGGCGGCGGAGGCGAAGGAAGAGACGTGGACTGTCGTGGCTGAGGCGTCGGTGTTGGGGCGCCGGGGTTGAAGATGGAGATGACGGAGACGCCGACTCCGTTGCCGTCCTTATTTGGCGTGGCTTCGATCACGGTGGGATGGCTCGCATCAGGGGCTTGGGCATCACCACCAGGGGGGACAGTGACAGTCACGGTGACGGTAGATTGATCCTAATACGAATTGTCAAAACAATCAAGCAGCGCCTCGTTTCGCAGCAATGGGATACTTACCGAATTGCCATTCGGGGGCGAGTTGCCCCCAATGAACGTGATGCTTGCAGTGGCGACCTGCTGGGTAATCGTCTGTGTGATGGTAGACGCCCGTTCTGTAATGGTAACAGTAGGGGCTGGGCCATCTGCAAACGTCGTAACGGTGATGAAGGATAATTGGATGCTTCAGGCGGTTAGAAACAAGAAACTTTGCCCAAGGAGATGCGACGTACATAGGAAGTGGTGTTTGGGGAGGAGGCAACACAGGAATGGGCGTCATAGGAGGCGGGTTGGCGGGAGGAGATGCGTTCGGCGGGCATCCGCAGGAAGAGGTGGGGTTTGGCGGCGGACTTGCCTCCGGTGCTCCGGACGGCGGAGTTCCGGATGTAGGCACAATTTGGCTAGTAATCGTGGTATTGGATCCCGGGCCAAGGGTCAGTCCCGGATCTTGTGATGGTGGTGGCGATGAGGGCACGTCGGAGCCTGGCGGTTGGGGCGCGCCTGCTGGTGGAGGTTGAGTTGGCCACGGTTGTCCGGGCGTGATGCTGAGAGTGATTGTCGTCTCTGAGCCCGGTGCTGGAGTCAGGGTAAGCCCAGCCCCGTCGTTTCCTCCACCGTTCCCTCCATTGCCATTGCCATTGCCTCCGTTGTCGTTCCCTCCATTCCCACCGTTTTGGAGGCCCCGAATTAGTTGATTCAGTAGGTCTGAATCGGATTGCCTTCCGGTCGCCTTTCTCGCAGAAACTGGCCCAGCAGTGACGAGCTAAACATAATCAGTGAGGTAGTCATTCAGACGGGCTTTTCAATCTTACTCCAGCGGCCGAGGCCAAGAGCGCGTACACAGCAAGCGGCCGCATTCTCAACAGCCCGGAGGCCTGTCCTAGAGAGATGTCGGCGCCCGCCAAAAAAAAGATTAATTCGGAATTAATTGAGGTATTGGTAATGACTGCGGAAACGGGCCTGCCGTTGATGAGTTGAGGGCGAGAAAACGGCTTTGGTTGAGATGCAAGCGAATGAGCATCGAGTGACGCCGAACAAGCAAGTCTCAGGAAGGGATGGCCTTGACGGGGATAGCGCTTGACTTTGTTCCAGGGTCAATGGATCTTTGCACTCGAGTCGTGAAATTAGCATGAGGGGCTGTTCAAACAGAAATGACCCGTCCACCCTTTTTCTTTAGGATGCGAACCGGAGAAGAAGATGGCCGTACGAACCGTGGAAAAAACGAGAGACGTGGTTAGGGGGGCTTCACAGAAAATGTGCGTGGGCTATCTACAGAAAGATCATGTTAGATGGGACGACAATAAACGTCACTATTTACCATGTACACAGTGCAACGCGGCAGGTCAACAAAGGGGACAGGGAGGAAACAAAAGACTGGTTGAGAGACGGTGTCACGAGAAATGGGCAGCGTGGCCGCGTTTCAACGGGCGGGTGATTGTTTCGCTGCACGCAGCCTGCGACGACGTGGCCACTCCGTGTAGGAAGTACGATAAATGGTTAAATAAAGTTGCATATCTTGTGGGATTATGTAGAAATGTTCTGCGGCGCAGGAGGCGAAACCGAGGGTCAAACCTGGGCTGGTGGGCGGCGCTACTAGCGATGAGACGGGTCGTGTTACAGCTCTGCAAAGCAGGCATTTGAGTGGCCTGGGAAGAATTCTGGAGAATTGGTTAGTAGAGAAGGCATGGAGAGAGGGTACGACCTTGATCAAGTCTATCGCTGGTCATGTTGACGATGGCGACGAGGCTGCAGTTATCCCACCCGTATCTGAGTGTGCGTTCGAACCTTTTGCTCAATGCCCATTCGTGAAATCCTCGGGACGATGGACGATGCATGAACCATGGACCCATGGGGTTCTCAGACGTGGTACGATTTGAGTAGTTAGTAACTAGTCCTGGAGTTCGGAAATAGGCTATATTAATAGCATAATAAGGGTGATATTGAGGCGAAACCGGTCTGCGGCATGGATGGTGTGATGGAGGTTAGTGTGCGTACAGTGCACAGACTGTATTTCAACTGTATGCGCACTTTAGGAAGTTCAGCGTTACAGCTTGTTACAAGGGCCAAGACGGAATTTACAGAGAAGAGGTGACGCTAGAATTCGCCTAAATTTGACCACCAGTTCACTGACCGCAAGCCAATGCACAAATATATTATAGGTCAACCCGTTCAGCGGTAAGCTTTCTGCAAGGTGATGTGTGCATGCGTCTTATGCCGAGAGCAGTACCCGTCGGCTTGGCTTTTGCCCCATCATCCCTTGGCTATTCCTCATATCACCAAGGATACGTTATTCGCAATCTGGCCGCGTTGCAATTGACAGGTGTCAGTATTGAGTCTGAAACTATGTAGCTATCGGGCTGTTGCAGTAAGAATTCCCGCAGGCTTTGATCCCATACTGCCGCCGCACCGAACTTTGCAACTTCGAAAAAGGTACAGACAGATGACTACCTAATAAGGTATGGAGTGCATGACATGAATGCCTCCCCAATGACCATCCCACTTCTTTTACTAATTATTATAATAACTAATGAACAGACTGGCTGCCTCCCAGACGACGTAACTAGTTCGCCGTGTCAAGTCACCGACGTTGCGAGCACAGAGCGCGCCACATCCTGCTGCGGCTACTTGGTTGGTTGCGCCAGACGACTTCGCGGCGGCGCCAAAAAAATTAAAAAAAAATTAAAAAGACGACCAAGACACACGGCTGCCTACGGGCCCGTAAGGCGCCGGCTTTCGTGCTACAAGGTCATTGAACGGCAGCGGGTATAGCGGCACGTTGAGCCGCATCGTCGAGCGTCGAGCTGGAGGCGTGGCGGATGCATATGGAATGCTTTCACGTCATCCAAGTAGAGTTTCAGTTTCTATTTCATACAAGTACTGCTAACTGGTGATGGGATACTTCCAAGGCAGAGAGGAGCGCGTGTTGGCGAATTCTTTTGTCTACTCCGGCATAGGCAAACAAGTTTGATCAATGTGTACGTTTCAGGACTTGCCGAAAAAAAAAATACTCGAAAAAAAAAATCAGAAAAAAAATCCGACGTTGAGATTCGAGCCGTCGGGGGCGGCTCTCATGTTTCCTCGTGGCGCCCAACGTACATCTTGCTCTCGCTCTCGTCGACAGTTCTCTCCAACAGCCAACTACAGACCGATTGTCTGCAAAGACGGGTTGGGAGGACAGTTTTGACGGAGACGAGCCGGTTCTCTGTTTCCGTAAAATTAGCCAAGATGTATCCGGCCGCCCTAACGTTTCTCTTCCAGCACCGGGTTGTAAGTCTTCTTTTGCGCCGGCCCCGGCGTTGAAGACGCGGGCTGTGTTTGGAATGTGAAACAAAACATGGAGGAAATAGTTTTGCAAATCTGCCGGCTGAGCCGACAAGTTCTCCTACGGTGATATAATATAGCCGAATTTCCCAGTCACGGCCTCGTCGTCGATGCAACGGCTACATGTTGCAGGTGCTTCGGGTTGCCATCGATGTCATCGGCCCTTGTCCCAGCCCACACTCCTCACCGGATACGGATAAGGGATCGATTCCAGTCAAATGGGCTTGTTCGAGGACAACCCCAGATATGCCGCCAGCTTGCTCCCTATTTCTATCTATATAAGATTTATTTGAAAAATGCAGTGTTGAAAAATAAAAATTGACCCGTCGAGCCGACGTTGTTGAACATCTTCAGATCGCGGCGTCGCTGCCAAGGGTCATACAGATCGGGGGTGGCGCCACGCTTGGCAAGTACCTCACGCAGCCAAGCGGCTGCAAAAAGGTACTTTGGTCGGTCGCTCTAGGTTCATGGAACAGGTCCATGACCTCACCAGGCGCCGCTGGATGAGGAATCATTGCCCCGAGCACAGTCATGCAATTTTTGTCCATTTTGCACGTGAGGAAGAATGTACATATATAGGGTGACGAAAAGAAGCTTATTCTACTGCTAGCCATTCAAGCAACAGGCGCACCGCAAGAATGGCACCGACGCATGTACTCGATGACTACTACCTAGGCATCACGGCCCTCGTCACGGTCGCTTTCCAGCTCGTGTGCTTCTTCGTCGCCTATGCTTTTCAATTCGACAAAATCACGGGTCCGTTGCAATCTTACCGTACCCTCTCCCCCCCCTCCAACTAACAAACAAGGTACAGACCTCGCAGGCGGCCTCAACTTTACCATTCTCGCCGTCCTCACACTGGCCCTCGGCGGCGGCAGCGCGCACGGCGCGCACCCCCGCCAGCTCGTCGTCTCGCTCTTCATGATGGCCTGGTCGCTCCGGCTCGCCGGCTTCCTCTTCTTCCGCATCCTGAAAACCGGCAAGGACGAGCGCTTCAACGAGATGCGCGGCAAGTTCCTATCGTTTCTCGGCTTCTGGGTCTTTCAGATGGTCTGGGTCTGGACCGTGTCGCTGCCCGTCACGCTGCTCAACGCGCCCGCGGTCGCGCGCTACCCGCAGCGCGCCTTTGGAACTGCGAGGGACGTTGCCGGCGTGGTGCTCTTCGCCGTCGGGCTCGTCATGGAGGCGGCCAGTGACGTGCAAAAGTACCTCTTCCGAGCGCGGCAGACACGGGACAGCAACCGGACCGCGGTGTGCGACTCGGGGTTCTTTGCCGTGTCGCGGCATCCGAACTACTTTGGGGACATTATTATCCAATGGTGTACGTCGCGCTCCCCCCCCCCCACCCCCGCGGGTGCATCCAGACTAACGCAGCAAACAAAGCCCTCTTCATGATCGCCGTGTCCGCCGCCGCCGACGGGTACGTCCGCGGCCAAGCCTACAAGGCGCTGTACGCCAGTATCCTCGGGCCCGTCTTCCTCACCCTCCTCCTCCTGTTCGTCTCGGGCATGCCGCTCTCGGAGCGGCCCAAGGCCAAGGAGCGCTACGAAAAGGACAACAACTGGGCGGGCTATAAGCGCTGGCTCGACCGCACGAGCCCGCTGATCCCGTTCCCGCCGCAGCTGTATGTGCGCATGCCCGTCGTTTTGAAACGCACCGTGTTTCTGGAGCTTCCGCTGTACGCGTTTGACCCGGCCAAGCACTCGGACGTGGCGACGCCCGGCGGTGCGCGGGATTCCCGGGAGAGCAACGAGGGACGTGGGAGTGCCGACCAGCGGCTCGTGTAGTATGATCTGTATAAAAATGATGAATAATACGTTTGAACGTGGTACAAAAGTTTGCAACTTGGCGCCTCTCCATATTCCCGGTAATATCTTTTCCCCTTCAACGCCACACCAAACTGCAACTGCATACCCTGAAAGAAGGGGGGGGGAAATAGGCATGATTGAACTCGCATTCAGTCCAACACTTCTTGCGCTGGCCCCTGCCCGCTGCTGTCCGACGAGTTCTCCGAGTACGACTCGGAGCTCTCCGGGATGGGCACCATGGCGCTCTTGGTCCAGATGTGGACGGCCTTGGTCCAGTCGATGCCCGAGATGCAGCCTCCCCTCACGGACACGACATTCTTTGCCTGCGGTGCATGGCACGATTAGCTTAGGTCGTGTGGCCCGGTTCGTAGGTGACGTACGTCTGTGCTGTGAACGACTCTGGTGCCGCAATTTCGGCAAAAGTAGCTGGGGAGAAAGCAGCAGGTGAATAAACGCCCCGTGGTAAAAGTCAACTCGGGTATTCCGGGCTGGATGATGAACATACCAATGCAATGTGGCCCCCGTCGAGGTCAGTCGTCTACCCAAGTATGAGCACACACAAGCAACGGTTTTTTTTTTTTCGGACCGCCAGGAAGGGGGCACAAACGCACGTATAGCAGCTCAGCAGCTCCGAGGGCGGGAGCTCAAACTTTGGGAAAATGGCCGACATGGCAAACGCCGAGCTCGACAGCGACTTGCACGTGTCGCAGTGGCAAACGTACGTGGCCAGCGGCGCGGCCAGCGGCGTTTTGAAGCGAACGGCGCCGCAGTGGCAGCGAGCGTCCATGATGTTTTGCCGGAAGTGGCTCCGAGGGTAGTAGATGGATGGATGAATGAATGTGATGCTTGATGACGACCTGCCGTGTTGAATGGGTGTAGGTGTAGTTATTGGTGGAGGCTTGTCTTGAGACGCTAAGATGGAGGAGCGAGGCAGGGCTATGGCAGGGTTCTCGCTGAATGTTGCTGGTTGAAAAGTACGGCAATGGACTCTGCTAAGTCATGGATGACAAGTCTGCGTTCAACAACGTCAATGCAAGTAGCCTTGGTGATGAACCATGACAGTTGTCATTGTTGGGGAATTGGGGAAGACTCCCAGACTCCCAGACTCCAGTTCACCAGCCTCGCCTCCGATTTGCGGCTCTGCCGTGAATGAATCACAGTCCCGGTTTTCCCTCTAGCTCGAAGCTCGAGCGGCCGACCTCAAAGCAGCCCGCCCCCCTGCACATCACTCTTCCGTGTAATATGAACTGATCAAACGATGCTTTTTTATATCATGAATAGGCGCATGTCGCCCAGCGTGTACTATGTTGCCCATGGATTGTCTCATGAAGCCTAGTATCTAGACCCCCAACCATTGTGAATACGCTACTATACCGTGCAAGCCTCCATGGTCCAAAGAAGAAAATATGAGAGGGAAATAGAAGCCTTTTTTACGCCGAATGTTGAACCCTGCAAGCCCAAGAGCAGTTACCGCCGCATTGGTTTCACAGCCGGGTGCACGCCGCCCATATTCTCCACCGGGAAGTCGACGCCCTCCATCTTCTGCGGCGGAATATTGATGCCGTCCAGTCCACGCATAACCGCCGCCCCCTTGCGCTCATAGTCTATATTCCGCGGGACGTCGAAATCCGCACGCGCCGAGAACCACAGCAGCGTTTCAATCTCCGGTCCTCTCGGCGGTGCCGGCGGCTCATCCCCTCCTAGTCCTGCCCCTACCACCACCGCCTTGTCCTCCTCTTCTTCCTCCTCTTCCTCTTCCTCGTCGTCGTCCTCATCCTCGTCGTCGTCGTCGTCGTCGATATCCCGCCGCAGGCCCGTCCTCACCCCCTCGGTGCCCATCTCCCTCTCCGCCTTTGTATACGCACCCCCCGCCTCATCCCGCACATAGTCGGCGATGCGGCTCTGCGTCCACGCGCGCAGCTCGTCCCAGAGGGCCTGCAGTCCCGCCACACCGGCCGGCGTCGCCAGCCGCGCCGTCTCCCGCCCCCTGGTCACGAGCTCCTCCACGTCGGGCTCGAGCTTCTTCCGCAGCAGCTGCGTCAGCACGGCCTCATGCGCGCGGCCCGGATAGTTGGTCGACGGGCGCACGGCGACACGTGAAAAGAGGTCGGCGTTTTCGGCGAGGCAGTCGAGGACGGTTTGCAGGTTTCGCTGGAGGATCTGGGCCGAGGCGTGTAGCGAGTCCCTGTGGACTTCAAGTCAGAGAGGAATCGGGGCCGGGAAGGCCGTTGTAAATAACAAGAAAACTCACGGATGGGGAAGGGGGTTGCTCTTGATTATGTCCAGCTTTAAGCTCTGGATGCTGCTCGAGAGCTGCGCCAGGCGCGAGAGGATCTGCTCCACTGACTTAAGCTCATCATCGTCGAGACCCAGCGCCATGGCTGGTCTGGATTAGGACTTTTTGGTACGGAGGATCGTGAACGGATGGCCTGCCCTGTGTTCCCTCTGTTGTGTGCGGGCTGCTGTCGTGTCGCGCAAGACGCAGGCGTGGCAAGAGGTTGAAGGAGGAACGTGGGGCAGCACCCTGCGGCGCGCGTCAAGTATCAAGCATCCGAGACTGGCGGCTTTCACCAGCAAGAGGTAGTAGGAAAGTACATCTCAAGTCTAAAACAAATGAGTATTTATTTGTTCGCCAAGACATGATACGAAGGATAGTTCTTTGGCATTAAAGTCTAGCTACTATTTTCTGCCAGCGCCCAGTTCCCACTTGTCGCTCACGTAATAGTGGGAGCTGTTATTCTTCTTCTTCTTATTTTTTTTTGTGCTTAGTCATGTTGTCGCTCTTATCATTATTATTATTCTTGTTATTATTCTTGTTATTATTCTTGTTATTATTCTTCTTATTCTGTTTTGCCACTGAATAGTTGAAGAGAATTTGGTCCAGGTGTGAGCGCAATGTGAATCCCCCTTTGCACTTGAACCAAATGCATTGCTTGGTTTCTCGCAGCTCACCTTGTCTCTCGCTAATGAGAAAAAAGGCGTACAAAAAAGTACCGGGTCTGGCCCTTTCCATTTCCTGCGCCGTGTCTGGCATCCTCCAAGACGAGCTTCTCCCGCATCCCACCAACAAGGCCTTTCGGCGCACCACAAGGGCACAAGTACCAGCATTATTTGAAGTGCTTCATGTGTTTGTCGTCCAAATTTCTCCTCCGCAGTCTCTTGGGCATCGATCACGACGCCCTCAACCGCCCCTAACCCAATAAGCAAACCAGCATGATCCGTTGTGTAGTGGTTGATGCGGTTGTCGTCCAAATTTGTCCTCCGCAGTATCTTGGGCGCCATTGAAGACATCCTCAACCGCCCCTAACCCAGTAAGCCACAAAGGCAGCCCATCATGATCCGTTGTGCAGCGGCTTATGCTGGTTGTCGTTCAAAATTCACCAATCCTCCTCTTGGATACCGTCCCTGTTTCTCAAACTGCCACATCCCTAAAAAGTAAGCACCAAACGTCGGGGAGGGCTGGAATGAGTACCAGGCGGCTCATCTCTAACCAATAAAAGCGCATCTTTGCGAGGTACGCAAGTTGCCGTGCGTGCATTCGCACGTATATCTTGGCCAAGTGTGTCAGAGCAAAGGAGTTCCTTGACAGCAGTTCGTGTCACAGGCGATAAAGAAATTGAAAAATAGGAAGATAAAAGGTGGTAAATATAAAGAAAGTCTGCCAACCCGACAAGATAACTTGTTCAGAGGGCCCCCGGGTCTGAGCGGCGTCCAAACAAACGGTCTACCATTGCGCAAAACAAACGGAGAAGAAAAAAAGAAAAGAAAACAGAGAAATAAGCAGCAACTTACCTGAGTAGAAATGTATTCTTGCTCTGCCGTGACCATGTCTTCTTTCTTGTAGAATGGGTGTGCTTGTTGTGCGGGCAGCGACAATCACGGCGGCGGCTTCCAGCCCCGGGATTCGGCAAGGTCGCGCGGCATCCAGATGCCGTCCATCGAGATCCATTTCTGGCTCTCGACGCACTCTGGGCACGGCGAGGGGAGAATTCGGTTCGCTGGAAAAAAGGAGTCGGCCGTGACCTCGCCGCAACCACCGCAGCCGCGCTCGGGCGTCAGGACAAAGCTCTTGTCCTTGATGTCATTGCACATCCAGTAGATATATGTCCAGTCTTGCCGACACATGTTGCTCTTTCTTTCTCCAAGAATATGGCCCTTGTGGGGAGAAGCTTGCGAGCTTTGTGTATGTGTGTGTGTGTGTGTGTGTGTGTGCGTGTGCGTGTGTGTGTGTGTATGTGTGTGCTTGGTGCCGGGCAAGTATGGACGACTGGGTAGCAGAGTAGGACAAGTGGATGAGTTAATCAACACAAGAACAAGTTTGGATGACGGGCAGTTTCAGGGCCGCAAATCAAATGTTGCTCGCAACCTTTGTGGATGAATGGTTCAAAAAGGTTTCCACCTCGGAAGGGGGAAGGGGGGCGAGGGCTTTATGTAGGTCGTCATTTTTGGCAAGGTCTGCTGCTCTCGTTTCCTGCTCATGCAAAGCCATGTCACCGGTGGCACAGTGCTTCGAGATGAAGCAATCGTAGCCAACCAGCTTCTTCCTGTGTGTTTGCCGCCCCATGGTACTACGACCTGGCAAGTATCACAGGCGCATCATCACGAGCGAGGCGCCGTCGTTCTTTTTTCGTGCGTGAAAGAAAAAAAAGGTCATTTCGCTGTCACAACGTCGCACCTGAGCCCACGCTCCCTCTCATGCACTGCATCGCGATTCGGGATTCCCGCTTGCCCAGATGACGCTGGAGCCGCGCCGGTCCGGAGATCGGAGTGGCAGCCGTGGTGCCTCGTGATTCACAGCCCATGCGGCTTGATTCTTTTCTGGCAAAAGATGCCGCAAATCCGCAAATCATCCCAGCTAGAATACTGTTCGGAGCAGAGTCGCTCTCGCTAGAATGGAGCTTTCTTTTCGAATTGCGACCACAACAGTGGCAGGGCAAACTCGGGAGGACGAGGCGCGTAGCCCCCTTCACTCTACTTGCCGCCCAACGCAATGGCCGCTTCCCTTGCCCTCCAGACATGGTCCGTCTTGATCCAGCGCCCGTCTGCAACGCACCTCTCGCACGGCACCCGCTCCGTGGTGGCGTTCACCAAACGCTCCGCGCCGCTTGGCGTCCCGCAGAAGCCACAGCCGTCGTCGGCTATCAGCTGCAAGAATGAGGTCTTGGTGCATTTGCACAGCCAGTACGTGATGGTCCAGTCTTGCCGGCACATTCTTTCGGTGGGCAAATCTTGCCCTTTGTGCTAGTTAGTTCTTCGGGGTTCACTACCATGGGCGTCGGGTCCGGTGAGCACGCTTATCGCTTACCACTTAGATCCTTAAAAGGGTTTGAAGAAGGAATGCCGGATACTTATCTCTTATTAACAACTGGCACGCCTGGACCTCGAGAGCTCTTTAAATAGCGTGATATAGACCGGCTGCTATTCACAACACTTCTCCGTGACAAGGAATATCACAGCCTCACATTACTGGTGAGCCGTGATAGCCTTACGTGTATCATCAGGCCTCATTGTGCTTCTCACTTCTCTCAGTGATGATTAGCCACAGGTCTTAGTGAGTCAACTTCCGTTTCCTCTGGTCCGTGCTACGCAACAGCACTCTCCAGTACACCCACCCACGAAAACGCCGGTTGCTTTGCATAAGAATTTTATGATATTCGCTTCAACGCAATGGTATCTAACTTTTCAAACATGTTTTTCCACGTCTCATGCAGGCCCTATACCAGACGATTTGTGCGGTCCTCTCGCGCTACCACTGCCGCTCCCACTGCCGCTCCCACTGCCGCTCCCATTCCCCCGCCAACTGGCCTCACCCAGACCACCGTGGCTCACCTTCAAGCTCTCCTCCATGGCTAGTCTCATATCCTCGTCGTCGTCGTCGTCGTCATCATAGTTCGTGCTCACTCCCTTGCCCTTGCTTCGTTTCCGAAACTCCTCCTCCGCCAGGCTCTGCTTCTTGATGTACTCGAGCACAATGTCCTCCTCGTTGCGCTCCGTCTCCGCGCGCTGCAGCTCCTGCTTGGATGCCGCAATCGCGCGTTGCAGCTCAAGTTCCTCCTCATCCACCGCGTGTTGTTGCGACATGGAGGAAGCGTGGATGGGCGCCTCGCGCTGGTAGCCTGGTGCCTCAGCTCCGCCATACAAGTCATCCATCGGCGCAGGCTCCTCGGTGAGTGCTGGCCGCGAGGTGCCGGTAAAGGACGAAGATGACGGCCCAGGAAAGCCTAGCTCTCCGGCCGGGTAGCCATACTCCTCTACTAGGCTCTGCCGCATGGCACCCTGGATCAGGTCCTGGAATTCCTCGTCGGTAATTTTAAACTCCTCGTCTTCAAAGATGGATGGGTCGTTGTTGCGGCCGTTCTTTTCGTCGATCCAGCCTGTCGCAGGAAGTGCACCGCTCTGGCGCATGACACGGAGACTCTCTCGAATAGCAGCCTCAATCTCCGCGTCGTCTTCCTGGACACCCTGCGACGTTTCCCGAACAGAGGCCCGAATCGCGCGCTCAACCTCATCCTCCTCCTGGGACATGTTTGTTGCCTGGACCGCCTTCTCCTTCTCCGGAAGAAAGGTTGGGGCAGCAGGCACCAGTGACTCCACGTAACCGCGCTTCCACGTCTGCTTCTCGTCCTGCATGCGCTTCCGCTGTGCCGATGACAGATGGCGCGTCTGGAGCCAACCCGTCCGAGGCTTGGAGAAGCCCTTGTCCATGATGGAGACGGTGTCGCTGCTGTCGTCTGTCGGCAGGGGCGGCGGTGGCGGGAATGGACCTTCGGTGCCGCCCATTCTACGCTTCAGGTCGTAGAAGCTGGAGAGATCAAATTTGACCGTGTTCCAGCGACGTAGGATGTCCTCGCATTCGCCTTGGGATGCTTTCATCAAGGCTTGCTCTCCCTGTTTAATGCGCGACGAGATGATGTAGTTGTACACGCTGCGGCTCATGTGCTTGCCAAACTCGGCGTGGACGCCCTGCATAGCGTAGCCGGGTAGACCAAAGATGCCGGCGGCCGGTTTTAGAATCAGGCCGCCGATGCCCTTGCCGAAGCCTTTGACGAGGCCGACGGCACCCTCCTTTTCTGCGCCATGCAGGGGCTGCCGAACCAGACCTGAAATGCCGTCAAAGAAGCCGTAGCCAAGTTCCTTGCCGGCGACCTTGATGCCAGAAGACAGATCGGTGACTTTTTCGACAGGCCGTACTAGGTCATCGTTGTACAGGCGCGGCATGTTGCGGAATCCTTTGGCTAAGCCGAGACAAAAGTTCATAGGCGACTTAACACCCGCCTCAATGATTCTGTTGACACCCCTCGCGGTGCCCACGGCACTTTCCACACCAAAGGCCATTCCTGGCGACATGTGTTCCTCGTGAAGACTTGCTTGCTTGGGGGATGCAACCTCGGGGGGGTCCACCTGCCTTGTTGGTGTCTGGGCTCCAGTACCAGGTGGCGTGTCCGGAGTCGGTACTGTAGTTAGAGAGGCCTGTGAAGCATTTGGGTTGCGCGAGGTAGATGGGCGGTGCTCACTTGGAGTGAGATGGCTTGATGATTCAGTTGGTCTGGAGGCGCTGTCACTCTCCTTTTTGTATTTTCTGTGCGACTTCCACAAGTCCCTTGGCATATCAGCAATAGCCATGCCAATGGTCCCAAGAGACAACATAATGGCGGCCGCTCCAGCAGTCACTGGATCCGTGGGCTGGTCGTCGGTGTTAAATTCGCATGGGCGATACCTACACACAAGGTTAGTTAGTCATGGTATTTTGCCGAAATCGCTTCGTGCTACTTGCAGTTTTAAATCCGTATATTTGATGACATTGTGGTCGATGAGAACAGCGACTGCGAGCGGGCACAGTCGAACCTTGGTCCTACGCACACGCCATGCAGCGGCATGGCTCGGCGCGACTGAGCAGCGCAGTTTGTCCACTTCGAGATGCTTGTGGAAGCTGTACCCGCCTTCATCGGTGCCCTTCTCCTCTCGAATCCTCTGACCCAGGACTTCGGCCTGCTCAATCGTCCCTGGTTCGATGCACTTTCCAATCGCCGTGGCCAGCTTCTCCGCCGTCAGATCCTTGTACGGGATGGGTTCGGGGCCCGCCTCGGCCCGCGCAATCATGGACCCCCAAAAGGGCTGGTCGCCAAAGAATGGCACGACAAAGGTCGGCTTGCCGGCTTTGATGCCAGCCGCCGTGGTTCCCGCACCGCCGTGGTGTACAACGGCGGATACACGCTCAAAGAGCCAGTCGTGAGGCACGTTGCCGAGCATATACACGCCCTCCGGTAGGCCAACGTCGTCGGCACCGAGACCGCCCCAGCCTTTGGAGACGAGGGCGCGGACGCCAGCGAGGTGGATGGCGTCGAAGATCATGCGTGTCATGGCATTGGGGTCGTCGACGACAATGGAGCCAAAGCCAATGTAGACGGGTGGCGGGCCCGCATTGAGAAAGGCGTCGAGCTCAGGGTCGGGCGTATAAGAGGAAGCGAGGTCGAGAAAGTAAAAGCCAGACACGTCAATGTTATTACCCCAGTCGTTAGGCTTGGGGATGAGAGCCGGTGACCAGCAGTATGTATATGATATCCGGAGCCGCGTCAGTAAGCCCGGAGCCCATAGCGGCGATAGCTCTGGTAACTCAAGTGCCTTTTCACGGAAGCGATTGATGACGTCTCCGAGGCCTTGCCAGGTCATGATTTCAACAAGCGTATACGTCAAGTTATTTGTCAGGGTGTCGTCGAGGTTGCTCGACTGAATGTTGGCGAGCGGGTGCTGAAACGCGCGCGTGGGCGTCCACGGCATGGTGAACATCATGTGCAGAGGGATGCCCATCTTTTCCGCAATATGAACGTGGGCAAAGCTGGGCGGGTTCGCAATAATGGCATCCGCCACAAACGGCCTGTCCGCGGGGTTGCCCGGCACCTCCTGCGCGGAAAAGTTGACCGGCGCGTAGCGCGTGTGCGGCTTGGGCGGGGGGCCCAGGCCGTTGCCGGCCTCGATGCAGGAGCGCCAGCAGCCCATGAGGATCTCCTCAATGCCGCGGCGGCGCTTGCTGACCTCGCCGCTCTTAAGGGCATCGAAACCGGGCATGAGGCCGGGGTTCTTGACCATGAACGCCATGAGCTCGGCGGGGTCGCCGCCAATGTTGAAGAACTCGAGTTCATTGTCCTCGACGAATTTTTGAAAGGTGGCATGGGTGGCGATGCGCACGCGGTGGCCGTAGGTGTCGCGTAGTGTCTTGCCGAGGGCGACAAAGGGCTGCACGTCGCCGCGGGAGCCGACAATCTGGATGACGATGTTGAGCGCGGGGGGCGGCGTCTGGCCGGGCAGGCCGCCGAGGCTCGGCGGGATGTAGGCCGGCGGCAGCGGCTCCTGGGCCTCGGCGACGGAGACTTGCCGGTCGACGACGGGGGCGAGCAGCTCCGCGAGACGGCGGCTCTTGGTGCTGATGTTGATGTTGACACGGCCGTCGCCTAACACACTTGATTAATAACACGCTCATCTGTGTGATTTTTGCGGGTTGGGCGTCCTTACCGGCCACGGCGGCACCGGCCTGGAAGCCGGGCTGCGAAAAGGTCACCTTGTCGACTTGGTCGCCGTATGCTGGCGGGGCTTCACTGGGGACGTCGAGGCTGGGAATCACGAAGCCGTCGGTGATGAGCGACTCTTCCGATGTGCTGGGCGGACCCCCCAGCGAGTCCGCACTCTGCTGGCGTGCCTGCGCATCAGCTCTTGCCTGGGCCTGGCGACGGGCCATGACCTGCTTGTCGTCGAGAATAGTCATGATGGTGGGGCATCAAGACACAGCCGTCGGAGAGATCAACGAGGTGAAAGCCGTGGGCCCCCAGGCTTCAGAGGCCACCTCGCAGGCAGATGGAAATATTGAACAAGGGGGGGGGCGTTTGAGATGGGCAGTTAAGCTTGGTCGTGCAGCATGACACTTTGGTTTGGTGATGCTGGGTGATTGGTGTTTGGTGCTGCCGCTCTGCCTTGATTTGTACTGGTGCGGGCAGTGGTTGATAGGTAGGACGGCAGGTTGGTGGTAACGTTAGCACTGGACTGACGAGAGTGCCTGGGGCGAGCCGGTGGTTGAATCAACCACAGACCAAGAATCTGACAATGTAGAATCAAGGCTGTGGGACGCTCGCTGGCATGTGTGAGAGGGCCGTAAGTCGTAGGTACCTGTAACGCGGAGCTCTCACTACCCACTCAGGCCATATCCCCAGGCATCAGCCCTCCGAGCCCTGTAAACGCGTACGAGGTTGGCAATTAACCAGACCTTCCGCCTGTCATTGGCTGTAATATCTTGATTCAGCTACTGAACCAATCTCATTGTAAATTTTACACACAAGCACACAGTTGGCTGAAGCACTTGCCGACGTCAAAGCGACGTAGATGATGCTCCATGAGCACGCGTGTTGCCTATGTAGGTACCTAGGTAATTACCTACATATCGAAATAGCATATCCACGATCCCCTTTTGAAATCATCTCGCGAGCCCAACTGCATGACAGCGACGTCACGCTCGCAAACCGCATTCTATCCCGCCTACCCTCAACCTCAAGCGCCGTAGGTGTGCAGCTATGTACCTACCTAGGTACCTACGTACCACTGCACAGCCCTGTTTCTAGCTCTAGTTGGGGCGGGAAACGATGGCGTCGGAGACGATCATCTTGGCAGCGTTTTTCCGATGGCTTTTTTCCTCGTTCATATCTCACTAGACATAGGCAGCAGCCGTCAGGGCACCCGTCGTATCTCCTCATTACCTGGGTAGGTAGGTAGATAGGTAGGTACCCTATATGGGCGACCCAAAGGCTGTAGGTATGTATGTCCGGTACTTGCTCAATGATGCTGAACACAGCCTCACATGGCAATTCGCATACGGGCTTGATCTATTAGAAACTCCTTGCCATGTTGACTTTAAATTCTGCATTGCACAATCATTATTTACAAGCCGCGCCAATCCACATCATCTTCAATAACATTGCACCAAGAAGCGACCATACTATTGCACCATCTGGGTCTATCATTTTAATTGGTATAATACAACTTGCCAACCTCGGCCAGAAGAAGCTACTTAATCTCTGGCGCTTGAGCCGATTTGCATATGCCACAAAAATAGGACGCATCGCACCAGTTCGCCTTAGTATGTATGGGGCATTCTCCCAAATCGTCATTTGAGAATGGAACAGTTCCCGCAGGGTTCCTCGTCATACCAACAAGACGACGCAAATATGCATCTCGTCTATTCTGGTATTTTTGCACACACTTCGCCCCCCGCTCTCCGTCCTTTACCCAAGCTCTCCATCTAGCTCGAGAATTTTCTGGTAAGCTTGGCGATAACTGCAGAACCTTGTTAGCGACTGCTAAAATGAGAAAAACTACGACCCAATGACACGTACTGTGAAGCGCAACAACGCTGAAAATGAATACCAGAGAGAGAACGAGAACAACCACGGGGTCGACCTTAAGACCGGGAGACTCATCAGTGTAGAGTCCTATGGCAACTGTTAGCAATTTTCCCCACCACCAAAAAACGACTCCAATTCGGCGACAAGGATCCCCAATCTGAAAAGCAGCTCGTTTAATGTCTTCTATGGACAATTCCATGCCTATTCATCACAACAAAAGCTCGGTTGCTAGGCAAGGCCAGGACGCGACAGGGGTCGCACGCAATAGAAAGTGGCGGGTAGGCAAAAACGTACTCAGCATGGTGCTGCTAGAGCCGCCAGCGCCGGCCGAGCGGGTGCTGCTGGGACGGACATTGGCAATCTTCTCCTTTTGGTCGGCGGCGGCGCGGCGACGAATGGCCGTTCGGGGACCGCCGGGCGGCGTGGGCGACGAGGGACGGTTGACACTGGCGCCAGTGGCAGCGCCTTCGGGTGAGGAAGCAAGAGGAGAAGACTACCGAAAGACGTGTTAGTTACAGGCACTATCCATCACTGCCCCAACGCTCCCACCTCCCCCGCGAAGAGACCGCCGTTGCGCAATGGCCGACGTTGTTGCGACGAGAGTTCCCTCACGCGACTTAAGGCGGACAGCCTGTCCTGTGTCTCTCCTGGGGCCTGCATCCTGTTCCCGATTGGGGACTTCGCTTCAGAAACGTACCATTATACTGTTTATACGAAAAGACCGGAGAGAGAGAAGACCAAGTCGACGAACCGCTGCAGGATTGATCGAAATGGATACCGGGAGATGGACAACGAGGGATGATGGGAATGGGAGAGGTGTGTCTCTGTCTGTGACGGGGCCAGACAGGAGGTCCTACCTGTTAGCGCAGCTCGCAGCTGGGCCCTAGAAGCCTGTGCCAGAGGAACCCTTGAGGCCACATGCACCAGTCTGGGGCGTCGCGGCGGAACAATGTTCCGTCCACTTTAAGGACAGTATCAATACGGATGCGTTTGAAAATGGAGATGCATAGAAGTTTTTTTCCCCTCGGTTGAGAACATTGAAACAAATCAAGTGAGAAATATGGAATAAAGCAGACTAAGAAATAGCAAGTAAACAGATCGCCGTTAGTCTTGCTACCTCCCTGGCACTGGAGTGACAACTCAAAATAGCAGCTCACAAGACCATCTAACATATTCAATCAACTCCCATATAATCGCTGCGTCATTGGAGGCTTTTCAATTTGAGGCAACTATATATGTATATAGTAGAGGTATCTTTTTCTCCTTTCCCACTTCCGCTGGTCTTTCTGCACTGCAACCGTAGCGTCCAACAGAAAAATAAGAAAAAAACATGACACAAAAACACAGGACAAAGAAAATAGAAAGATCACCTGCCGTCTTCTCCCCCCCCTCTTCCCCTTCATCATCCTTGCCCTCATTCTGATCCCCGTGTATGTATTAGACCAGCGACGAAGTTTTCTACACCAGGAAGAAGGAATAAAAAGCGAGACCAGGAGAAATAAAAGAAAGAAAGAAAACCCCTTCGACCAAGAACGCCTTGCGCTATGAATGGAATACTGTAATTTCCCATCGGAAGCTCTGCAGAGATGTAATAAAAAGATTTCAAAAAGTAATTTTGAATGACAAAGGAAGAATGAAAAAAAAAATTTGAAAAAAGTACAAGTTGCTTCTTCTTCTTTTTTTCTTCCGCTGGCGAGGGGCGTTTTGTGCTTTCAAAGAGTGACATCAAGAACGAGGCTGACATCTGAAACCTTGGAGCCAGCCAGATCCTCGAGGACGGGAATCAGGTCTAACAGTTCGTTGTCGTGGGCGTCAGAGAACCAGCTACTGATAGGAACGGCGTGTTGAGGATGGAATATATATGAGGTCGGGGAGTTGTCAATGATGATGGTGTCTTTGAGGTCGCGTCCGACTTGAGACAAGTCCTTGACGTAGTTGCCTTGGTGGTTGTAGCAGCTTTCGCGGAAAAGTCTGTGGTGGACGACATTATGGATGTCGAGTTGGTCTAATAGAGGATCACCGTACTTTGCGCGAGTTAGCAGCTGGCAGGCAGGCAATGCATGAGACTGTCCGTTGACGTACCTTAGAAACAGACGCAGTGAAAACGACCACCTCGTACAGCTCGCCCACTCTTTTCATGAATTCGTCGACGCCGGGTCGCTTAATGACATATACGTTATGATAGTTGCCCTCAATTTCGACAGGTATCGTAAAGTCGGCTTGGTGCAAAATCTACACGTAGGCTGTTAGAGAGATATACAAGGAGGCCCTTGTGTGATGATATGTACCTTGAATGAGCTGTGCACAAGGGTTTCGTCGAGATCTAGAACCAAGCATTTTCTGCCCTTGTGTTCGGGGGCAATGGGGGGTAGCAGCCACTTGCGCTGCTCCTCTACAGGAGCAGTTGGTGGGAATGGGACAGCTGTAGCGATTGCAGGGCCTGGCGGTGGAGGTGGGACGCTTCGCTCGTCCACCTCCTCATGTGTCTCGACGGCTGGCGTTTCGTGAGCTTCTTCGGCTGCGTCGGGCATATCGGAGTCGTCGCCATTGGCTGAATTACTTCCACCGGCTGATTGCGGTGCGCTAGGAGGTTCGACGGCAACGACCGGCGGGCTCTCCTGATGAGCATTGGGTTCTTCCATGATGACGTCCTGGGAGCCACTGGCGGCTCCTTGGTTATCTGCGGTGGCAGCCGCGTTGTTGAACTTCTCATTCGAGTTGCGGGCGTACTGGTCCTGCGAGGTTTGGGATCGAGATTTGGCTGTGGTAGGCCGTTGAGGAAGCTTGTTTAGCTTGTGAACGTTGTTCTTGTCCTCATCATCCGGCACGCCGCAGCAGCCAAGCAGGGCAAGCAGGCCTCCCTTCTTCCTTCTTTGCTTTTGCTCGCTAGTGGAAGGCGAGCTCGGTTGCGTGTTGCCCGGGGTACTGGCGACATCATTGTCACCGGCTGCGCGCGTCGCATTTAACGAGCCGTTTCCCTGGGCTTCAGCATAGCTGTTCTTAGAGTCCTTGGAACGACCGCTGCTGCTACTGCGGCCAGTGGCAGAAGGGGCAGACTGGATCTTCTGTTGCGAAGAGGATCTGGAAGGGACCTTGAGCATGCCTTGGCTTTGACGGGCGGAGCCAGCCTCTTCAGAGACTATTGTGTCGCTGGTTTCGGTTCCCATGATCGAGGCGTTCCTGACAACCGTATCAGGCTTCGCATCGGCGGTTCGAAGAGGTGATGGCGCAGGTCCGGGTACAGTTTTCTGGGGACTGCTAAACAGGGCGTGGTGGAGTTAGCGATGAATACAGCAAATCCTGCGGAACTCAAAAGAACTGCTACACTGGACGTCACGCGGTATTAAACGCAGAAAAACAACTAAAGTTTGTTTAGGGGTGAAAACTCACGTCAACAGGCAATTGGGCTGGACAAGCGCACAAGTCCGAGCCCAAGGCAGGTAGGTGGGTGACAGAGCCAGCCGCGCCAAATGCGATGGGAATCGTCAAGACACCAAGACAGGGACAATAATCGCGAGACAGAGGCGGTGACGATGAAAATGTCCAACAATAGGTAGCGGCAGGTCGCGTCGGGGGCGAGGCAAAAGAAGTATTCGAGAGGTTGACGACGTAAGGCCCGGATTGAGATGGGAGCGCTAGCTAACCAAGGACCAATGGCAGCAAGTGTGGTCTGGGGTTGACAGGCGGGAGAAAGCCCGAGCTGAGTGGCCAAGAAAACAGATGCGCAGCGTTCGTTGTCTTTGGCGACGGAACGAGAACGAGGTCGCGAGATGGCAGGCGGAGAGGAGGCGGATGCGGCGTATCGGAGGATGGATGGGGGAGGCTCGTGGCGCCAGGAAAACGAGAGGCCCGTGGAGAGCGGGATAGAGGAGGTTGAGAGGCAACAGAACAGAGCAACGAAGAAAGGCAGGCACAGGAGGCGAGCAACAGCGAGCGAGCTGGGCAGGCTGGGGCCCTTGGGATGGGGCGGGCAGCGTGCAGCGGGCGTGGACGGAACGGACTGCTTTGATACCTGGGTTTGGTAGATGATTGTGGGGGCTAGGCAGGTACCTCATTAGTACCTAGGTCAGCGCTGGGGACGGACGTGTCTGCTGGGGCCTGCCGAGATCAAAGTACTCTCAGGTACTCTTGCCGTCCACTCATCTGGCTGGCGACAAGACGGACATGGAGGGGCCAGTGGTGTGGGTGGGGTCTCTCATGAGATTAAACCGCCGCCAGGGCTCGACACTGATAGGCTAGCCGCTCGCCTCTCCCACTCCAGGTCGTCTTCTCTCCAGGCGTCTCCCCTGACCAGCTGCTGGGGTACGGCAGCCAGCCGGGGCCTAAGATAATGAGGTGTGTAAATTTGTAAATTGCGGCGAGAAAACAAAAGAGGGGGCCGAGTCTTGTTAATTTCCCAACCACAATTGAAGAAACCGAGAGGAGCGAGTGCTGGAACACGGGAGTAGTCCCCCTGCAACGGCGCTGCCCAAGCACTTTATTAGTGGTGGTTGCGGCGCACTCTTGTACCTTGAAGTACCTCCCGTCCTCCTCTGTCGACCATACGGCTCTGCATCCTGCACGCTATATTGCACCGTGATGAGTCCCCGATGAGACACCAGTTCGCATCCACACTCGCCATCACCTCAGGGACTTCTCTCTCCTTACTACATAGATATTGCTATCTGGTGATGCCCACGAGATGTCGCAGTGCGACGCAATGTGCAACCTCAGTACCTTTATTACAACAGGCGGCTCCGCCCATGCCCGGCGCCTTTTGTTCATTTGGGTACCGCAATCGTGATTAAAGCTACTGTCTACATAACTAAACAAAACGTGGCCTGGGTGATGGTCATTGAGCCCCGTGGTATCCGCGCAGCACAAGCCAGAGGTTCGGTCCAAGCTTTGTCATCGCCGCCTTTAATAATTTAACTCTTCTTCTTTGACTGTTTGGCAACAAAAAAAAGGCTACCTGTGGTGGGGGGGATCGACCTCTTATTAGAACACTGAGCCAGAGGGTTGTTAGTGGCCGGCTTCAGAGACCAAACAGTGCGTTGTAACTTGTTCGGTTCTGGCATTGCTAACTTATAATAATTAGAGGTAGGTAGGTAAAAATAGTTAGTGCCTCTGTGCGACCATTTCTGGGGTTGGCACCCAGTCTTTCGGCCTCGTCACAGTGCGAAACCGACCCCATCAAATCGCCAATTTGATTGGCCCTCTTGGCGCCCAGCGTTCCTGATGCCACTTAAACAATGGCTACTAATGCCCAACTGTGGCCAGTCAGAGACTTGGACGCATCGTGATAGAAAAAGGTGCCACCCGCCCGCAAACAAATCCTTGCAGGGATGACAGGGTTCCCGGATCAGGTTCCGTTGTGCAAAGGCGAATCGTACGGGTTACATGTAGTTACTTATCGCCACATGGCCCTCGGAACCAGAGATGTACAGCACGGAGGATGTCGAGATGATGCAAGGAGCACGCTACTGTATGGGTGTGCAGCCTAGTTGTAGCGGACCACCATCGTACCAGAATATGTCGACGAAATCCAGACCAGACTAGGAATTGGGAGGGTTGCTGCTCACGGAAATTGGGAGGTGCAAATTTTGCTGTGGCAATTGATTGGCCGACTTTCAAGTTCAATAATGTACAAGCGCCTTCCATACGAGATGGCAACTTGTGGCGAGGCAGTATTTACAGATGCATTGCATTGTTGAGGCCTTGGCTCGTATCGCTCGTTGGCCGTCTGTCTGGTGAACTCATTGTGCGTAATGCAGTGCCAATATGAATAACCTGGAGACAAGTATTTACATAGTAATACCATACAGTCAAAGGAGGGGTGTCGCGGCGGCGGGCCGGTGGGAATGTGCCTCTTCTACGAATTAGAAGCGGCTCCTAACTACTAAAAGTCAGCTTGGTAGGTGCAATGCATTATCGGACATGTATCCGTGCTGTCAGACACAACTAAGGCTGCTGCTCTCCCCAAGTACGAATACTGGCCAGCGGTAGCACATGTGTGTCCTTTTGCGAGGCACTGTTTGCGTGTTGAAAGGACCACATGGATGACGGGAACAATGATGGGGAGCCAAAGCCAGGCCAAAGCGACCGAGTTTGACATCTCTCCGTTGACTGGTCGGCCTCTACCAAACAGAGTCTTTTTCCAGGTGATGGTGGCTTCCTGCTTCTCCATGCCTTCTCCAGACCTTCTCCAGAATCATGTGACTGCCCCGGACTCAAATGACGGCCGCTGCTCCACCAGTTTGTCAGCGGGACCCGCTTGACGTACCTCGGATAGTCTGCACTAGTCTTGTTCACATGTCTCGTCGCCAAGTTCGACAACATCTGCTCCAATCATCTCTCTCTCAATATTCAGTTCGTCGACTGATTAAACTTGCAATCGCCTCGCGCCCGCCTATATCGACAATTGCCATTATTCGAAGCGGACCCATGTCCTCGATCGCTGCCGTCATCTTTTAAGAGGGTGCCGCCCCTCCCCAAACCAGCCCATCTGGGTGCATCGCGCTTCTCTCCGTGCCGTCGCCGCCATGGCTGCGCAGTCCAAGTTGCGCAGCACCGCTGCCGAACGGGCCATTGCCGACTTCTTCGACAAGTGGACTGGCGCCGCCGAGTCGCGATTCCGCAACAGCTCCCGCGCAACTCGCATCCTCGCCACGCTCGCTTTCATTGCCTCCTTGGTTGTCAGCGCCGAAGGCACTCGCCGTTGGTGGAAGAATAGCTCCCAGGAGCATGAACAGGGTCGCAAATTGGTCCGTACCAACTCGTGGTTGCACAACAAGGATGGATCGCGCACCATCTACGTCCCGTATAAGCAAGGCACCTCCAAGGTCACCATCAACACCACCAAATCTCTCACCTTCGAAGCCCATCGACGACTCTTCCTCAACCCGCCTCGCGTCTCTGGTCTGGGCGATGCCGCAATACCTTCAGCCCAGACCAAGCCTGGCCTGAACCTGGCCTTCCTCCACCAGTTTCTCAGCCTCATGAGTATCATGATTCCTCGCTGGACCAGCAAAGAAGCCGGTCTGCTACTTAGCCATGGCCTCTTTCTAATTCTTAGAACATATCTGTCACTTGTTGTTGCCCGTCTAGACGGCGAAATTGTGCGCGATTTGGTCGCAGGAAATGGAAAGGCCTTTTCATGGGGTATTGCGAAGGTCAGTTTACATGTAGTCTTGTTATGCGCGCGCTCTGCTGACCAAACATCTGCAGTGGCTCGGTCTCGGTGGCTTTGCGTCTTATACCAACGCTGCGATCAAGTATCTCGAGTCCAAGGTGTCCATTGCCTTCCGCACGCGACTCACGAGATATATCCACGATCTGTATCTTAACGAAAACATGAACTACTACAAGCTGTCAAACCTCGACGGCGGGATTGGCCAAGGAGCCGATCAATATATCACACAGGATCTCACCCTCTTTTGCGCGGCCGCCGCTAACCTCTACTCGTCTCTTGGAAAGCCGTTTATTGACCTCTGCGTCTTCAACTTCCAGCTATACCGGTCCTTGGGACCTCTAGCCCTTACTGGCCTGATGAGCAACTATTTCCTCACTGCCAGCATCCTTCGCAGATTATCCCCCCCATTTGGAAAGCTCAAGGCGGTAGAGGGCCGTAAAGAGGGCGACTTCCGCAGTCTCCATGCTCGTCTGATCGCCAATGCTGAGGAAGTTGCTTTCTATGGCGGCGCTGACACGGAAAAGACGTTCCTCAACAAGGAGTACAAGTCGCTCAAGAGCTGGATGGAGGGCATCTATATGCTCAAGATTCGTTACAACATTTTGGAGGACTTTATTCTCAAGTATAGCTGGAGTGCTTACGGTTATCTTTTGGCTTCGCTACCTGTCTTTTTGCCAGCCTGGGGTGGCGTTGGAGGACTGTCGGAGATGGTGGACCACGTTCAGAAAGGCGGTCGTGAACGCAACCGAATGAAGGCTTTCATTACCAACAAGCGCCTCATGCTTTCGCTTGCTGATGCAGGTGGCCGCATGATGTACTCGATCAAGGATCTGGCCGAGCTTGCCGGCTATACCAGCCGTGTATACACGCTTATCTCTACCCTGCACCGAGTCCATGCTGACGCCTACTATCTGCGTAACGCGCAAAACGAGCTCTATTCACTCTCTGACATACAAGGAACCATCCAAAAGGGCTTCGACGGTGTCCGATTCGAGCAGGTCCCGATTGTCGCCCCTAGCCTGTGGCCCCAGGGCGGCGATGAGCTGGTAGACTCGCTTTCCATGATTGTCCGCAGTGGCGAGCACTTGCTCATCTCTGGGCCCAACGGCGTCGGCAAGACTGCTATTGCGAGAGTTCTCGCCGGCCTCTGGCCCGTCTACCGTGGATTGGTCAGTCGCCCCAAGAATATCGGCGAGGATGGCATCATGTTCCTTCCTCAGCGTCCGTATCTCAGCCCTGGTACTCTCCGTGACCAGGTCATATACCCGGATGGCCACTTAGACATGCGTCTGAAGCGCAGAACTGAGGACGACTTGAAGCGCGTCCTTGCTGAGGCGAAACTTGGATACCTGCCTGACCGGGAAGGTGGCTGGGACACACGCAAAGAATGGAAGGACGTGCTGAGCGGTGGTGAGAAACAGCGCATGGGCTTTGCTCGCTTGCTGTACCATGAGCCTAAGTACGCCATCATCGACGAGGGAACCAGCGCTGTGTCGAGCGATGTGGAAGGACTTCTCTACGAAACATGCAAGGAGAAGGGCATCAGTAAGTCGACCTTCTTTTCCTTTGGGAGATGGTGAGTAATGCTAACTTGATTTTCTCAGCTCTAATCACAATCTCAACCCGAGCGTCGCTCAAAAAATACCATACCTACAACCTTGTTCTGGGACAGGGCGAGACTGGTGACACTTGGGAGTTTGACCGCATCGGCACCGAGCGCGAGAAGCTTCAGGTGGAAAAGGAGCTGCAGGAGATTCGCGAGCGGCTAGCCCAAGTCGACGAGTGGAAGCAGAGACGGCAAGACATTGACAAGGAGTTGGCGGCGGTGTGGACCGATCAGGGCGAGTCCCTAGCTGCGCCCGAGTACGTAGATACGGCGGAGGCTGCCGCGAGTGAAGAAGCGACTACAACTGCATAGACGATGACGGAGCGAGGCCGGCGCACTGTTTAGACATGCAGGCATCTCTGTATACAAAGCAATCTACATCTGTACGTATGGGTACTTTTGTTGCTAATGAAGACAAAGTGAATGCCAACAAATCCATGCATGATGACCAACAGGGCTAAAAGCGCAGGATCTACAAAGTGTCGATGCATGTCCCGGATGCCCAGTGAGGTGGCTCATGCATGTGAGAGGCGTGTCGCACAGCTGTAATTTTTCTTATCACCGGGAGGATACAGGCGGACGTTGTGATTTCTCTTTTTATGTCCCCAATACATGGTATCATTTTTGCAACTTGACAGCTCGGCATCATTCAACACCGCACGGACAGAGGACGAGTCATTCGAACCACGTCTGCCATGGAGACTCGGAGAGTCCCTAGCCTTTGGACAAAGGATAAGTAAAACGAGAACCCGAAGAAAAAGCAAAGCGAAAGGTTGACAAGAAGCGAAAAAGCAAATGGGCGCAGGGGCGGTGTTAGTTCCCACCCAAAAGGGCAAGAAAGCTGCCCAGAAACATGGTCTCAGAATCGTCCTACTCGTCTCTCCGTTTTGTACGAATTACTCCGTAGACTCCGTAGACATGAAATAACAGCAACAACCAAGGGTCTGAAAGAGGGGGATGCGCCACGACTCTTGACAAAGGGGCAGCAACGGTTCATCCCGTGTTCGGAGCTATATTGCGAATGTAGTATAGATCGATCTAGATTGTTTATAATTATTTGACTTTCAGGTTCCTTGTAGTGGTGGCGGCGCCCGTACCACGTTGGTTCTAGGGAAAAAGCAACAACTTATACCGCCGATCGAGGACTGCGTTGTGCCAACATGCATGTTCTCGAGGCCGCTTTCGCCTCATTGGACAAAGAATAAGATGCAAGTGTCCAGGCGGTCCCGCAATGGATGCAACATGGCGCCTTTCTCCCGTTCTCTCTAGGATTTTCTTCTCTCGCATCCTTTATTAGCCTGTTGTAATTTGCTCAGTGTCTCAGATGGAGATATACTCTTTCTTTTCAAGCCAACGGCTACTGGTAGTTGTGCTTGACCAATATGCTTGCTCCCACGTTTCTACGAAGCTTGGTCTGCTTTTGACTACAAAAGGGGCCACGGAGCACTTTCCACCCGGACACGTAAGAATACTATACCGTTGTTTTTCAAATATAATTGCAGACCTCTCTTCCTGTGCGGTTGAGCATGGTGTCTCTTGTATAATTGTTCACAGATTACCGACCCTCCTGGTTACCCCAGAGAGATTGCCTCTCATACCCTGCTGTCTTGCTGGTCTCGGATCAATTCAACTTCGCGAGAGGCTCCCGGTCTACCAAAGGACGTCCTGTCATTCTCCTTGGGCTGTTTCCCGCCGCACTTCCTTCTCGTTGGATACGTTTGGAGAAGTCGGTAAAGGAAAGCCCTGCGCCGGCTAAGGGATATATACACGAATTTGCCCAACACAAGTCCAGCGTTGCGTCCAGCATGTCCCACCACGGACACCCAGTCATTGACAGCTCCGCGAGCAGTTCAATGGCCAGTATCGCGCAGCACCTGCCGCGGCTGACGGAGACAGGCGAGATGAACCGCGCCCTCCCCAAAATGCCGCTGCGCGTGCCGCAAAGGAACCCCCGTCGCAGCCTGCCGGCCGCCGTCGGCGGCGCACCGGCGTCCTACGTGCCGTCCAGAGACAGCGCCGCTCATCTCTCCGAGCCCCCGACGCCCACCTCGCCGCCCCTCTCACCCTGCAAACTCACGGCCTCGGAGGCTGGCACCAGCGAGCTGCACAGCGCGCGGTGCTCGGTGGTGCAGCAAAAGAGGGCCCACGCGGAGCCACCCGGGGACGAAAAGGGGTGGATCGACCACCGGCAGAGACGGTGCCGGTTCATGATTGTCGTCGGCGTCTTTACCGCCATCGTGGCCGGCCTCACTGTCGGACTCGCCGTCGGCCTGGGCAAAGGGTAAGTCCACTCACACATACTTGTCAAACTCGCGCCCGTGGTCAAACATCATAAAAACCTAAACTTACATACAACTTCCCCTGCAGCAACGCCCAGCCCAATAGCCAGTCCTCCCCAGACGGCGCCGACAGCGCGGTTTTTCCCGCCGGCGCCTACAGCTTCGAGACGTACCTCCGCGCCAACAGCAGCGGCTGCACCTCGCGCGCCTCGTCCTGGCAGTGCTACCCCGAGACGTCGGCCTCATCGCTGCGCGCCACCTTTTACTGGACGGTGCAGGGAGACGTCGGCGGCGCGCACCATGACTACTACGTCACCGGCACCGAGGAGCCGTTCGGTCCGGCCTTTGCCAACCTGCCCGCGACGCTGCTCGACGTCAAGCAGCCGAGCGAGCGACTCTCGTTTGCATTTGCGGCCAACAAGACGGTGGTGATACCGGTGGCGGCCGGGGACGGGCGGGTGGCAAATTGCACGTACCCGGGGACCGTGTTCCAGGCCACGCTGTGGACGCGCCGGCGCGGCGGGCAGGGGGTGAGCGCGCCGAGCCGGACGGCCCGCTACGCGCCGTGGCCGGGCGAGATGGAGGTGGTGCAGTACAAGAACTCGACGATTGGGGACCCCGTGTGCGTGGACAGGCATGGGAAAGCCATCGCCGACGTTCAGGCGGCGGGCGGGAGCTGCCTGTGTCGCTACACAAGCACGTCCATGAGCTGAGTCTAGGTCGTTCATTAATGTGTGGTGTTTACGCATTGGTCCGTTGACAAAGGCGGGAAAAGATGGCAGGTCTTGAATCGATTCTTGATTCTGTGTGTTTTGGCATCATGAGCGTGGCATATTTTTTTTCTTCACCCCCGTTCCTTGCGTCATTATTGGAGAAACATGAGCTGGTTGAATGATGGCTTTTGTTTTTTTAAAATCATCTATAGCACTTTGTAATGTTGTCCGACATACCACTGACATGCATCACCACCATGGGCTATTGCCTACTTGAACAAAACTACTTAATTATTAACAAAACGTTCATGGGTTGTAGCTTAGCTGGTTCAGTGCAAATGTAGTGCGCGAGGTATGCACTAAAGTCCCTGGGCTGCGATGAGAAACTCGATTTAAAGTATTCCATGTAGCAAATAGAGTCGAGGGCTCGTCCGATTAGCCCTGGCAGCAAGAGTTTTGTCATTGCAGGTTGTCCGAGACAGTTGCCCACAACAGCCAACTTGGGCGAGCTGGTAACAATCTCTGCAACTTCAAGCTCGTATCGGGTCTCCTGGTAGGGCATCTTGCAGATGTACAGCGAAATGAAGACATTCGCGTCTCTCTTGCGGGGTACGAAGCGTCCACAAGTTCCTGATTTGCTCTTCATGTTTCCTCCAATCGGCAGCAATATTGCATTATACCTGTTACCGTTTACAGTCACATGGTACAGCCTACGACTTGGCATAAGTAACGGGATTACAAGGCATTCAACAAGTATATTTATCCCCCAATCCATCAGCCCAAACCAAGCTCCCGGGTTCAAAATAAACAAGTATAAAGAGCAAATGACTTACCTCGACAGCACCGCGAGAAGAGTCGTTGGCTGTTGGACTCTAGGATGAGGGGGCCACAGCCCGCACACTGTACTGGTCCCTTTCAGTTTCCCCTCGGATGAGGTAGGTAGGTCTCGGCCCAATGACCCCGCCGAGTAGCTGTCGCCGGCAAGGACGAGCGCATGGCGCCGTGGGCCGAGTGGCCGCTGTGGTCCAAATGGACCAGAGAGGCAGGTAAACGGGTAAAGGAGAAGGCATATTGTGCCTTCGGTCGGCATTTTGATCTTGGGTGTTGTTGCTTTGAGCACATGGTTGAAACAGCACGCAAGGAGCCAGCCACCAAGCTTAACATGACCGACTCTCATTCTTGGCCACTTGTTGGGGAAGAATTCGTGGCGCAACCTCATCCTAGGTAGTAATATTGGTCAGCTCGTTGGCCAACGTTGTGAAGCTGGTGGGTGGCTTGGGTGCTTGCTGGGCAGAGGACAGGCTTGACGCAAGGGCGCAATCGTCACCGTGGGGAATTTGGGAAGGGAGATTCAGTAGGGGCACCACTGCCAATGGCTTTCATGATGCAGTCTGGTGGGAGCAGGGCTTACTCTGTCTTGCGGGCATGTCTGCAATTGTCACCAAGGAGCTTCTTCTTCTGGGCAGCTCATGTCATTGCTGGTAGGGTTTAGCGAGGTCTTTAGGCAGCTGTAGAGCCCTGGAGAGGCTAAGAATTCTCCATGATGATAGACATTTGGCTGGCTTTGGGGCTTGACGTTGCTCTTGTTGTTGTGTAGGTGGGAAAGGAGGAAGGCCGGTCCAGTGAGAACATGGGAGCGGCGGCCAGTTTATATAGAGTTGGGGGGGGGGGGTTAGGATCAGCGATGACGGAAGCACAGCTGTGTTTATGTTTGCCTTTTCCTCTCGTATTTGACTTTGTGTACAGTTTTGTAGCATCGTCGACGTGTATCACTACCTTGGTAGTACGGAGGCGTCGCTTTGGCCATAACAGACAGTGTGTCGGAGATATGAATACATGCATGCTGACTGTAGTTAAATGGACAAATCCTGAATGGGAAAGGGTGATGATCTTTTTCTTGAAACCGTTTGAACATTGTGAATTTTAGGATGCACGTCCAGGACGAAAATGTTCAGCAAGGTAGGATGATGGAAGGAAACCGTACAAAGGATAATAATAATGCCGCTTTGGGGATGAGAAATGAGATACGAGTAGATGGAAATCCCAACGACGTGCGAAAAGACCATGCCTTGATAAGATTTTTTTTTATTTTTTATTTGGAAACTTCCACCTCTGCCGATTTGGGTTGCTTTGGCTTCTGCAGGAGCTGGGGAGACGCATGGCTCGTTCATCTGGGTCACACTCCGGGCAGAGGGTAACGACCAAGAGAGCAGGGGATTCGCCATTTGTTTGAAGAAAACAAATTTGATGTAGCGCAAGGCTTTTGCTGGTCCGTCTGGAGGAAGGGTTTGGTGGCTGCTCTGTGGCTCTGTGGTGAGCGGAAGCGCTTGCGCTAGCTCCCGTGGTGGTGGTTTGCTGGGGCACTTGTTTTGGGTGTCAAGCTTCTGGGCAGTCTGGAGTCTGGACGCGCTTGATTTTGCAGCCCAAGTAATGTCGTAGAATTATTAATTGATTGCATCACACTTCCCCGCCAAGCGTTCCTGTCGGACATGCGTAGTAGAGTAACAGGTACCTAGTACTAAGGTAGCGGTGGTCATTTAATCCAATGGCGGGCGCGGCGCTGTAGGGCAGTTGTAGGGTCTGCACTGCTCACGGACGGGTCGTTTTTTTAGTACCTACCTAGTACTAAGTACCTCACATACCTCCAGGGTTTAATAGGTGCCTTGAGCGGGCAGTTTAGTGAGCGCTGTAGGCGTCAACTGGCCTACTAAGTACCTGCCCGGTTTAATACCTGTGCCTTGAGCGGGCAGTTTAGTGAGCGCTGTAAGGCGTCAACTGGCAGCTGTGCCCGCTGTCTTCGTCCACTGTAATCGCCGCAGTTAGTGCCCCTCCAGTACCGCCAGCAAAAGCTCGGCCCAGGCAACATTGCTCACTTTAACTGCCCCCCTCCCCCCGTTCCTCCCAGCTTCTTCCGTTTTTTTTTTCCCTCCCACATCTCATTGTTTCTCTTTGCATTTCTTCCTTTGCTCTCGTCGCTTCCTCCTTCGTTGCAGTTTTGCTGGTGCCGCGCTCGTCTCGTTCCCGCGCCGTCTCCAACGCTGTTGGCGGCTTATATCCACACGTCCGTTTGCCATGGTCCTCCAACAGCTGGCCGGCGACCCAGCGACATAGGTAGCAACGCGATGCTGCCTGCTGAATTTTTTCCGATAAAATACCTCGAGAAACTCAAGGCAAATGAGCTCGCCTTTTCAGACAATCGCCATCATCAACCACCGCCCGCGATTCTAGGTGCTGCGTCGAACATCATTGAGGGCCGGGGTGGCCGCGCGAGTATCCGAACAGGCGCTAGGTACGGTACGCTACTGCGCTGGCCGCCACGAGGGGTGCCCAGCCCACCACCTCAACCGTGTGTGGAGAGGGCCACCTGCCACCTGCCACCAAGCCAAGCCGGCTCACTTTGACGAGATGAGGCAAGAAATCCGACTATTCAGTTTTATTGGCCGACAAATTCATTCGTGCCCAAAAGCTACGAAAGTGTCACCCTTTTCTTCTTGCCCGAATGATTAGGCGGATGGGTTGCTTTGGGGGCTTGTCAGTGTGATACGAGACAGGCAGGGCCATGCGCCGGCCAGCCTGTCGCACACCCGGTTCGCATCAGGGGGACCAAACATTTGGACTGGACCATGCAAATAACGTTACCAGCAAAAAGGAAAAAAGGCCTCGTCCTTCTTGCACCACCATGTTTGATTGCGGGGCACTCTTCGGCAACATTGCGTGGCGCTCGTCATTGTCATTTCTATCGGCAGGGTCCAATGGGGTCACTTGCAGTGCAGACGACACCATGGAGCAGTTGGCACCGGACGACTTGTCACCAGGCTCCGCCTCATCCGATATTCGACTCACATCTTTCAAGAAAGTGGGAGCTCGTTGTTGACAATCGGTTTTGTTGTTCCCTTGCCCAGGCAATGTGGCAGTTCACCATCTTGGCGCCGTTGATCGACCGTCGTCAGACTACCTAGGTACCTACGAAGGTAGGTAGTTCGGGCTGTCCACCCGCGTTTATCTCGATATTTCTACTCAAGATAACCAGTGTGGATAAGCCCTTCTTTTTTTTGTCTCTTGGTGTGGCTGCTTGACGGATGCAGAGCCTGCAGCGACAGTGTGAGAAAACCGCAGTTGTCTTATTTGGCCTGCATTCTCACAATCGCTTATCAATGACCAGCTGGTTGTGTCTCGAGGCTGTGTGTTAAGAGACATAGCCTGTGTCGCGCACTCTACTAACAGCAATTCGCTCCCGGCTAACACAGCATTACCAGGTAAGCTGATTGGTGGCAGTCAAGTCGGAGGAGCCACATGTCGCCGACGCTAGACTGGACTTGGCTAGCCGTCTTTGCTGGTCGCAGCACGCACTCCCTTTCCCTTTCCCAGCAGGCCTGCCTTCTGCTGCTTGGTGAAACTGCAGACAAAGCCGTGGCCAGCAACAATCACTGACATCCACCGCAACGCGCGTTAGCCCTGCCATTCATCTCGCTGCCCACGCTGCCACCACATCCGCGCCCCTTTGTTGTGGGTAGAGTCTATCTTGTGCGCTTCTCGACGATATCCTGCGCGTGTTTTTTTGGTCCCCTGGCGCCCGTTTGCTGTTGCAGTGGTGCCGTGTTCGCAAAGCGTTGGTGGGCAACAACCTGCGACAGCGTCGCAAATTTTCAGCTGGCGTCCTGCATTCGGGCCAGCTAGTAGCTGAGCAGCGCAAACTCACCAGGGTTCAAGTCACACCCACTCTCGTTTTTTCTTTCTCGAACTATCAGAACGAGAACGGGCCAGCAAGTGATTGAGAACCCCCCTGGCGAAGACCGCGTGCTCTTTTCGCGACAGTCAATTTTGCGGCTCCCACTCCCACCTCCACCATCAGAGCGCTCGTACAGCACACCTTGTTGAAACTGGATACAGGTACCTAGGTACCTAGGTAGGTAGGACCTGAGGTAAGAGCCTGGTACTTTTCATTGTCTGGTGTCTTGGTGAGTACCTCAAGTACCTCAAGTACCAAGGCACTTCGCATCCATTTGTCTGTCCTCCTCTATCACGCCCTTGCTCTGGCACTCTCAGTGGGCGTCGTCCAGCACATCACCCACCACAACTCCAGCACTCTCTCCCACTGCGAGGCTGGCTAATTTTGGCCAACCTTCCCAAATTTCGCCCACCAAAAAAACCTCCCCAGCTCGGCCCTGCTGCGCATGCGTCTCGCTCTCCGCCTGTCTGCCCATTTTCCCACCCCCGACACCTGCTCATTTCCTCCGCCAACCCGCGACGCGACTCGACGCTGTCCATCACCACCCTCCGTGCCGTGCGACCGGCCCCATTTCCATCCAACCTTGTGCCCTTCAATGGGTCCTCGTTTTTCTATCCCTTGATTGCTGACTTTGTTTTGCGCAGCTCGTCGGCCCTTACGCCATGAGCGCCTGGACGAACGACCCTGTCCCGAACCACAATGGCAACGGCTTCCCACACATGAACGACCCCAACGCTGCCACGGGCATGATGGATCCCTCCGCCTTCATGGCCAATCCGGCCCAATTCAATCCTGTCCATTTTTCCAACCACCAGCAGCAGCAGGCTCAGCAGCAACAACCCTCCCAGCAGCAGATGGCCGCCATGCAGCAGAATGGCCCGATGCGCCACGCATCCCCCTCTGCCTTTCAGCAGAATCCCGCCTATCAAACAAACTCTGTCATTCCTTCCAAACGCCCTCGACCGCGCGAAGACAGCGTCACCGGCTCGCCTGGCCAGTTGCAGGGTATGCTACCGCCCTCGCGCTCCGAGACGCCTCAGCAACAAAACTTCCCTGGCGTGCAGCAGGCCGGCGCCATCCCGCAGCAGACGCCAGGCCAGTTTCCTCATCTCCAAGCCAATGGCTCCGCCAATGCCACGCCCTCTCCTATCATGGGTAATCAAATGCGCCCGGGCAGCGTCCCTCAGAGGGTTGCTACCGCGTCCCCCCACCCCTTCTCTCCCGGTCCTCAACAGCAGCAGCAATTCGCACCTCAACCATCTCCAGCGCCATCCGAACATGGCACGCCGCAGCCGAACCAATTTATGCAAAATGGCCCCCAAGGTTACAACCCCGGGTTCGCTCCGTCTCCCTCGAATCCTCGCCCTTCGCCCAATCCCAACGTCGTAGGCGCGAACCAGATGATGCAGCAACATATGGCTCAAATGCCTCAAGGCATGAATCCAATGCAAACCAGTATGTATGCGCAAATGCAGCAGCAACAGCAGCAGCAAGCACAGGGACAGCAAGTGCAGGGACATCAAGGTCAGCAACGGCAGGGCGGCCAGGGCATGCAGGGTATGAGCGAGCAGCAGAAAATGGCCTCATATCAGATGCGTCTTCAGCAGCAGCTTCAGGGCAATGCGCAGATGCAAGCCCAGCTGCAGGCTCAGGGCATGGCCCGCGGCATGGTGCAGAAGCCACAGATGGCCGCCATGCCCAATGGCCAGATGCTTCAGGGCGGCATGAGACCTCAGCAGCGACCAATGGGCGGCATGAACCCTGAGCAGTTCATGAAGAATCTGAACCATTTCATGGCCTCCAAAGGTCTTCCTTTCGATGCGACCCCGGCCGTTGCCGACCGACCAGTCAACATTATGATGCTCTTCCAAGTTGTATCTAGCAAGGGGGGCTCCAAGACGGTCACGGCCGCCAACGGCTGGCCTCACATTGCGCAGGTTCTCGGCCTTCCTGCTCATATCCCCACCGTCCCCACGGCTTTGAAGCAAGTATACGAACGAAATCTACAAAAGTTTGAAGAGGCCTGGGTTGCCCAGCAGCAAAAGACAAGGATGATGGGGCAAAATCCCACCATACCCCCAAGTACACCGAAGCAGATGCAGCCCGGTCAGCCGGCGGCAGGGCAAATGCCTCAAGGTCAGATACCCCAGGGGCAGATGACGCCCGGCCAGATGAATTCCGGACAGCCTCAAGGACAACAACAAGTGCCGCAGCAGCACCCTCAGCAACAGCAGATGCAACACCATCTCCAGCAACAGCAGCAGCAGCAGCAGCAGATGCAACAACAGATGCAGCAGCATATGCAGCA